TACCGCTAGGTAGGGATGGATGGATGCCCCGGGGCTTCCCACTGCGGGTCACCATGAAGAACACTGCCAGGAGCAAGCCCGGACATGCCCCCTCGTGGGTGTGCAGGAATCTCTTTGGGATGCACAGCTGGAAGGGAGGCTGCTGAGTCACGGGGCGTGTGCTTGCTTAGCTTGAGAAACCGTGGGAGACCGTCCGGGCTGCAGAATTGAAGGCACAGCTCACCCCCGTGGAACCTGAAGGCTTTCATGACCCATGTCCTTGACAACATTTGACACTATCTGACTTCTCCTTTTTCCAGCCCAATTAGTATAAAGTAGCATCTCATTGTTGCTGCAATTTATGTTTCGGAGATCATGACTGAGTCCGAACACTTCAGCAATGACACGTTAGCCTTGCAGTTGGCTTCCGTGAATCATCTCTGTATTGTTTTGTTTTTTCCCCTTGTCTTCCTTTCTTCTTCCCTTCCCTCCCCTTCCCTCCCCTTCCCCTCTCCCTCGGCCAGCCCTCATTCCTTCTTTCTGTACCCAAATTTCCATAAGGGGACCCCTCTTTTTCTTTTCTAATGTAAAGGTGCTATGCTCCATTATAAGTTCCAGCCCTCCGTGTGAGGTAGCCCCCTTTGAGGAGTGCAAATAACTCCTTCCATTCTGAAAAATGTGTCCAGCGGTCCATTTCACCCTCCTTTAAAACTCGGACTTTTAATAATCAAATGAATCGATGCTTTGTCTTATGATATATACTTTCAAAGCCTTGAGAATTCATCCCTGTCTCAGAGACCTCAAGGTGTTGTTTGGATTTTTTTCCTTCCCAGTCTCTAAGTCTATGCTGCCCTCAGGGGTTTCCGGTATGGGGCTGCAGCTGCCTTTCCCTGTGGTGCTAGGTGGGACTCTGGACTTGTTTGCATGGGCACAGTACACAGGTCTTCCCAAGATCATTTGTGAAGCCCCCTTTATCCCTGCATTCGTTTGGGCTGTTGTCTGATCAGAGGGTAACTCCCTCACTGTCCTGTCCCTCTCCGATGAGTCTGTGTCCAAGACCGTGCTCTGCCTTGGTGGCCCACTTGTCTGTTCTTGCCCCAATCCCACCCTTTGCTTTAAACATTAATTTTTGCTTTGCAAGATGTCTTAATATCTAGTAGGGCAACAAGCTTATTTCTTGCACCATCTCAGCTCTGTTCTTCTCCCCACTTGCATCACCATGCAGGAAATGCACGGATCCTCTCCACCCTGCATATATGAACCATCTGCAGACACGTCTCCATCTGTCCCTTCCTAGTTCTGGAACCAGCTCTTGGGTTGGAAAAGACACATCTTCAGCCGGGAAGAGAAAGTCAAGGCTACCCAGGAAATGTGCAAGGTCTTGGCTCAGATTTCAGTTTCCAGCAACTTCATTTCCCATGCCGTGGTCTGTGTATCACCATATACAAAGCCAACCTCAGCAGCTTGGGTAACTCCAGGGTTTGTTCTCCTAGATCTAGGCCTGGATGCTGGAAGGCCCTGCATGCCCAGAGCACTAAGGGGAGGCATCAGAAGTGGCCAGCCTTCTTGCAATCTTTCGTCCTATGGTTTGTCTTCTTCCAGTACAAGGCCATGCACTGGGCAACCTATGGGTACCCTCCTTCTGGAAGAGAAGAGGGGGAGACCCAGACACTGCTTCCCGTCTTTCAGGGAAGCAGTTCCCAGGAAACTGCAGCCCCTTGGTTTCAGCTTACAGTCTCTTGCTTACACTGGGTGGCGTGCCACCTGCTACCCAGGGATGGATTCAGGTCACACACCCACCTGAGCAACAGCTGGGCAATGGGAGGGTGATAACCACATCTCAGTGGCACCCATCCTGCCTAGCCCAGAGTCAAGTAAGTTCACAAAACACTCCCCTGTCCCTCTTGCCCCACAGTCTGCCTTCCAGTCTTGTGCTCACCCTGGAGCTCAACTCTGAGGTGAAACCCATCCAGGCCCTGCTGTGAACAAGAAGCAGCTTGGGGACAATAGCCACATCTCTGGCAGATACGGAGTCCACTTCTCTGGAGCTCTTCCATATCCCCGCTTCCTGATAAATGTTTCATCAGCGCGTCCCTTTTATAGCTGTTAAAAAAACCTAGAAGCCACCAAATGCCTGTGCATGGTACAAATGGATCCATAAGGTGGAGCGCGCTTACACAATACAAACCTGGGAGCAACGGGAATAAAACATTTACAACCATAGACAAAGATCTGGAGAAGCTACACATGTATAATATTGTGCAAAAGAAGCCAAACGCAAAACGATACACTGTGACTTTGCTTATATAACTTTATTATATTTCTATAAATCTACAGAAGTCAATTTATATAGTTTGTAAACTGGAAGAACTAATTTCTGATGATAGAAGTCAGGAGAGCTGCTACCAGGGCGATGGTCCTGACTGGCAGGAAATCCACTGAGTTTCCTGGGGACCTGGTAGTGTTCTGTTGCCCCATCTTACTGCTGGTACCAGGGTGTGTTCTGTTTTGCCAAAATCAACTGAAGATTGTGACACTTATATGCACGCTATTTCAATATCCTTCAATAAAAAAGTTAATTGCAAATATTGCTGAAAAGGTATCGGCGGCAAAAACTGCAGGTGGTTTACCCAGCATCTCTCTTGTTCACCTTTTTTTGGTAAGAGAGTCCTGATATCTTATATGGATCAACCCTCTATATTTTAGGGGTGGTTCTGGTGTCAGTTTGAGAAGATAAATCCTGATTGGTCCAAATCCATCACGTTCGGTTCATCCCTCAGCCTGTGATTGGTTTAGCAAAGGGCATGTGACCAATTCTAGCTAATGAGGATGAAGGAGATTGTTTCTCCTGGGTTGGTTTTTGAAACGGGTCCTCCTCCTCCTCTTTCGAGCTAGAGACCCACTGAAGCCTTCCTGGCCGCCCGCAAAGAACCAAGAGGAAGAGCCGGAAGTGCAGTTGGAGCCCCATTTCCCTATGTGGGAGGCTGGCCTCGCCTGGATTTCTTGGGTCGTGAGGTAAGCCTTTACTTATGATTGGAGACAATGCGAATCTTCTTTTATTTGTCCAAAGCAGCTTAACTAGTGCAGCGTTTTGGGAAACAAAATTTCCCAAGTTGCCCCTTAAGGAAGAGTCCTGCAGTTGCTGGGCTGGTGACCAGCAAGATCCCTGTCCTTCTGTCTCCAAGACTGCAAATGGCTGAGCACGCGGGAAAGAGACTGATGACTGCTCTTGTAGGGTTGTTTTTACTGATGTGATTTCTCTCATAACATGGACTGTTTACACAACAGCTGTTGGCTTCCGCCTTCTCTCTCCCTTGCTTTATTTTGATTTGTGTGTGTGTGTGTGTGTGTGTGTGTGTGGTTTTTTAAATTTTAATTTTTTATTTTGAGACAGGATCTAACTATGCAATCTCATTATGCACTAGGTTGGCCTTGAACTTTTTTATGTAGCTCAGGCTGGCCTAGAATTCACCAGAATCTTCCTGCCTTAGCCTCCCAAGTGCTGGGATTCTAGGCGTTTGCTAGCACGCCTGGCTTCCTTCCTTTATTTTGGGTGGGTGTCTCAGTATGTTGCCCAGCTGGGCCTTGAACTCCTGGGCTCAGGTGAGCCACTTTGCCCTGACCTTAGTAGCTGGGACTGCAGATACAGGCCTCTCTCTCTCTCTCTCTCTTTCTGTTTTTGAAAGAAACAACTCGTTCTCTTGTTAGAGAAGCACCAGAAACTCATTTTCTAGCCTCTTTTGAAACTAGAGCTTGGGCACTGAGACCCAAGGATAAGTTAGGGGAGGGTAATTCTAGGAGACCTTTGTTTTCTAAAGAGAAGAACCATGCTGTGAGAACCCTGCTTTCTGTCTCTGTCATAGTGTGTGAGGATGTGATGCCTGGTACTGCGGCAGCCTTTTTACAAAGAGGAGATTAAAAGCCTTGAAGGAGAAAGCTGGCATCTTTTTTCCCCTCAGCAAAATATAAGCCCCAAAAAAGGCAGGGATGGGGCTCTGTTCTGTTGGTTCTTCTGTCCCAAGTGGCCCTAAAGAGTTCGGCTCCTGGAGGCACCTGGAGGTTGAGCGAGTGGACCCCACTGCGTGTTGAACACGTAAATAACAATGTGTGGGACAGCGCCAGCCACCTGAGGTCCGCACTCATGGCCGTGCTGCCCGCTGGCTGTGTCGCCTGCCTGGTGGTCGGATGGCTGGGTGGGCACTGCGGCTCGCCAACTCCACCCAGGTCACAGTTCACCAGCCCAGGAAGACCCTGAAGGGCACAATTTGAAGTGGGGTCTCTCTCCCCATCTCTTCCCTTCTCCCCTCCTTTTTCCCTCCAGCCCTCTTTCCTTCTCTGTCCTTCCCTTCCTTTCCTTTTCGCTTTTCTCCTCTCCTCTTTCTCCTCTTTTTTTGCTCTCTCAGTGGAGCACTGAATCCAGGGCCATGGCACTGAACTCTACCTCCAGCCCCTTTATCCCATTTATTTACTTTTTAAAATTTTGAAACACGGGCCAAGGATATAGCTCAGTGGCACGGAGCCTGCCTGGCAAACATGAGGTCGTGAGTTTAATTCCCAGTACAAAAAAAAAAAAAAAAATTGAACCAGGTTCTCACTAAGTAACCAAATTGTCCACCCTAGGCTCAAACTTGCAATCCTCCTGCCTCAGCCTCCCAGAGAAATATGGTTTCTATGACTGCGTGTTTCTCTTATACCATCTTAATGTAAAAATAATTGTGAATCAAACATTGTAAGTCAAGGAAGAGGTGACCAGTCACAGATTCCAGAAACTGGGTGCTGGGAATATTTGCAGGGGGCTCCCCCACTGCTTCCGGAGCCCGGAGATAAAGAGATCGCATGTCCCCACCCTCCCTTCTCTTCCTCACGCCCTGCGCTCATGCTGTCTGCGTGGCTGGTGTGATGACAGTGGTAAGTATGGATTGATCTCCGTCTTTCGTTTTATTTTCTGTCTTCTGCTACCTGACCCCAAGCTCCACGAGGCAGGGGTATTGGTCTGGGGAGCAGGAGCACACACACAGAGCCCACTTATTAGAGGTTTTATTTCAGGGACTGAATTTGGGTCACGGCCAGAGCCATGACAGCTGCTCAGGGCTGGAGGTCGGAGATGTCACCTTGCCCTGGTCACTCTGCAAACTGTCCTCTGGCTCCGGGGACAGAGGCAGGGCCGGCAGGAGCGAGGGCTGAGAGGGACCTCAGCATCCAGGGAAGGTGAGCCACAGCCCTGCAGCGGTAGGGACGCCGGATCCTGGGCGACTCAGTTGTTCTCGATGGTGGTGTAGATCCATTTGTGGAAGTGGCAGAGGTTGGTGTAGACGCCCGGCCTGTTGGGCTGGGCACAGGGGAAGTCGCCCCAGGACACCAGGCCCTGCAGGTAGCTGTTGCAGACCACGGGGCCTCCGGAGTCTCCCTGTGGGTAGAGGGGGCACAGAAAGCCGAGTCGCACACAGGCAGGGGGACCGGGATGGACGGATGCAGCCTCACCCCACCTTCTCCTGGACGCCCCTTGTGTGCACAGTGGCCTCATCCCGGGTCAGGGCCAGCCCAGGTCTCCTGCCCCATGGCTGCCCGTGCTCTCTCGCTCTCCCCTCCACCTCCATGTGATTTATTCCTCCTCCTCAACACCCTGTCCCACCGACTCCCTCTCCCCCATCCTGCTCACCTCACATTGTTTTATTGTATTATACTGGGGATTGAACTCCTTTTGCACTGAGCTAAAGCCACCCCAGCCTTTTTAAAAAAAATTATTTTTTTTGAGGCAGGGTCTGGCTAAGTCACTAAATTGCCTGGGCTAGGCTAGATCTTCTGATCCTCCTGTCTCTGCCTCCCAGAGTGCTGGGTTCATAGACTTGCACCTCCACGCTCAGCTAATATCACCTTGGCTGGGGGCCGAATGACGGGGCTGTGGGGCCTGCCCTGTGTTGTGGGGTGTTCAGCAGCGGTTGGGGGTGCCTCCCACCAGACCTAGAGTCCTTTCTCCATGAGTTGTGAGTTGTGACCCTAAAGGTGTCTGCTGGCCTGTGCCTGGGGATGGCACCGCTCCCTGCGGGTGGTGGTGCTTTTTCTAACGTTCCTCCAGCCCCTGTAATTAGCCTCCTTCAGCAGTGCACTCTCGCTGCCTGCCTGGACACCTGCCCCGGAGCAGGAGGCAGGGCCTCTGCAGGGGCTGCTTGTCTGGGAAAGAGGCTTTGAATTGCAGCTTTGCTGCATCTGGCCTGTGCCTTTCGGTCTTTCTGCCTCAGCCTCCTGAGTGTCTGGAGGGGTAGGAGTGCCGGGCCTTCCTCTTTGTTTCTGTTTGAGTTACTATAGAGATTTTACGAGAGGCCATTAGTTAACTTCCCTGAGCCTAGGCCATAAAGTGAGGCTAATAACCGTGATTAAACGCATTAACAAGCCCATGGGTGTAACAAGGTCGTGTCCAGGGAGGCGTCCCTGCTTCTGCTGCCCGGCCTTTTATTTAGTCTTGTTGCTCGTGGCAGGAAGTGGGCACACCCAGGCCACACGCCTCTCGCTTGGAAAGGACACCTTTAGGTCTCGAGAAGCCAGACACCTGCCTGGACCACAGGATGCTTTGGCAACAGGGCTGGGGAGCTGGCCTGAGGGCGTGGGGGAGCTTTTCAGAGCTGGAACGGGGCTGGCTCTGCCCAGATTCTCAGCTCACTAAACCAGCAGGTGCCAGGCTAGAGATGGAAAGCACCCTGCAATCAATGGGTTCACATCCTGTAGCACCACTGGAGCAGCAGAGGGTCTAGGCGTTCATTTCATTTTAATTTCTGGTCAGGTGTGCTGGTGCCCACCTGGGACCTCAGGTGCATTCAGGAGGCTGAGGCAGGAGGATTGTGAATTGAAGACCAAGCTCCACTCCACAGGTCAGGGCCAGCCTGGACTGTATAGGCTGACCCTGTCTTGGGAATGCCAATAATAATAACAACAGTTTTAACTCCTGTCTTCCTCAAGAGAGCTTCCATGAGAACACAGAAGCGCTCTGCTTTAGCAATCAAGAAGTATTTGGTGGACGTTGGTTGCCATCCACCTGTTCAGCCTCAACTCCTCCTGCTCCTCACTATCCAGTTGCGCCTTGAATCAGAGAACCCCTGCCTGCCTCAGGGCCTTTGCACATGTGTTTTCCGGTCTCTGGCTCCTTGAAATGATTCAATCTCTGCTTACTGCCGTTTCCCCCACACCTGTGAATACTGCTTCATTGTGTACTTATCTTGAAGCCACATTTTATTTCTGGGTTATCCTGACCACTCTCTGGAGAGTTTTTTGACTGGAAGTTGAATTTATTTTGCTTTTCCAACAAGTGTCCCTGTACTAGATCCTCTCTTCATTTGTTGAGTGCCTGGCACACTGACCCCTTCCTCAAGGCTTCTCTAGCTCCAGTTAGCAGAGTGTCATCATCCAGAGCTTGTTGGAACCACACACCACTGCCATGTGCCTGAGAATTGCCAAACTGAATAGAGGAGACAGTGACAACAATGCAAAATATTCCCCCTCTGATGTGGTATCTTAATGCAGTGCATAACCTGGGCTACCATACAGGACAGCCTCATTGTCTCCTTCTGGACAGTGTGAACTATGGCTGACATGGAGCTAACTGAACTCCTGAAACCAGGCTCCTGGGCTAGTGTAAAACACACACTGGCCTTTAGAGACCGCATGGAAGAATCCCAGAGGACAAACTATCTGCTTTGTAACTGTTATAGATCACCTTTTGAAATGATGTTCTGGAGATAACTGAATTAAATAAAAGTATTGATGTGAACTTCACCTCTTTTCTTTTATCAGTATTATTTTTACAGGATTGGAGACCCAGGGACCTATCCTCTGTCCCTTGTTAGTTTTTATTTTGAGAAGGGGCTCATTAAGTTGACCCACTGGCCTTGAACTTAGGATCCTCCTGCCTCGGCCTCCCAAGTAGCTAGGGTTACAGGTGGGTGCCACCATAGTTTTTTTCTTTTTAACTTTTTAAAATGGGGCTTATTAGAAAATTTAAATGATGTGGGCAGCGTGCATCATATTTCTGTGGACACGGCTGCTCCAGGATCCGAGCTCTGTGAGCTCCGGTCCTCACCTGGCAGGAATCTTTGGCTCCTTCCCCGATCGCGCAGAACATGGAGTTGTCAATCTGCCCTGGGTAGGCGTCCTCACACTTCTGCTGGCTCAGCACGTTGACGCTGATGCACTGCAGCTGCTTGGGGAAGTTGTCTGTGAAACAGCCACACAGTGAGGGGCAGAGACACACAGAGAGGGGCAGGGGCAGGTGGGGCACCAGCAGCCACCTGGACTTACGCTGGGAGCTGTTGGTGGTGCCCCAGCCCGACACCAGGCACTGGGTCCCCGCAGTCGGGCAGTGGGAGGAGATGTTGATAGGCTTGATCTCGTGGCTGATGCGAACTCTCTTGTTCAGTTTGATGAGCATGAGGTCGTTGGAGTGGTTGGGGTAGGAGTAGCCGGGGTGGGGGATGGATTTTACCCCCCGCAGCATCTGCGGTCCGGACTCATAGACGGGAGACATGGAGTGGTGGCCGAGACGGACCCTGTAGACTCTGAGGATGGTGGTGGGGGTCACCACGAGGCCTGGTCTCCATCTCCGTGTCCACACCAAGGGCCCAGCCCAGCCCGGCTCCACCCACCCGACACCGTGCTGACCCACTTGTTCTGTAACAGCTCCAGCGCATCCAGACAGTCTCCCAACCCCAAGGTGAAGCTCCTCCCAGGCACCAAGCAGACCATGCTCAAGCCGGGTGTAACATCCACACTGCCGCCCCGTGGGGCCCCAGCCCCAGGTGTGACCCCGCTAACATCGGAAACTCGAGGCTAAGTCCACTCTCAATCCTGCCTCTCCTCCCAGGCCTACACTCACGGCCCCTCCGTCTTTATTTCCACCACCGATTCTAGAGCCAACCCTAACTCCATCTCTGCCCCAACCATCAACACACATCGCCCAGCGGCCAGTGTGGCCCCTCTCCAGTCCCAGCATGCACCCTAACCCAGTCCTCATCTTTCACGATGCCCACGTCACCCATGTTGGCATTCCCGAACCCAAACTCTATCTGTCCTGCCTTTCCTAAGTGAACCCCAAGGCGGCTGCAATCTGCCATCTACCCAGAGCCCAGCTCCAGCCTGTTCATCCCAGCTGCGCCTCCATCCTCCCTGCACCCCCAATCGCAGAGCCAGTCCCAGGCCCACCTTTATCCCGGACCACCCGACAGAGACACAGGTGTCCCCCAACCCACACCTGCTGCGACCCCAACGCAGCGCCTCCCCGCCCCTCCCCGCCCACTCACGGCTTCTTGCAGTGGGCGGCCGTGATCAGCCACTGCGGGTGCACCAGCACCGCCCCGCAGTACAGCTTGTTGGGTGCCAGCAGCAGGGCGCCCTGCCAGGGCTGCGAGTCCCTCTTGCAGTTGGAGCCTTTCACGATGCGGCTGCCGCTGCCTGTTCCCTCGGACCTGGTGTCCTCCCCGGCCTCACCTCCATAGATCCGGTTGCTGTCCGAGGGCTCGGTGGCCGAGGGGCTGTTACAGGACAAGTCATTTGCAAGGATAGGCTCTGGGGGCAGAAATGGACAGAGGGGGTGCGCTCAGGGTAAGGCCTTAGACTTCTGAGGCCGGAAGGTGGACCTGGGGGCCTTTGGTGAGGGTCAGGGCAGGGGATTGGGGTGGGGTTAGGGAATTGGGGTGGAACCAAGACTGGGGGTGGGGCCTAGAGAACTGGACCCCAGCCTGAGTGATGGTGCAGTTTGTAATCCCAGCACACTGGGAGGCTGAGGCAGGAGGATTTCGAGTGTGAGTCCAGGTGGACAATTTAGGGATTTAGTGAGACACTGCTTTGAAAGAAAGAAAGAAAGAAAGAAAGAAAGAAAGAAAGAAAGAAAGAAAGAAAGGAGGAAGGAAAGAAAGAATAAAAGGAAGGAAGAGTAAACCAAGGAAGGGAGAAAGAAATCAAGGAAGAAAGGACTGGGATTAGAAGTAGTGGTGGCTCTAGAATTGGGGGTGAAGTGTGGTTTGGAGCAACGGTAATAAAGATGGGGCTAGGTCTGGGCTCTGATGTGGGATTACGGGTGCCATCGGAGTCAGGTGCACACCCTTAATCCCCCATTCGAGGCTGGGGTGGTTGGTTTGAGGTTGGGCTGGGGCTCAGGAGGCGGCGGGGCCGGGCCAGAACTGTAGGGGTGGGGCCTGCTCTCGGGAAGCGGGTCAGGCCCCAGTGAGAAGGGTCGGGTTGGAGGCCCCAGAGCCTGGGATGAGCAAGGGGCCTGGAATGGCAGGGCCTGGTTTAGGAGCCTGCACAGAAAAGGGGGTGGGGCCTGGCCGAGAGGGGCGGGGCCTGGAGGGGAGGGCACGGCCCAGGAGGTCTATCAGAAGAGACCAACGAGGGGCGTGGCTGAGGAGGGGGCGGAGCCAGAGCTCTAGGGCAGAGCTAGAGGTGGGCGTGCAAGACCATTAAAAGCGAGCTGCCTGGCAAAGCAGGGTGGGAGTCTCTGAATTCTCGGACTGAAAACCTAGCAGTCCCTGGGCCTTGCACGGTCCTGCAGACCCACACTTGTCCGGATATCGGCCCTCTTGTGACGCTTTGCTATCCTTGCTGATGCCCCAGAGAAGGGAGGCATTATCTTCATTTTCAAACACACTCCCGCCACGCAGTCGCCGTCAGAGCCAGGCACACACAAGTGGGGCACAGACATCTTTACACAGCCGTCGGGGGCACACGCAGAGTGGCCTGGAGAAGGCTCACACACCCATCCTGAGTTGCTGAGTGGGCACAGAGGCAAGACTGCCCCGTATACTTCACACAGGCACTGTGACATGGGACAGGATTATGTTCAGAGGACCCTTGGGCTCCCACACCCAGCTCATTATGGTGCCCAAAAGGTCACGTTCCTACAGCCACCCGGTCATGGTGACAGCCATTCAGGTAAGGTCTGGAAACCCAAATACACCACGACCTTCACACAAGCAAACACCAAGTCACACCCAGTCACTGGGCACAGTCTTGGGGTCACAGACAGGGACCCACAAGCTCACCATCACACCATCTTCCCTCCCTGTCCTACCCACCTTGTATTGGGGGGGGAAAGGGGGGCCACGGAATACTGACAAGTCCCAGCCTTGTCAGTGCTGAGCTGAGACCCAGGGCCTCGAGTTGGGAGCAGAGGTCATCAGCACCCCCAGATCCCCAAGGAGACAAGCAGTCCCACGACACAGAGACCAGGACACAGGGAGCCCAGATACGAGCAGGTGTACACCAAGCCAAGTTGCCACACTCAGGCAGACACACAGTAGCATTCCCAGTGCCATGCCCACCACCCACATGGTGGTAAAGCCGCACGAGTCCTATCGGGCACACCCCAGTCCCGCACAAGCTTTGGAGGCCCGGTCCACTGCCACAGTACTGTCACTTGATCCGGGACAGGACACCCCACATGCATACTCATGCGTACACGGAGGTGGGTGGGCAGTCATAGGGCCACGAGGAATCGCACAGCCATAATACACACGGGACTCATCTCACTTGGTGCTCAGTCCTGTGCGTGCCCCCTGAGTCCTGGTTACCTGTGGCCGCCAGAATCAGAGCCATGATGAGGGTGCCCAGCATCCACATCCAGGGGTCTCCGGCGCTACCCATGGCTGCTGCACCTGGGGGAGACAGGATGGAGAGGAGGCTCTGGGAGGCTCAGCCCACTTCCCTCCCTGTCCTACCCATCTTGTGCTGGAGGGTGGAGGGGGACCACGGGTCCTGACAAAGAGTCCCAGCCTCCATCAGTGCTGAGCTGAGGCCATCAGCACCCCCAGCTCCCCAAGGAGGCAGGCTGCACTGCAGACTCGGCCAGACTCGGGGCACCTCTCCCCCTCTGCCCACCTCACCTGCCTCGGCTGGGTAGGGGGTGAGGAGCTGGCTTCCCTGCCTGGCTCAGTGGTGCACTCCTCAGCCCAGGCTACCTTCCTGCTGAAGCCTCCTTCCCAGCTTCTGCAGGACTCTGGGTTATAACCACCCACTGGTCCCTGGGGCACATTCCCAGGTAGTGAGGCACCCTGTCAGTCTGTCAGTCCAGTCTGTCAGTTGGCTGGCAGGCTGGGTAATTGCTCCTCCCGCCTCCCCTCCGCCCCCAGCCCCGTGCCACTCCCGGCCTGCCTGGCCCCACGATGGGGAGGGGTCTCCTGAGGTCAAGGCTGGCTGGTCAGGACTTCTCACCCCTGCTGGGTGCTCTTCTGGGACAGATTTCTCTTTCTTTGTTTCTCCTTTTCTTTCTTTCTTTCTTTCTTTCTTTCTTTCTTTCTTTCTTTCTTTCTTTCTTTCTTTCTTTCTTTCTTTCTTTCTTTCTTTCTGTCTTTTTGAGACAGGGTCTCACTAAGCAGTTCAGGCTGGCCTTGAGCTCACTTTGTAGCCCAGGCTGATCTTGAACTTGCAACGATCCTCCTGGCCTCAGCCTCCTGAGTGCTAGGATTACAGGCATGAGCCACCACCCCCAGCTAGATTTCTTTTTTCCCTGTGCCTTTCATTCATTTTGCCTGTCTGCCTCTGTCTCTCTTTCTCCATGTTTGTTTTTCACACTCTTCGATCAGATCTCTCAGTTTCCTTTTCCCACTGAAACTTTCTGAGCCTCTCAATATTTGCTACCTACTGAATCTCTCTGTGTCTGTCTCTCTCTGATTTTCTCCCTCTCTCTCTCCAGTCTCTCTCTGCTTCCCTTTTATGTGTGTCTGTGATTCTTTGTTAACTTTGCTCTTGTGTCTCTTTGTATCTTTGCCTCTTGTGTCTTGGAGTTTTCTTTTCTCTGTCCCTCTCAATCCGTGTATCATTCTTCTCTCTCTGTCTTTCTCTTGTGCTCTATGTCTGTCTCTCTCTCCTTCCTCCCTCCTCTCCTCTCCCCCTCGCTGGCTCTGTGGTTTGCTTTTCCTGTATCTTTCTGTCTCTGCACCCTGCTTTTGGGGCAGGGGAGACCCAGGTCGCCTTGCAGAGAGTACCCTGCGTCCTTCCTCTTGTCCCCTTCCCCAGGGTGCAGGCAGGTGACAGAGACTGGGCTCAGCGAGGGGGACTCTGCTGGTGTCTTGGCCCATCTGGTGCCTGGTGTAGCCACCCGTGCACCCACACGTTGGGCAGGGCCACCTGTCAATGGAAAGAGAGGCCAAGAACCAGGATGGGGGCGGAGGCTTCCGCCAGAGGCTTCTAGAGAATGGGGCATTGGGTTGGCAGCTGAATGGTGGTGACGAGGGCCACCTCTCCTGTCCCCTTCTTGGTTCCAGCTCTTCTCTCTGTTGACCCAGCTCTCTGGCCAGGTTTCTCCTCACTGGAAGATAGAGCCATGCAGTTGTCAGTCAGGTGCCAGACACAGATCTATTTGGACAAAATGACAAAGACTCAGGGTGCTGCCCTCTCCGGGCCCGGGGCCTCCACACCAGAAACCAAGTCCTGCTCAGGAGGCACCCAGCACTGTTCCAGGGCAGGCTTTCGAGTCCTGTGGTTGGTTTTGGTGCACATGGGTAAAAAAGAAAGAAAGAAACCCAAAGCCCAAGCTTACTTTGAGATTTATTTTGGTTTATATGTATTGATATTTTATGCATCAAAGTGACCCAATTAACAATCTGTGTTTCCTTCGTATTTGTTTTCCCACTTCGTGGTCTTTTTCAGTTGGGTTAAATGTTTGATTCTTGGTATGGCGTGACAGTTACCTTACAATCATGTCTGGCCCCTTGTACACACCAAGTTAGTTCTAATGCCTTCAAACATTTTAAATTGCATTTCTCAAACTGACACATTCAGTCTCTTGTGGCAGCCTCTTAGTTTTTAGGTCAAGTGTCCAGAGCAATTCAGGAAGTTGATACAGCTAAGTAAACTGCATTTATAAATGCAATCAATGTCACATTCTTTCAAATATTCCAAACCTGGCATCATTCCGATTTTAAAAAACACAAATTAACAAACTTTGTGTTGTGAAGTCAAGTCACAGGGCTGTCTGTACTGGGGGGAACTCTCCTAGGTACGCAAGCTCCTTCAATGCCGAATGTGTGGAGACCGGCTTTTGCGAACAGTGTGTGCTACAGGGGTGACCCTTACACCTCTGTGTGCTCCATCCTGACGGGTGTAGGTGTTACAAGGAGGCCTCTATGCTGCAGAGCAGTTAGGGACCAGACTTAGGGCACCAGGCTCCTGGCCTTTAAATCCTAACTTAGCCACCTATCAGGTAGGAAGACTTCAGCTACATTGTGGTCTCTCTCTGCCTCAGTTTCTCTGTCTGGAAAAGTGGGAAAAACAATGACAGGCTTGTTACGCAGATCGAATGACTTACTCTGTGTGAAATACTTAGAGCAGTGCCTGGCATGTGCTGGTGAGTGTCTTAAAATTGCTCTGAGGGCCACTGTGGCCCTGGATATGCTCACCATCGGTATTCCCACAAAGAAAGATGATTCCCTCTGTTAACTGGAGGTGACTTGGAAGACCCTGGGATCTTCACAGCCTTATCCCCAACTGCTCCCAGGCCACCAGGGCCACACCCACGACTTCTTATTTCTGCAAATTCACAAAAGCCAACCTCTTCCTCCCACCATGGATCCAAGGTGAAATGCCACTTTTCTTTGATTCTTAAAACAAAGATCTGAATTCTTTCTAATACTCAGGTCAGGCCCTGTCCTTCCTTCCTTCCTTCCTTTCTTCCTTCCTTCCTTCCTTCCTTCCTTCCTTCCTTCCTTCCTTCTCCCCCACGGTCCACAGGATCAAGTCCAAGTTCTTCAGCCTGGCCCTCAGTGATGTCACCCTCCATGGCCCCACATTTTCACCCTCCACATCCAGGGCTCAGGACAGCAGTGGGCGCCCCTGCACCCCAACCTTTTCTCTCTGCTGCTTCCAGACAGCCACCTTGTTATGGTTGATACATTGTGGCGTCTTGAACAATTTAGAAGTTTAACTGACTCAGCAGGGAGCCAGGATCCTTACTTTGTAAACATCCTCAGCCTGTGGAGAGGAGGACACAGGCATTTTGTGTGCTGCACCTGCCCTTGGGGACAGGGGTGGAGGAGAAAGGCAGCCTGTGTACAGTATCAGGACCGGAAGAGGCTTGCTCTCTTCCCTTTTTGTTCTGGCTGCTTTTGCTGGCTGCTGCCTTGAAGTGTTGCCCCTGAGCTGTGCTACCCTGCCTTGGAGCCAGCTGATGATAGACTGAACCCTCCACAAACTGCAAGCTAAATAAACCTTTCTTTCCTTCATTTTGGGTGTCAGGTGTTTTGTTCCAGCAATGAGAGAAAAGTTACCAATCAGACGGCCATTTGAACTCAGCCTCCACCTTTCTTCAGTCATCCGTCCTCAGCTTGCCTCAGCCTCCATCTCTTCTCTCTTCCCTGTCACCCCAGACCTTCTCTAGACCCAGCTCTAGCATCTCCCATTGGGTACACCCTGCTCACTCTGCTCAGCCTTCCAGTGACTTCTGTGACTCCCTGTCACCCTCAGAGAAACTCTAGTCTGTCAGGCTGGTGCCTGAGGCTCCTCAGAGTCCAGCCCACTTCCGTGCTTCTCACCTGTCTCCCTTCCCTCTCTCCGCACCCACAGAGGCTCCCGACCCCTGGCCTCAGCTTTGCTGCTCCCAAGTGAGTTCAGGAGAGTCCCTCCTTCCTCCTAACACAAGGTGGGTGAGTGGAGGGGCTTCCCCAGGTCAGGGTGGGGGGTTGGGGAAATCAAATTTCCTTGGGAAAGAGAACTGAGAAAAATCTGCACTGCGGAGAGGCCCAAGTGAAATAAAAGCGAAAAGCATCCTTGTGAGAAAATCCACATTTTATTGGGCGCGTGGTGGGGCCAGGTGCTGTTCGGTGCATTCCATGTGTTTTGAAGCCTTTCATCCTCCCAATGGCCGGACTCGGGAGAGGAATGCACCAGCTTCGGCCCGATTACAGATAAGGAAACCGACACTAAGTGAGACATTACCCAAGGGGACACGGCACGTAGCAGAGCTGAATGACATCTCCGGGAAGGAACCAGACCCGTGCGGGACAAGCAGGAAGAGGGATCTCCCTGTACCCCTGGGGTTACAGGCAGCCGCCTATGTCCTCCCTGTCCCCACTCCAGGGATGTGAGGGTGGGGCAGGGGAACAACCAGGGAGACCAGGCGCTCTTTCTCGGGTGGCTTCCTTGAGGAAGCATCAAGGGCCAGATAGGGCAGGCGAGACAGGAAGCTGAGGTCTCGGGAGAGAGATTCTGGAGCCAGCCAGGTGGTCACAGGGCAGGAGTTGGACGTGCATGTCAGAGTCAGTGGTCTTGAATGGTTTTCCGGATCCAGTTGACATATCTGCAGACATCAGTGTAGACCCCTGGCTTCTCCTTGGACCCGCAGGGGACTTCACCCCATGACACAAGGCCCCGGAGGAGGCCTTCACACACCAGTGGGCCCCCTGAGTCACCCTGTGGGAAAGAGAGAGAAAGTCAGATACAGACACAGAGCCAGGCTGAGTGGAGAGCTGGAGAGATTCAGAGGCGGAGGACAGATAGGCGGACAAACAGGCTCACACCAAGAGCCTCAGAGGCGTGAAGAAACAGAGGCAGCAAAGCCGAGATGCAGAGCAGTTTAGACAGAAAGAAAGCACAGAAGGAAAGGAGAAAGAGAAGTACGGTGGGATGCAGAGGGGAGAGAGAGCTGGGGAAGAGACCCAAAGTAATGCAGTAGCCAGGCATGGTGCCACACGCCAGCAAACCCAGATTCCGGCCCGCCCACGGAGGAGGATCCCAAATTCAAAGCCCGTGTGGGCAACTTGGCGAGATTCAGCCTCAAAAAAAATAAAAGGGCCTGGAGGTGCAACCCAGTGCTAAGGTCCTGGGTTCGAGTGTGCGAACCACACAAAACAATAAATAAATAAAATAAAAATAGACAAGGCACCGGGCAAGAGGAGGGGAACAGAGAGACCTGGGAGAGAGGAGCTCCGCCAGCTGTCCTGTGGACAGCCTTTCTTGGCCAGCCCTGTCGTTGCTTGGGAATGGCTATGCATGGCTTTCTGGGTCTCCCTCTGGCTCCACTGGGCCGGCCTATGCACGACCTTCAGTGCTGGGGTCACTTAGGCATAAAGAGGAGAGACTGGATGCAGAACAGTGAGGAGTGGGGGTTGCGCCCCCTCTCTCCAGTGGGCGCCCCGCCTCCAGGGCGTGGCCACTTTAAAAGCAAGGCTGGTGTCAGGGACTTGGAGGACAGACAGCTCCCTCTCACCTCTGCGTGCGTCTTTCCCAGTCTGCCTGGCTCTCTGCCCTTCCTGACTCTGTGTTCTGTCTCTTTATCTCTGTGTGTCCCTGGTCTGAGTCTCTCTCCTGATCTCTGTTTCGGTGTCCCAGCCGCCTCACCTCACAGGCATCCTCTCCGTGTGTCGGGTCACCGGCACACACCATGTTCCTGGTGATCTGATGTGGGTAGGCACGCTCACACGCCTCCTGAGGCACTATCTGGACGTGGGCACACTGGAGGGAATTCGGGAACTGACCTGCCGGGAGGGGGATGGGCCGGGCTCGTTCTGCAGCGTGCGCTTCCTCAGCACCCCGCTGCCCTCCAGCTCCCGCTGGTCCTGCTCGCCACCTTGCGTCCCTACCCCCACCTTTCTTCTTGTTTGCCTCCTGTGCTTAGAACCCATTTCCAGTGTCACTGCCTGCCGATCGGTCCCTTTGCCAGCATTTCCTCCCACAGATCTGACTTGCTCACTGGTCATCACTTGTCCACCAAGGACTTCTGACTTCTCTGTCCCTTAGCTTCTGCCTCTATTCATCCCTTACGCAGGGTCCCCATCTTCTTCAGTCCTTCTGGTTGATTGATAGGACCTTTCCGCTCTATTTATCCCTCTTGGGCATTAGTTTGTCCTTCACTAGGTCCTTCTTGCCCATTGGCTCATTCTCATCAGTTACCACCTCACTATTGGCCCTTTCTTAATCAACCCTGCTCTTCGCCATTAGCTGTCTCTTCCTATTGGCCCTTCGGTTATTGGTACATGTCCTTCATTGGTCCTCTCTTCACTGGACCTCTTGGCTCTCCACCCAGGGCTCCTCCTTTGTTATTAGCCCTTCTCTCTTAGGCCCACCCTTCATGGCTCCTACTGACCTGCTTGATCTGTTAGGTAGTGACTCCTCTCAATCAGTGACTCCCACTAACTCTTTCCAGTCCATTATTCTCATTTCACACCCTGCACTCCCTGATTATCTGACGTCCATTACTTCCTCTCCGTAACCCTCTCACCTGTCCAGTCCTTCCTGTCCAGTACACCCCGCTGGCCTTCTGTCTGCGCTGCCTTTCACCAATTGGCCCATCTTTCCCAAACTCTTCACCTATTGATCTTTCTCCCATTAGCTCTTTACTCCTAAATTTCCCCCCTCTCTCCTTGACCCTCCCCCTCGGACACCATCCCACTGGTCTTCACCACTCACCCATGCCCATCCCCTGCTGGCCCAGCTTCCTCCTTGACCCTCCACCCCTTGCTGCACCTCCTCCCCGTGGCGGGCCCCCCATCTACTGCCCCTTACTGACCTTCTTCCGTCTTGCCCCAGCCCAGGATGTGGCAGCTGGTGGCGCTGGCCTGGCAGTTTTCCTCCAGGGCCAGTGCGTGGATCCGTTCAGAGATGTTGGCAGGCTGTGCCAGGCGCAGCAGCATGATGTCCTGGTCGTGGGTGGCAGGATTGAAGCCAGGGTGGACCACAGTCTTGGCCACAGAAATGCTCTGTGTACCCTCCGCACCCCGACGGTAGTGCTTTCCCAGGCAGACATGGAGCTTCCTGGGGAGATGATGGGCTGGGTCTCACCTGGAGCCCTGGGCTACAGCGCAGGCTTCCGGGAGGGCTGGGCATCCTGAATCCTCAGGGCTTCTCCACCCAGGCTTCCCCAGCCCCGCCGATGGAGTGGCCTCCTTTCAGGACAGCCTTGGGGGTATTCTCATCTCTCTTCATTCACGCCCCTCATCCTGTCTGGAGACCCCTTTGATTCCTACTCTCTACCATGTAGGGGGAAAGCAGAAGTGCCCACCATGGTGCACAGGTCCTGCACCTCTGCCTACCGTCTCTTAAACATTGCCTTCTCATGCTCCTTCCTTCTTCACTTCAGCCATGCTGGCTTTCCAGCCTTTCCTTGAACACAACAGTGGTCTTCCCACCACAGGGCCTTTGCATTGCTATTCCCTCGCCAGCAGCCCTGTTCCTGAGGTTACCTGCTATGTATTTTTTGCTATTTGCTTACTCTCTGGCATCTCCTGCCCCCAGAACACTGCTGCCCGGGGGAACTTTACACTGTGACCTGACAGCAGGTTCCCTAGTTGCAGTGTGGCTTTCCATTTCATTTCGTTCATTTTGAGTTAGTTACTACATGTGGCGGATGGCTATGATGATAGGCAGCCAAGGTGGGAATGTTTTGTCCTGCCTGAAACCAGGCTCTCAGAGGTGTTTCATAATCATTCCTGAAACAGGTCAAAGCCTGGTGCCCTGCTCAAAGCCGGGATTTGGCGCCCCTGTGTGATTGGGACCTGCCCCTCCAGGGAGCTGGCCAGTCACTTCTTTTGAGGATTCAGAGCCTCTGTCACCTTGGGGGCTTTGTTTAGTTCTCCTGCTGGGAACACTCTTCCCCCGCTTCACCTGGTCACTCTTCCCCTTTCTCATCTCCTCAGGAAATCTCACCTGACTCCCTCCATCGAGAGCCCCTGTTCTGTTTCCCCTTTCCTAGACTTAAAAGTAATTACGTGGGATTTTGAAGCTTTTCTCCTTAAAGACCTGCCTTGCTGCATCTTCCTGCTGGGGTCTGACTGAGGGCAGGGTCTGTGGCTCTGTCATCCCAGGGAAGGCACCGTCACCAGCTCTAACCTGGCACTTAGTGGGGCTCCCAGACCCTGTGTACCCACTGGATACTCCGTGCGGTAGGAGTGGGGTGGCCCTAGGCCTCCCAAAATGTTAGGGACTCCACCTGTGGGTCTGAGTCCATGACCCTGCATGATGAGGCCATCCTCACAGTGAAAGTGGCAGCTGTTGGTTGGTTTCTAAATACTTGGGTTGTTGCTGGCTACTTCTCTGAGCCTCAGTTTCCTCCTCTGCAGAGCGGTGCCAAGCGTCACTCACTGTGGGGGTTCAGGAAAGAGACCTAGACTGTTTCACTCAGCACCCGGGCCGTAGCCAGGTGGTCACCTGTGACTGCTAGGATGGAGTCCTGGCCCTCTACGCTCTTCTATCTGCTCCTGTCTGGTCCTGTGGCTTTAAGTAAGATCTATTCTCTGATGGCGCCTGCAGCTCTGATGGCTCCTCAAGCACCCACAGCCTCCCTGGTGTCCCTGCTTGGATGGCCCCTGGAGACTCGAAGCTCCCCTCCGCTATAGCAAAGTGTCTTGCTTCCCCTGCACACCCAGCCTGCTCAGAGACAGATGGAACAGAACACCCAGGCGTGCGGTGTGGGACAGACACTTGGAGGTCAGCTGCCACCGCTCCTCCCCGCCTGTCCCTCACTGTCACCTCCTGCTGGTTCAGTCTCCAAGCCCCTCCCAAGTCCACCGTCAAGGCCCTGGTCCAGCGTGGCATCTTTGGCCTTCAGGTTGCCACACAGCCTCCACACGGATCTCCCTTCCTCCCTCCATGTGACGGGTACGGTGTGTTAGGAACTGCCCTGTGGATTCTCATGGGAGTCAGAACTACACTCCAACCTCAGCGCACCCACAGGGCAAGGACGATCCCATTTCCCTGTTGGAAGGCAGGTTCCCGAGCCCTGTGATTTTGCCCGTTCCCTTATTTCCTCTCCACTGTCCTCTGGCACTGCCCATTGTCTTTCTGTGGTCCAGCATCCAAGGCTGATCCATTATGGATGAGGAACGGACAGTATTGTTTCAGGGCCGTGTGGGTCTTTTCTTCTTGTCATTCCCTGTAACAGCTGTCTACGTAGCATGCCACATCCCTGCTGTGTCCACTTCCTGCCTGAGGCCTATAGGGCAGTATGGGGTCACCTGCGCCTGCCCTTGCCTGAGGGGTAAACACTCACTCTTTCTTGCAGTGGGCAACCGTGAGGACCCACTCCGGGTGAATGAGGACCCCACCGCAGATAAGCTGGCCCGAGTTGTAGAGGGCAGCTTGGTAGGGATGAGAGCGCTGGTTGCAGGGCTCGCCTTGCACCAGTTTCTCGTGGTCCTCTGCAAAGGCTGTAGGGAGAGGGTGTGAGTCAGAGAGGAGTTGGAGGCACCAGGCAGGTCCACGAGGGGAGCCCGGCCCAGCAGACGCAACCCTGTGCCTCCTGGTCCTTGTCCTGGTCCTCAACCCCGACCCTGCCTCCTGCCTCCTCCGCTCTCCCCTCCTACCCTCCCAGCCTAAACTCTGATCTCCAAGCCCACCCCTCCGGCCCTTTTCCGTCTTCCTCCATCCTTGAGCAAATCCCCAACTTCCTCATTTCAGAACCACCAAACCTTCAACCCCACCCACATCCCACCCCATCCCAGCTGCTCCCCAGTCAACAGTCCCAGCCCCCGAGCCAGCCAAGCTCCCAACCGAGAGTCCCTTGTGCCCACCTCCAGCCAGGAGAACCAGCGCCACTGTCAGCACCTGCACTGCCATTCCTGCGGGGAAGACACGTCAGTCAGTACCTCTGCCTTTCCAGACCCCCTTCCCAGGCCAGCTCTGTCCTCTGGGGTGTGGCCTCCGGCCCTGACCTCCGGCTGCCTGGGAGATTCTCGCTCTGCACCTGGGCTTGGTGCACCCCAGCACCCTCCCTACATCTGTGGTCTGTATTACTGTAGTCTTACCTGCTGGTGGCTGCTGCCTGCTGGCCGCGGGGTTCTTGGATAGGGCAAGGGAAGCCCCAGTCGATCGCAGGCAGAGCAGAGGCAGAGGGGAGACACCTGCCTGGAACAGGCTGCTGCGAGGATGCTTGCTCTTGCTTGTGCGAGGCCTCGCAGGCTCTGTCTCTGGATTCCCGGCACTTCCTTTTAACCTCTATCTCCCCAAGTCCCTGTGCCAGGGCCCGGCCCCTCCCTTTTCCTCCTAACACTGGCCACCCACTCACATTCCTTTTGCCCCATTGACCCCTGACCTTACGGCAGGCAAAGGTGCAGATTCCTACTCTCAGGACCTGGACCCTGGGTCTGAGGGAAGAAGCGGGGCCTGGGCCCTGGGCCCAAAAGAAGATAGGAGCTTATTCTCCTTAATGTCTTAGGCATTTGAGAAAGGAGCTGACCTTTGCTCACCTCTCAGGGTCACCCTCCTGCCTGTGATTGCTCAGACACCTGTGAGCCCACATTCCCCGGTCTGCAGCACTTGGGGACAGAACTGCCACCTTGGGTCAGTGGGGTTGGGTAACTCACTTGCCTGTAAGTCCCTCTGTGGGTGCCTCCGACCTTGACCTTTCTGTCCCAGGAAAGTGCAAACAGTCAGTAAGAAAGGGTGTGCCACTGAGCTGGCCCCTGCCTCTGCACCAGGCTGGGGAGGGGCCTGGAGCTTGGGGACAGGGCCCTCGGACAACCAGGCTTTGTCAGTTGCCATCCCAGTGCCAGGCTCGCGGCAGTTCCACTTCTCAGCCTCTTTTCTAGGCCTGGTAGGAGGCTGTGTCAATGGTTTTCCTTTGTTCCTGGCTTCCTGCTGTGTTCCTATGATAGAGGGGAATGAAACTCCCATTCTACTAGAGGTCCAGTACCAATTTGTGTGCTCTCAAATCGGAGAATGGACTTTAGGAACAATGCCGTTAAGAGCAGAAGATATTTATTGAGAGAAAGAAAGGTTCGGTCTGAAGAGAGACAGAAAGGGGGCCCAAGCCTGTTGCCAAAGACTCTGTCTTTTCTAGGGATTTTTATACAGCAAAACCATGACGTGAAGTGGGTCCAAGGTGGGGAAAACATGGGAACTCACAAGGTGGGCATGAGGTGGGACAGAATATGGTCAACCAATAGGGTTAATTGCTCAGGTAAAATTGATCAAATCAGGAACAAATGGGGATGCCAGTCCCATAGCAAGCAAGCATGCCTAAAGAACAGTGACCCTTCCTGTAGGGAGGTGGAATGGTGAATCCTGGCTTCCTCAGGGTGATAGAGAATGATCTAGAACATCAGTCCTTAGGATACGGTGTACTTGCTGGATCTCTTGTCTTGAGGCCTGGCCACAGCGGAGGTGTCTGTCTCCCCCACAGTCGCAGGGTACCTGGCCTTCTGCACTGGCTCCCTCGAGGGCCCAGCCCTGTCTGGCTGCCTGTAACTGGACTGCCCGCCTGGCCCAGCCCTGCACGGTAGAACCTCGGCTCTCCGGGTCCCTCTCCTGCAAGTCTGTCCCTCCCGGGTCTCTGGATCTGTCTTCCTGACCCCCCGTGGAGGTGTCTCTGAGGTGTGTGCTCTGTCTCTCCATCTCTAGCCCGTGTGTTTCTCTCTCTTTTCCCTTTCTTCTTTCTCCATCCTCTCTCCTCTCTCTCCTCTGTCTCTCTGTCTCTAGTGCATTTCTTCTTTCCCCTTGATTCTATGGCTCTTTCTAATTATCTGCCTCCTGATTTCCTAGAGATTTCCTGATGGAAACAGATCTGATGGAAGCATAAGGTCAAGGTTTAAATCTTTAAAATTTATGACCGTAAAAGGTGCAGCGCCTTGAGTGTATCTGACTTTTGCCCTCCTTTCACACACGCTCATGCCTTCATTCTGGCCACATCATTCTTGACACTTTCTGGGGTGGATCTGGAGGTCCTCTTCCGTGATCGATGAAGTAAACACAGACACAGCGTAATGGCTTCACAAAGCTGCATTTCTGTCGAACGGCACTTGGTGGCAGAAGTCACCATATTTTTGATCACACCTGGTAAAAACACTCAGGAAAGAGGACTTCCAGAACTGCTTCAGAAAGTGGTGGGAATGATGGGAAAAGTGCTGGAAGCAAGGGGATGAACGTTTTGAGGGGGATCACGGAACCTGTCTTTCCTGGCCATGCATTTTATTTAACTTAAACAGGCTGCTGCTGGGGTCCTGGGGCAGCGGAAGGGACAGTGCAATAGCTAAGGGGAAGCTGGGGGGGGGGGCACAGGAGGACCTGAGGGCCCCCTGCAGAGGTCCCAGCCTGCAGGAGCCATGCACAGAGAGAGCAGCAGGGACAGGGGTTGTGTGGCTGAGCTCGGTTGAGAGTGGAACCAGGCCACTCACTCAGGTCAAGAGGAGAAGGTGTGAGAACACTCTGCAGGCAGGCAGGGTTGGGGGAAGTGACCAGTGGTCGGTGTGGAATGCGGGGTGAAGGTGTGGCAGATAGACGGGGGTTGGCTTGACGTCAGGGTGGAGAGAAGCCAGATAGGGGCTTGTGGGGAAATGGTTGGGTAACAAGGACAATGGAGATGAATAATGTCTGTCTCAGCCCCAGCGTGGGTTTGGCACCTGAGGTAACCTTTTTTGTCCTTGCATCAAATCTAATTGTCACCTTAGGTGGCTTCGCCCAGTGAGCTTCAGGATGGGCCCTTTCTGACTGTTCCCCAATGTGCACATGTCTTCTGAACAACCTGCTCTCCTCTGGGACAGGGAGTCAGAGCTTGCAGGCCCATTGGGTCCCCAGCCTTGCTCACCCCTCTTTTCTCTGTGGGGTCCCCTCCTGTCTCATGTTCCTGGCCCCACGTCGGACCCACTGTCCTCTCACCAGCTATGCCCTGCACACCCCTCAGTCTCCATGTGCCTCAGTAGACCCAACGGCTCTCTGCACCCACTGACCCCGGCCCGGCCCCTGCTTCTCCCAGCCCTCGGGACAGAGTCCGAGCCCTCAGCCTGGTATTGAGGAACCCTGGGCATCCAGAGAAGCACCAGCCAGGGGGAACTCGAGACCAGGACCCTTGCGATCTCTAGCGGTCCCAAGGTTTTGTGTTTTAGAGGCCAAGTGTGCGGCTCTATGGCAGAGCTCTCCCCTAGTACGCATAAGGCACCGGCTGCCATCCCCAGCAGCAGAAGAGAAAACAAAATTATAAAAGGATGTAGCACTTTCTCATCAGAAAAAAGAAGTATGCGGAGGCAATGCACATGCTAAACAACTCCGCCGAGCCATGCCACGATGTGTAGAAACCATCCTCGGAGCATCACACTGTGTGCTGTAAGTGTATGCAATGGGAACCCACTCATTAAAGGTGTGTTTCAGAGAAAGAAAAAGGTAAAAAAAAAAATGGGAAGAAATTGAACCGGGTGGTCCGTGTCCATGATAATTCCAGCTGTCTGGGAGGATGAGGCAGGAGGATTGCAAGTTTGCAAGTTTGAGCCCAGCCTGGACAACTTCGTAAGTTAGTGAAACCCTGGCTATAAATAAATGAATAAATACATGAATGCATGCTGAGAATGTAGCTCAGTGCAAGGAACCCAGGCTCAATCTCTGATACCACAAAACAAAACAAGGCAAACAAAGAGAGCTCATTTTACAATTTCATTTAACTCAAGCTATTCAAAGTATTATAATTTCAATGTGAAGTTATAGCAAGAAAAATTGCACAGGGACCGTCTGCCTTATTTCTTGCCATTTGAAGTGCTTGGAATCTGTTGTCTTTTTTACTTAAGTGTTTCTCAGCGTAGATAATAGGTGGCTGCAGTGTCGCCTGGCCTCCAGCCTCCAGCCTCCAGCCTGAGCCCAGCCAGGCGATGCCACACCTCTGGTCTCGGGTCCTTCGCTGGAACTGTTTCTTCTGGGTGGAATGCTCTCCCCACCTTTTCCTGACAGCAAGTCCTGGTCCTTCCAGTCCGTGTCTCAACGTGGCCTCCTGCAGGAAGCCTTCCGGAACACTGCCAGCTTCCGCCTGCTGTGGTTGGGTTAGTCACTGTCATGCGGGCTCAGGAGCAGGCACCCTGGACCAGGGCCATCTGAATCGACGTCCACATGAAGCCTCTCTCGTTGCACCTGGGGCTTCCTGATGGCAGACACTGGGGCTGACTCAGCTCTGTGCTCCAAGGACCTCTGGAGGACCTGGCCCAGGAGAACCTCAGGAAATGTCAACCCAGTGACTAAATGACTTCATTACGCCCACTGTTGTTTTTCAGATAAGACAACTGAGGCTCAGGGGAAGGAGGTTCATGGCTCAGTGACAAATGGCAAGAGGGCCAGGGACCACCAGGAAGGAACAAAAGTCAGGGACAGTAAACGAATGCCCTGAGCACAACCAGTGGTCACCCTATATAGCACGGTGTGTGGCTTCTCTGCCCTTGGACTTTTTCAGCAGACCCATCAGAGGCGCTGGTGAAACTACAAAGGTAAGATGCTGCACAAAATAAAAAATAGTTACCGAGAAAGGCCTGGCTCACCCCTGGAACCTCGCTTGCCCTCATGAACTCCATAGTCACAGTTTGGAGTCTGCACAGCTGAGTGATGCCTCATTAGCCCCCCACTAGAGTGCTGTCAGTGACATCTGCGGCATGTGGGTTATGGCGGTGCCTTCCTGCGGTGGTGGATGGACTCACGGTCACCTTGCGCACGGTCACCAGCTGAACTGAGTCCGTGTGGTCCTGGCTGTGGAAGGCCCTACCTGAGGACTAGTGCCAACAGCATAAAAAGGGAACTAGAGGATGAGGTGGCACTGTTGATTCTCCTGTAGAAGCTTGTCACGCTGGCTTTCCTGAGGTGAACTCGGCTGTTCTCATCATTGGAGGAGCTCAGGATCCTCACTGTGGCTGAGGATGGCCGTGGTTCTCTTGTGGTTCTCTGGTCCTTACCTTGAGCATTATTTCCTGGCTCCAGTGCGGATCCCTCAGCCTGCTGGCACAGACTCTTCATCCCCCTGGTGCAGACTTTCTGGCTTCCACCACTGACTTTTGGGCCTTCCCAGTGCACATCCTTGATGCAGACTTCCAGGAGACATTGTCGTGGCCTCTAGGCCTCCATCGAGACTCATGGAGGATGTTGCCCTGGGCTCTAGGTCTTCATCTGAACTTGTGTAAGACACAGCTGCAGGACTCAGGGCCTCTGCTGGATTCCCTGTCTCTCGTACATGGACACACCTGCACTCTTCTGCATTTGACTCTTCAAGTAAATATTATAAAATAACCCCATACATTATGTGAACTAAATTAAACTTTTTCTCTTGTAAACCCTGACCACAGCACCTGGTCTTACCCCATCCATCCCTCATAGGCCTGAAGATGCTCGGTGGGTAACTAAACTGTGGTGAGAAGGGCTGGCATCTGTCTGTGCACTGTGTCTCTCCCCTTGCTGCCTAACCTCCGCTCAGATTCTGCTCAGAGCTGCAATGCAGGTGTGTTGCTTGCATTATGTGTTTTCTTTTCTCTCTGTCCTTTCTGTTTTCTGTGTCCACCCTGGTGTTTCTTCAACTGCCGTGAGAGCCTGAGCACCTGACGTTCTTTGACCCTGTCCCAGGGCCCGGGTGCAGGAGGCTGTTACGTTCTGCCTGTATGATGGGCCAGCTACGTGAAAGTTCAGACAAGCTGACTGTGACTGCCCCATGGTCCAAATCTTACACAAGAAGGAACATCTTTTGGAGCTGTGCCCCTGGCCAGTGGAAACTGATTGGGCTTGAGCACAACCCAAGAGATCAGTGAAAGCTTGCTCTCCCCCTTTGGAGAGCAGCTTGATCCCTCTCTCCATCAGTGCCAGCTCCCTTCAGATATCCCCAGTGAGCCTTGCCTGTGTACTTGCTTGCAGGTCTTGGCCCAGTCTCAGGGACTGGTGGGAAAGCCTGAATTGGAACTCAGCTTCCAATGTGGCCTGGGATGCGGCTCATCTCTTGGTGACCCCCTGGGCTTATCTCACTACCAACTCGAGGTGGATGGAGCAGGAGGAATTGCTGAGAGCAGTGTGGGGAAAGGAGGAAGGTGGAAGAACATGAGGGAGTGGAGGAATTGCCAAGAATGAGGACAAAGCCCACAACTCCACCCACTTACCAGTGACATTGGACAGACTGCCACGGTCTTGCCATCTCCACAGGCTGCGAGTGCTCCCTTACCAGGCATTTGCCTCCCAATTGACTTGCTTAGCAAAAGCCTCCAGTGTAGACCTAATTTCACAAGGAAATTTTTTTGTTTTTTTTGGTACCAGGGATTGAACTCATGACCTGTCATTTGCAAGGCAGGCGCTTATGCTGCTGAGCTAAATCCCCAGCCCTCGTAAGGAAATTTCATGAGAGTGTAAACAAGAAAGACGCCAGAAGCTGTAAACAATGAGAGCTGATATTCGCTGCAGGCTTATTCTGGGTCAGTGGTCCAGTACTTTCTGTATATTAATTGATCTTCATAATAAGCCTGTGAAATAGGTGGTTTCTCTCACATTTTCAAGATGAAGAAACAGGAAGTGACGTAGTGGGACTGGGGCGTGGCTCAGTGGTATAGAAAATGATTAGCACACAGAAAGTGCTGGGTGAGGAGTGCGTGGTGCCCCTCTCACTGTGCGTGTGCGTGTGTGTGCACACACACGCACACACACAAGCAGCTAGCATGCAAGGGCTGCAGTTGGAAGTGAAACTGGAAACGAGGTTAGAGTTTTCAGTCTGCGTACGGCTCGGGTCATTGTGAGCCAAGCCACCTGGGACTTGTACAATAAAGAGGACCAGGAGCTGCAGCTTGGATTAGCACGGCTGTCCTGTCTTGTGACTTTGTACAGTTTTATTGTACAAATATCGAATTTTGATGTGAGGTCCTAGCAGGGGAGAGAGAAGTTGATCGAGCTTCATGGGAAGTAAGGCACAGTTCTGTGACATTCTTTAAACGTTAAAAAGGCCCACAGAAACCAGGAACAGGGGCCTAGACACTGATGTCTAGAAAAAGGAAGTGCTGTGGGCCTAGAACCCAGATCCGAGTGGCAAGGTTGGGCTTTTCAGGGTTTTAGTGTCACTCGTGCCTGGGATCAGCAGCTGCAGACTCTGTGGCATTAAGGCCAGAGAGGAGGGGAGGTCCAGGGAGATCTGGGAGAGATTAGCTGATGGTGGGGAGGGCTTTCTGGAGACAAGTGGGAATCCCAGGTAGGAATGACAGGCCCTGCATGGGAGTGGGTCCCTGTGTTGACCGTGTGTGTGATGTGACTCCCAGAGACCTCTGATTGTGGCCAGGCTCTGAGTCACAGCGGACTCCTCCTTCTTCCCTTCCAAAATCCCCTCTTCCCCCACTTCCCAGCCACCACCTTCCTCTGATCTTGGGACCCTGGTGGCTGACTTTCTGTGGACCCTCCAGGTCCCTAGTGCCCTGTCCACCTGCTGCTCCCCACCCTGCTCCTGTTTGTCACCTGTGAGGTACTTAGAAATACTCTCACAGCATGGCCATGTGGCAGGCATACCTTTCCCCTCACCTCCTCTCTCTTCCCCTTTCCTCCTCTTTTTTCCTCCTATTTCACAGATGAGGAAAACTGAGACCCAGGAACAGAGACAGACACATCACAGAACAGTGAGGTGGCTCCAGGCTCAATGCAGGATGCAATTTCTTTGTGACCTCACCCAGTCAAGGGTCTCCTCCCTGCATCCTTCTCGGATGCCCAGAGCTTTCCCTCCTTCACTTTTCCAGATAGCAAAGTGCAAATCTATGATAACCACAGTGTGAAGTAGGAGACGCCTAAGGCCAACACCACATGCACATCCAGTCCATATTCTGTCCAATTTTATTCTGAGTGTATCATTTACAAGATCGCATACTTTTTTCTTTTGTGGCTTCCTTGTTCCATGTAACACTGCATAGCATGAGCACATGTGGCACTCACATTGCTGTCTAGGTCTTACACTGTCCTCCTTGTAACTTTGAACACATTGATCTGTCCTTTAAACAATTCACTTGCTCAGGAACAGGTTTCCCTAGTTCTTCTGCTACAATAAATAGTGTAACCAACTCAACTCTCTTGCTCCACCTTTGGTACCTTTCTTTGTTTTTTTAGTTCTCTCTTCCTAGCATTAGAATGACCGGGTCAAGGGCAGTGCAAGGTGGCCTCCATTCATGACAAGAAACCCCTGCTTGGAGACCCAGTGAATTCCCAGCTCCAAGATTTGACAGTGCTGTCTCAGCCACGTTTTCCATCGCACTTAGGGTTTTTTTTTTTCTTTACTTGTTTTGGCTTTAGGTCTTTGCTTTTTTGAGGTTTTAATACATTCTGAGGAAAGATAAAATCAGACAGGACTTTAGAGGTCACCGACGTCCTTATTTCCGTGTGTCCTGCTGGGAGCCTGGAGCTGACTCTTGGTGGTGCACTAGCGATGTTTTCTCATGGTCTCTTTCACCCAGTTAGAATACTTGCACACTTGGGTGTAGACGCCTGGTTCGTTGGGTTTGCCGCAAGGGAAAGTTCCCCAGGACACAATACCTTGCACGGTACCTTTGCACATCAGCGGTCCCCCTGAGTCACCCTGCAGGGAGCACAGCAGATCAGTTTTGGCTTTATGGCAAACCCTCTGGCCCCAACTCAGACTTATACATTCCCGCAGTTTAGTGTTTATCCTTCCAGGACACCTTGGCCAATGAGAAAAGACTCATTGTCTTTAGGAACCAATGGAAAAGCATGACTTGATATTATCTTGGAATGGACCAACCAGATCTTTGAAGACATTAGTTGAGTTCTGGCCAATGGAAATGATCACAGGACAGGGGTGGGGCTTCCAGAGACTCAGTCATGGTTCATTTTCAGTATAAAATTCTTGGGTTAAAGATTCTGTCCCAGCCAGTAGAGAAAGAGCAACCTCCCCAAAGGGTGGATGTGGGTCCTTTGTGCATGAAAGGGGGAGGGCAGGGTGATCTTGGAGGCCAAGGCTAGGTGCAATGACATCATTTCGGAGCTCCTAGCAAAAAATACACACTACCTTGTCCCAAAACCACTAAGGACTTTGAGGCAGTAATAGGAGGGCATTAAACTGAGCATTGGAGCTTCTGAGTGAGACTGTGGGCCACCACACCGTGTTCACAATGCACCCTCCCTGCCTTTCTCCCAGGACAGGCACTTTTCTCTAATCCCTCATCCCTAGCAGACCCTACCTGCTTCCTTTAGTGGGCAGAGACATGGTGGGGGAAACACCAACTTTCAGAGACAACAAAGAGGGAAAGAGTGAAGTGGAATTCGGCATAAAGAGAAAGGTATGGCAAAGATGCGCAGAGGCAGAGGGGAGACCACAAGTAGAGAAGTGGGACCAAAGAGGAGTGGAAGAGACAATCCCACTGCCAGGAGCAGAGCAACGACTGTGACATTCATGTCACACAGAAGAGCCTTAGTATCCACAATAAATAACACTTCAGTGCAGTGATTTAGAAGTTAAATGTAGCTGGACGTGGGGGCACACACCTGTAATCCCCACCCTTGGGAGGCTGATGCAGGAGGATTGCAAGTGTGGGGCTAGCCTAGTCAACTTAGCAACTTAATGAGACCCTGATTCAAAGTAAAAAGATAAGGACTGGGATATAGCTCAGTGCAGTGGCCCTGGGCTTCATCCCCGTACCAGAGGAAAAAGCCCAGAATGTAGTTTATCTCCACCCCTGGGTTCTTGGTGCCCCCAGTTCCATTCCTGCTTTCAGTCACGTGAACCCCATGCCCAGAGCCTCCTCGGCTCCTGCTGTGCTCCTGCCCCTGCTGCTGCCTAGCGGGGAGGGACTCAGGAGGAAGCAGAGTCTGGAAAGGACAGCAAGGCCAGGCCTGCCAGTCAGGCTCGGTGGCCAGGGGTGGAGAGCAGAGACAGGCGGGGGAGGGGAGGCTCACGTTGCAGGTGTTGGTCTTGGAGTCCTTGACGCCAGCACACAGCATGGATTTTCCCAGCAGCTCCTTGTACACCTTTTTGCATTCACTGGAGGCGACGAGGTTCACATCGGCACACATGAGTTCGGCGGGGAAGGTCACTGCAGGACAGGCAAGGAGGGCTGTCACTCAGAGGCCCGGGACATGCAGGGAGAGGGTGGCCCGTGTACCGCGGGGCTGCGGGACTGGACACTCAGGGGTGAGGGTCTGAGGGTGGAGACTGGGCCCAGACCCTGAGCCAGCCAGGTGGTGTCACCTTGAGGGCTGGTGGTGGTGCCCCAGCCGGAGATGGAACAGGAGGTGCCTGCGGGTTCACAGCGGGTGGGCAGTTTGGCGGCTTTCACGCGGGATGACATCCTGGCTGGACTGTCCAGCCGCACCAGCATGATGTCATTCTCGTGAGTCTGCGTGGAGTAGTGTGGGTGGCGGAATGACTGTGTGGCCTTAATCTTCTGAGCTCTCCTGTCACCGAGCTTGTCACTACCCAGATGCACAACGTACTGGCTGGCAGGGAGAAGGCAGCAACATTCAGAGAGAGAGAGGACACTGGCTCCCTACCTTGCCCACCCGGCCTCGGGCACCACCTACCCCATCTTGCAGTGGGCGGCCGTGAGCACCCAGCGCCTGTCCACTAGCACCCCGCCGCAGTGCAGCTGGTTGCCTTTGAGTAGGGCCACCTGCCAGGGGTTGGAGCCTTCTTTGCACGGGTCACCATTGATAATCCTGGTCCCATCACCATTGCCTGTTTAGGGACACAGAGACGCTTGTGGGTAGCCAGCATGAGGTGGAGAGGCAGAGGCCACAGTGGAGAAGAGAGGAGAGAAAGTGACAGTCGGGCATGGAGGGACCAGGGGGCCAAAGCTCTGAGGAGGACCCCCTGGGGCCGGGCGGAGGACTGGTGGAGACCTCTCACCAGCAGAGGCAGGGCTTGGGGTAGGCAGAGATGAAGGAGGCAGAGAGAAGCCCAGAGAGGGAGTGGAACTGCCCAGCCCAGCCCTTCTTGGCTGGAAGCTGTCCAGGAGGGAAGGCACAGACTCACGGTCTCCGTCTTGGGTCTCACGGTCTCCATACTGAGTGTGACCATCAGAATGGACCCAGGGAGCATCTTCAGGCCCCCACTCGGCAGTTACCAGGGCTGAGCTCAGCAGGAGAAGCAGTAGGGGCAGGAAACGGGGTCCTGCCATGGTGCCTCCAAGTCTCTCCGGGGCAGCCAGGCAAGTCCTGCAGCAGGAAGTGGGAAACTCAGGATGGAAAACTCAGTCTGGACTCCTCTGTCCTCAGCGCAGGCCCTCAGCCTTCTCCCTCAGATGCAGAGGTGTGGACCTCGGTCCTCAGTCCCTACCCCCTATCCCTCTCCTGTCCTTTCAGACTGTAAGTATGGAGCCTTTCTCTTCTCCTCTAAGGGCTGCCTGTGAGTGACTTCTCACTCTAACCAGGAGGCCAGGGCCAGTAGCACCCCTGCCCTCCCCCAGCTTCCCTCCTGTAGCCCCTGCCCTAGTGCAGTCCCTTCTTACCTGGTGGCAGCAGCCTGGGCTATGGTCTGCGCTCCTGTCCAGGCAAGGACAAGTGTGCAGCCCTGTGCAGGGCGGTCCTCTTATATCACCTGCGCCTCCTCCTTCCTCCTCCCTCAGGCCCTGGGGTGGTGCAGGTAGAGCTGGAGCTTGGACACCTCTTTCTACTGGCTCTGGTTATCTGAACCCCTGAGGCAGCCAAAGCAATTGCTGCCACCCCACTCTCTCCACCCTTCTTCTTGAAGCCAGGTCGCCAGGTCGGGCGGCACCCGCCTTGCTCACCCACATACATTCTGGCTCTGGAGGTCAGGCTTGCACGGGGGAGGACCAGGTGCTCCAGCTTGAAGGGCAGGAAAGCGACTCGGAAAGGGCTGGAGCAGATGCTGGTTCTTCTGTGGCCCCTCCCTTGGACCATTCTCCTGCCCTGGGCTCCTCTTAGAGGTGAGCTGGACTCCACACCCTAATTCAGACCAGTCTGTGGGGCTTATATGGGTTTTATCCCTCCTGCCTTTGAGCCTGAACCCCTGCCCAGGTATAATGAAGAAGAGTACGGTGAAAAAAACGGTGTTTTCCTTAGCTCCACCTGCTTCACGCTGTTATCAGCCTGTGTTTTCAGGTGTATTTCTGATCATATCATCCACAGGTTTATCTCTACATTATGTATTGATAACAATAGTGTCTTTACTAAATATTATTATATAATAGGATTTTTTTCTTTTAGTAGTGGATGCCAAACCCAGGGCCTTGATACAGAGTTATATTCCCAGTGCTTCTTAAAAATTTTGAGATAAAGTCCTGCTAAGTCACTACATTGTCCAGGTTGGACTCAAATTTGTGATTCTACTGCTTCAGTCTCCCAGAGTGCTGGGGATTACAGATGTGTGTCACCATGTTTGGCTTTTAATTTTTTTTTTCCTTTTAAAATATCTGCAACATTTTCCCCTGACATTTTGATCATTTCCCCTTCCTGTTGAATGTTGTGTAATATTTCATATTATAGTGTTAGGGTTGTGGCTGATGTAATCCACCTTAAATGGGGAGGGTCATTGGGGAAGTTTTGGTTGTAACAGGGATGAGACGTCCATTCATCTTTCCTCACCATGTCAATCTCAGAAATATCCGCTGAGTGTCCATTGGGTGCCAGGAACCACTCTGGATCTTGGGGGCATCTTCCACTCCTAATTTGACCAGGAGAGATATTCTTGCTGCCCACCCAAACACTCACTCCTTTACATCTCCCTCTCACCTGATTTCAAGGACTGGGGATCGAACTCATGACCTCATGCTTGCCAGGCAGGTACTTATGCCACTGAGCTAAATCCTCCTCCTTGCATAACCTTTTATTCTCATCATAACCCTAAGGCTGAATGAGCTAAGTGCAGGAGTCATGTGATTGGTTTAGGGGTGGACACGTGAGGCCTTTTGCGCCAATGGCAAGTGAAGAAAAGACCACTGGGTGTTTCTGAGAATGAATTTCCTATCTCCAGTGTCACTGGAAGGATTTTTATGTCTTCTGCTACATGGTGTCCCTTCTGGATGCAAATTCTGGCACTGTGGCTGCTTTCCTGGTACCATGAGGGGAGGTAGATGGTGGTGTGAGTCAAAATACTGCAGATGGCCAAAGACAGGGATGATCACCTGGGTCTCTGATGATGATGTTGCACTGGTAAATCACCCAACCACGGAATGGTCTCATCCTGTGGCTCTTCCAGGCTTCCTCTCTATGATTGAGTTTGGTCCTTACCACCACACTCATCCTTACTAACACCCAAGTCCCAACTCAGATCCCACATAAGATCGGGAACCATGAATCCAAATCCGGGTCTCCCTTGAATCCTCATCTTGAAGCCATAGCAGTGAAAAAGGCCAATATCCCTCCAGTGCTGGCCGAATCTCCCAGACTGACTCCCACCCCAGGCTCAGGGCTGGTTCTGTGCTGTGTTTAGTGAGTATCGTACTGAGCACCGTCTGGGTGACAGGCTGGGTGAGACGCTGAGGACACAGTGATGCTTAAATCTGGGTAGAGTCCCTTTTCTCAGATTGCTGACAAGCTTGTGAAAAACAACGATAATCGAATAAGCAGGTATAAAATCATAGCCATGAAAGGGGCCCTGGAGGAGATTCTGAAAGGGGTGCAGGGGATTCTGAAGCTCTGCCAGGCAGTGGGGACCCAGGAAGCGACAATGAACGGAAAGCTGGAAGCACAGAAAGCATTAGAGTGTAGGAGACACGAGAAGGGCACAGCATAGGGGAGACCGTGTGCGCAGAGGCCCCAGCTTTGGGCTGTGTGGATGCAGCCTGGATCCAGACCACCGAGTGCCTTTCAGAGCACAGGGTGAGCTGACCGCACCCTGCTGGCGAAGAAGAGCGTTGTGGACTCAGGGAAATAGCTTAGCACTCTGGCTGCTCTATAGGGAGGGGTCTGGGAAGACAGGAAGATGTTGCAGACCACGAAGAAGTAGTCATCAGATAGAGGGTGATGATGAGTTGGATAAGGGCCCTGGGAGGTGGAGATACGTGCTGTGGGCTCTGATTATGCGGCAGAGAGATAATCCACAGGCTGTGGTTCTGGAGTGGATGGAGAGGTGGGGAGACAGAAGGAGATGCTGAGGCTTTTGGTTCTCACTGGGGGTGGTGGTGCCAGTCATGGATGTGACATGATCAGGTGTGGCCGGCTGTTTCTCAGAAGGGCAGGAAGACCTCAGGGCCTGATCTCATGCATACCTCTAATGCCCTCCTACACAAATCTTGACATGGCCCTAGGCTTAACCCCAAGCTTTAACTGGTGCCTAGTGTTAACCCCAAATGCTGCCTTCACTCTTGACCAACTCCAATATATACCTACACCCAGACCTCAGCTGGAGTTTAGGCTAGGATCCAACTTCCACTAAGCTCAACTCTGACTCTCGATCTGACCCTGACCTCCTCACTGTAAGTCAAACTGAGCCTTGACTCAAAACGGAGTATCCATCTCAGTCCCCAAAGTATCTCACAGACAGCACAGACTTCTGGCTCCATTCCTGTCATACTGCAGGAGGCCCACACTGATTCCTACCTGTAAACTCATCCCCTGTGGCCATCCAGAATCATCCCTATTCTTATTTCCAAGCCAATTTCTACTAAAATTCCAATTTTATTTCCATCACCAACTTACCTGCATTCCACCTTCATTTCTCCAATCCACCTCACACAGTGTTGACCTTTTATTTCACATGAACTGTAATACAAATCCATCCAACATCATTCTAATGTGGATCCCATGCTAAGTTTAAGCTAAGTCAATAAACCTGATGCCACTTACCCTCAAGGCCAAAATCAGATCCCCAAACTCAGACCCCTGGCCTTGCCAGTTCCACAATGGGACCCTGGATCTGAAGGGTGTCACCTTACCCAGAAACAGAGATGGCCCCCAGAAATGGTTATGTGATCTGAGAGCTCCCTGACCTACAAACAGACAGCTTTCCTTTCTGGTTGCAAAGGGAGGAGTTTTCACAGGACAGCCAGTTTGTTATCTTCTGCCTGAATCTTCACCTCTGGTTTTTTTCAACCTCAGTCCTCAAATCACCTTTAGTTTTCGGCTAGAAAGGGAAAAGAGTTTGTTATCACTCCCAGGTCTTCAGATGTGTTTTGCCTATCTGTCACTCTGAGAGTTTTGGTCCTAAGTATTTAATCTGGCTCTGTTGCTAAAACCTGGTCTTCTTGAGTAAAGGCATTCACTATTCAACACCCAGCTCAGACTGGAAAACATAGGAGGAACCTAAGTAGATACTGGTTTGCAAGCCTCTGGCACCCACGGATCCACTAGTCCTGCTTTGATCTCTGAGCCTTTCTGCCTCGGGCTAGGGTAGAAAGAGTGTCCCCTCTATCAGTCCAGTCTAGGTTTGTTGCCCATCCTGTGACTTGGTTTTTCTGAGTCTACAGTCCTTCTCTAAGGTAGAAGAGAGTGAAGCCTGCTCCTTGAGGCAGTTGACAGAATTATACAAACTATGGGTGGAAGACTGAGGGGCACACATTGGGCACTAACACTAGCGTCCTAACTCCAGCAGCTGATGAGTAAAGCAGTTTCCAGTTCTTGTTCATCTGCACAGTGGTGACAGATGCTTCTCAGATCTCATCTCTGCTGTTCCCCACATCTGCCCAAGTAAGGGTTGTCATATAGACGAGGAAACAGAAGTTTAAGAGAGATTAGATCACTTGAGCAAAATTGCATAGCTCAGGAGGATGAAGGGTCAGAATCTGAATCCCGGGAATACAAAAGCCCCTAGTATTAGCACCGCACATGCGCACACACGCATATGCACACACATGTGCACATGTATATGCATGTGCACGCACGCATGCACTCGGAAGTTCCCCTTCACCCTCACATGCCTTGAATCTCATTTGCCTCAAAGCAGACTCTAAATGCTGCATTCCCTGGGCCTGTTAATGACGCTTGGCCCCTACGTCGATGAGATCCTAAATTCCTTCTCCTTGTGTCCTATGACTAAGTCCCACCCAGACACCCGGCTTCATACCTCCCTCACCCTCAGATTCGTGTACTAAACCTTTGTCTGATGACTCACCCTCTAGCTCATGAGCACACATGAGTACTGGCATCCGACCATCCTGGCAGCTGTGCCCTACCCTAAGGGATCCGGGACACAATGGCTCTGGCACCTCCTAACTCAGCCTCTGGGTTCTGATGGTCCATTGTTTTTGACTTACTGGATTCCCTTCCCCCTTCCTTGAAGAACAATGCTGCACTTCTTTTGGGGAGATGCTTCCTCATTTCCTGTAGTTCCAGTGAGACTGTCCATTATGATTGTTCAATCCCACCTACCCATTTTATTCAGCTCAAGCCATCAAGATCCATATTTTCTCCCTAGCAACAATTGGTAGATCCTTGATCAAGCTGGGCAGTCAGAGCTGGAGACTGATTTGGACAAAGCGTCTCACACATCCAACATCCCTGGTGGAGAATGGCCTTCTCATAACCTTAGGCAGCTGTGTTTCATATCACATGATTTCAAATGGCCAATGATTGGCTCAGATTGTCACCTGACCAGAACACAATCAAACAATTGGCCACTCAGTGACCCATGATGTGGCCGAGTGAGAAAACATGAGCTGGACCAACCATGTTCTTTTGTCTTTCTGTCTCTGTGTTTCTGTCTCTTTCTCTCTCTTCTGCAATACTGAGGATTAAACCTAAGGGTGTTTTACCATTGAATTACACTCCCAGCCCTTTTTATTTGGAGACAGGTTCTCACTAAACTGCCCAGTCTGGGTTTAAATCAGTCCTTTGTAAGAATATGCAATACTCTGAGAAATCCTAGCAGAGTGTCTACTCCCAAGGAAATTTATGTTAAATTTTTGCTTTGCTGTATTGACAACATCCCCAAATGCCTTTCGTCCCACACTTTCATATGGACACAATGCTCATTTTTTCCATTGATATCACCAGATACCCCCAGATAGCTGATAAACTGTGAAAAAAATTTTTTTAGACTTTGAAGGAGTCTCAAAGTATGATTTTCTTATCTGTTTGTTGATTTTATGAGTGTTGATTTGTCAGTATTTACTGCATGCTTCTAATGCACAACCAGGGGGAAAAAGTGGGGAGGAACTCCCCAAAATCTTTTAACATTTAGGCTTCTCAGAAAAACTAAACAAAAACCTTTTCAAGACTGCTTTTCACAGACTGGTCTCCTGGATATTCGAATATCCTTTCCTGCCTAAAACAATCCTCCCACTTGCTCAAGTCTTTCAAAAAAAGAAAAAGGAGTGAGGAGAGTTATTTTCGGTACTGGCTCTGGCCAAGAATCCAGTGGGGTCCTGGTCTTTTAGATGTGCCACCAAGTCAGACACCAAGATGCAGCCTCTTCTGATTCGCCCCTCCCCACCGGGCTAATAGACAGACAAGGAGGCAGCAGGGGGGCTGTTTATTGAGAGACCCGCGGACTTTTCGCAATCAGCTCCTGTTGCCCATGGTCTTCTTGATCCAGTTGAGGTAGCGGCAGATGTTGGTATAGACACCAGGCTTCTTGGGCCGCCCGCAGGGGTCTGAGCCCCAGGATGTGATGCCCTGGAGGACTCCACCACACACCAGTGGACCTCCAGAATCGCCCTGAAGGGGATGGGTAGAGAGCAAGTGTCCAAACTTTCTTCCTGTTGCTCTTAGCATTTATATTAGCTCTTTAAGGTGATTGGTCCCCCTGCAGCCAATGAGGATAAAAGCATTGCCCCCTGAAACCAATCAGAAGTGAGAAGGTGGGGCCTCTAATGTACACAAGATGCAGACTGAGTGTGTAAGGGGGATGGTGGGAATCCAGACCAGCGATGGAAGAGAGTGAATGAAGTCCTCAGGGTGCAAGCCAGAGGGAAGACTGTGGGGATTACAGGGAGAGAACTGAGAGGATGTTTCTTTCGTATTCCAGTACCAGGCATGGGAGAAAGGAGCAGAGCTCTTGTGGTAACACGGACACACTCATCACCCCAGATCCCCAAGGGACAACAAAAGAATCTCTGTGAAGAGCCCACTGCCTTTATGAAAGAACGGAGAGATTTCTGCTTTCACAGCAGAATCACTGATGGAAATGAATCCATTCTTGGCCAATGAGGAAGAAGGCACTGTCTCCAGGGATGGATCATTAATGACGGGGTGGAGTTTTAATGAAAGGGACAAAGCCAGGGGACACCAGACCCAAGTGACAGGCGGACAGGAAGGAGAACAGTGTACCTATTACGGATCTCAAGGGAAGGGGAGAGAGTCTCCCGAGGGGCACACCGATAGGCTCCCCGGCCTGCTGGTGAGGCAGCATTACTTCCCAAGGAGCCCATCACCTAGAGGCTAACAGAGGTGGCTGGCTTCCTGGCCAGTGGTGGCGTGGGCACAGATTGCAGGTAGGAGATCTGGGCAGGCAGCTCGCCTAGCCTCCAAATGCAGACTCTCCTCCGAGGTCACCCTGCCTCTCTGCCTCTCATCCCATGAGAAGATGACACTGATAATCCATGCTCTGGGGCCTATCCTATGTGGTCTTCAGGGGAAGCAGTGGCTTCTTCTGGACCTGACTCCACTCATAGGGAGAGGACCAACCTCTCTGGCTACTAACCCTCTGAGGTCAGTAACCTCAAGGGTTAACCTTCCCAAGGACTCCTCCCCAAGACCCAAGGCTCTACCGGACAGGTGCAGGATGGGAGGGGAGGATTTTGGAAGTCACTCACCTGGCAGGTGTCGGCCCCGTTGCTGTTGCCTGCACAGATCATGCCGTCGTTAACCTTGCCCGGGTAGGCCTCCTCACACTTCTTCTGGGAGAAGATCTCCACCTCTGCGCAGTTGAGGGTGTCCGGGAAGTTCTCTGAGGAGCAAGAGTTTGTGTCCACCTCTGTCTGGCTGCCATTTCCCTCTGCCCACCCCGAGCTTGGCACATTTCCCAGGGGGCATCAGTTTTCCTCACACCAAGCAGAGCTTCGTGTGCCCCTGGGGAGAGACTTGGAAGTGGCCCCTTGTGTCACTGCTGACCCTCTCCTTCTAACAACCCTGCCCTCAGACCACTACATTCTCAATTTCCAACTGATCCTCCTTCTTCCAAATGTCACTTCCTAGAAGCTTCCAGAAGCTACGACTCCAATTAAAACACTGTCTTCTACCCCTGTCTTGTCTATGCCCGCCACATAGCTTATGGTAGTGCTGAACTCTATCTAATGTTTTGCTTTATGTATTTGTTTATGGTCTATTTTCTTCACTTTGTATGTGACCCCATTAGGACAGAGACTTTGTGACTGAAGCATGCTAGGTGCTTGGTAAATAAGGATTGACTTAATTACTGAAAGTGGAATTAATCCTCTTATTAATTTTCATGGAGAGCTGGGGATATAGCTCAGTAGCACAGTGCCTGCCTGGCAAATGTGAGATCTTGAGTTTGAGTCCCAGTACAAAAAACAAACAAACAAAGACCAACCAGACAGTTTCAACTGGCAGAGGAAAGTGAGGTTGGGAGATGAGGAGGGGCTCCCCGGGGGAGAAGGGGCAGAGCTTGAACAGGTCCACCTATATCACGAGCAGCTGTGTTCGACAGCAATACACCGCCTCACTACCAGCAGGAGCAGGGCGAGCAGGGACTCACATCTGGGGAGCCCTTCTGCCTGTGTGCTCAGCTTCATTTTTTCCACCACAAAGTAACATGAGGGCTTGTCTAGACTCTGAAGTCTCCAAGGGATTACTTCAAAGGAGGTCCAGAGAAGGGAGTTGGGGACCTGGACTCCCGTGTCCTGAGCTAGGAAGGGTGGACTCTTGGGTCAAAGAGCAGAGGGCACAGGGCCAGGATCCTGGGTTCAAGGACAGAAGGGGCTTAGAAGTCCTTTTTCCTGAACCCCCAAGGAGTCCACACACCCTCGGCCTGTTAAAAACTCTAAAAGGCTGTGTAATGAGTGTTCTCCTAGGACAGCGCTACCCATCCAAGAGAGGGATTCTCTAGACGCCTTCTTGATGGTGTTGAGTCCCTCCAATCCTTCCCTACTCCTGACCGCCTTTTGGGTCTCACCCCCGGGTGAAGCCTAATCTCTCAATCACTTTCCCTTCCTTGTCTTCTGGTAGAACCAAGTTTGTCATTGGCTTGGGGTCCACTGGGCCAACCAGCTCCTCCTCTCCCTCCTAGGGGTGGCTGAGCCCTCTACCTCTGGGGCTGGTGACGGTGCCCCAGCCCGATATGGTACACTTCTGGCCTACTCTGGCGCATTGCTTCGCCAGGTTGATGGGCTTCACTTTGGGTCCCAGGGCCGCCTGCTTGCTTAGTCGAATGAGCATCAGGTCGTGACTGTGGTCCTCATTATTGCTGTGGTTGAAGCAGGGGTGCTGGATGGACCGAGCCACAGAAATCTCTTGATCTGGTTTACTCAGCAGGCTGTGATCTCCCAGCCGCACTGTGTACTTTCTGGAAACGGTTGGAAGAGCCTGGGAGTTAGCCCCTACCCCATAAGGACTTAGACCTCCCCCAGACCTCAGGATCCAGCTTTCTCTTTTGGGAGCTGAGGCCTCCACCCTCTCCCCCACCTCCTCAAGTACACCACAGCCCCAACATCCACTTACATTTTTTTACAGTGGGCTGCAGAGAGAACCCACATGGGATCTACTAGGACACCCCCGCAGAGCAGTCGCTGACCCTGGAACAAGGCCGTCTGCCAGGGCTGGGAGTGAGCCTCACACTCATGGCCCTGCAGGACCTTGCTCTCCTGCGCCTCGGTGCGCCCTGCAGCAGGAGGGAGAGGGCTGGGTTGTCACCCTCAGGGACAGTGCCAGGGCCCGGAAGACCCCCGGGGATTCAAAGGAACCGAGGGCTAGAACTCTGCATGATTCCGCACCCTCCTGTCCCGGACCTGGCAGCCAAACAGGGCCACTGAGACACAGACATGGACCCACGGGAGCCCGCGAGTCATCGCCCACGCAGCACACACACCCTGGCAGCATCCCCTCGCAGCTCCTGTGCCACCCTTCCTCTGACACGGACTCCCACTCCCTCCATCTCTCACAGAGCCCCAGCCACAGGCTGCGCACCCCCTCCCTGGCCACTGCGTGCCGCCCACCCCTCCACGGGTGCACCCAGGGTCCCCAACACCCTGCTCCCTCTGTGTCCGCCCCTGCCGCCCCTCACCTGCCCAGGAGGCCAGCAGCAGGAGCAGGACCGCCCACATCAGGCCTGCACAGGGCAAGGGACGTCCCATGGTGGGGTCCAGGGCTGGAGAGGGTGGGGCGGAGTCGGAAGGGGTTTCGGGACTTCTTGCTCCGGGTTCGGGGCTGAGGAAAGAGCAGAATTCCCGGAGCTGTTGTGGGTCCTGCGGGAGGGAGATGAGGATCGAGGTTCTGGGTTTTGAGGCAGAAGGGGATGGGAGCCCTGTCGTCGCATCTAAGTGTGGGGGTGACAGCGGGTGACCGGGGGTAGGGGGGGATGTCTCCTAACTGCCAGGAGAGCAGGTAACTGAGTCTCGGAGTGCAGGGTCTGGGGACAGATGGACAGAGGACGACAGAGGGGGCGCTTGGGTCGTGTGGTTTGGTGTCGAGGGAGATGGGGTTTGAGGCTCGGGTCCTGTGGCTTGGGGAGGAACCAAGGGTCCCCGAGCCTGACGCTGGCGTCCGACACCTCCCACCTCACCTTCCAGGATCCGGGGGCGGGGTCCAATACTGATCCCGACTCTGAGGAAGAGGCCAGTCCTCCGCTGCTGCCCGCCCGCCCGGTGCACGCGTCTGCAGCTTTTTAACCGGGAGTCCCCGCCTCTTCCCCGCCTCCTCCCGCTCCCGAGCCGGGAAGCGGCAGAGATGCCCGGGAGTCTGTGCAAAGCGGAGGAGGGGACGGGGTCTTAGACTCCGAGGTAAGAGGGGGGAGGGCTCGGAGCCGGGCTCCCCGGGAAATAGCTGGGCACGGAGCCTGGGGCTGGGGGAGGAGGTTTGGGGTCTGGAGCCCTGGGCCTGAGGTGGGTGGGGGATGGGGGTGGAACTCTTACGTCCTTTGGGAGCAAGGGCAGGGAGCCGGATCTCGGGGAAGGAGGGGGCTGCTGCCAATAACCCGAAATGACAAAAAGGCGAGTCCTCCGAGGGCGGACCCGGTCCGCCCGCCTCCGAGGTGAGGGATCTGGGAAGGCAGGTTTGGGAGGCACCGTGACCTGGTTTCCCCTTGCCCGGGGAGTGGCGGGATCAGCCCCATCAGGGTTCAAGGGCTTTGTTGCAATAGAGGTGATGGGGCCAGACGGCAGGCGGGACTCACGCGGGAAGAGGGGGCACCAAATCCTCCGCCCGCCCTCCACCCCCTACTCGGCGCCTTCCATTCACAGCGCAGGCCAGGCCGAAAAAAGGCGCATTTATTGTAAAATTGCCTATTGGCGCGTAACAGCTTCGAGTCGCACCCCGGCTACTCCTCCTGAAGTCCCCGCGCGAGATTCAAACCCAGGACACGCCCAGGGACGGGCCGCGAGAGGCGGAGCCGACCCTGGCCAAGTTCCAGTTGGGCGGAGCTGTCTCGTTCTGACGTCACGGGACGGGGCCTCTAGCAGAGGAGGCGTGGCTAAATGAGTTTGTCCAGAGAAGTCCTATTGGACAAAGTTAGAGGGCGGGCTATTTGGTAGGCGTGATCCTCGGGGCGGAGCCGCAGTTGGACAGTTCCAGGAGGTGGTGCCAATGATTGGTGTCGCCCTGGGGCGGGGCCTGGCCACACTCTGAGGGGGCGTGGCTATGCCCTGGAGGGCAGCATCAGGCCGGAGCCTGAGTGTTCAGAGTTTGGTCTCCCAGGCAACCGGAGGTTCCGTGCAGAGACTGCTGCGACCTAGCCCTGCAGTGACTCCTTACGGACTGTTTTCCTTCATGGTTTTCCTGATCCAGTCGTGATAGTGGCAAATGCGAGTGTAGACGGTGGGTCGTCGGGGTCTGGAGCAGGGCTCACCACCCCCAGACACCACACCCGCCAGGGCGCCGTCGCAAACCAAGGGACCTCCAGAGTCACCCTGTGCACGGGAGAAGAGCAGAGAAACGGTTAGGTCGGTCTATGAGACACTGTTACGAGGTGCGATCCAAATGTACAGTGAAAATTTAAAGCTTTTATTACAGGAAAAGGCGTATTACTGTGAATCACCCTCAATATGTTCCCCTTCACTAGCAACACACTTATCCCATGGCACTTGCCACTTTCTGAAGCAGTTCTGTAAGTGCTCTCTCATGAGTGTCTTTAATTGTGTTCTCCTGGCTGCCTTGATGGCCTGATTCAATTCAAAATGTTTATCTTTCATGCTCATTGGAAGTCAAATGGTGCCAGAGCCGGTGAACCTGTGGGTGAGGACACGCTAAATTCTTGTGAGCCTGCTTTTCTTTGGATGGCCTTGGCGGAGCATTCGCCTTATTTTGGATCATTTCTTGTAAAGACATTCAGCAAAGAGCATCTCCAGCACTGAGGCCCTCCAGAACTGCTTCAGAAAGTGGCAAGAACCTTGGGATAGATAGGTGTATTTGAAGCAAGGGGACCTGTTTGGAAGGCATTTCATCGCCCTGTGTCTTTTACTATAATGAGTATCTTAATGTAAACCTTCACTGTATTTTTTAGTCACCCCTTGTGCACAGGTCACGTGCTCCTCCCCAGCAGCCAGGGGCGTGGTTCTCCGGTCTCTTCTCCCTCAGACGCAGGAGTAAAAGCATACCCCAGGCCCATCCTGTTTCAGATCCAAGAGTCTAGGCTTCCAGCCCCCTCCTCCTCCAAGGCCCAGTATCCTCCACCACCCCAATCCCCTCCCCACAGCACGGTCTTACCTGGCAGGAGCCCAGGCCCCCTTCCCACCGGCCTGCACAGATCATGTTGTCTGAGATGTGACCTGGATATGCCAGGTGACAGAAGATGGGCTCCAGAATGCTGATGTTGGCACACTGCAGGGTGAGTGGGAACCGCACTGTGGGGGGGAAGTCACAGAGGATCAGTGGCTGTCCCCCCACCTCTGCAACCCTCCTCTCTGCACCCTCCCTTTCCCTGGGTAGAGGAAAGACATAGTTACAGCATGAAAGAGTAGCAGAAGGACAGAAGAAGGCAGAGAGGGCCAGAAAAGCAAGAGGAAAACAGAAAGTTGCAGAGAAGAGAGAAGAGGCACTGGTAGGCTCACATGCAGAACAGACCTCTTAAAGGGAAAGACGCTCAGAGGACACAATGGAGAAACGTGGGAAACAGACTCAGGGGTATCAAGCTGGGGAGGACACTGCAATAAAGGGGTGAATGATCACTGATGGGGTGGAGAGATGGGGGTACTGGATATAGACAGACAGGTGCAGCACATTCCACAGAGACAGAATTAGGGATGCATCTCTGTGCTGCATAACTGCCAATGCAGGTGCATCCAGGTGCTTTCTGGATAAACAGCGTGGTCAGCCAGCAGGTGGCAGGGTGAGCCGACCAGGAACCCTGGACCTGAATCCAATGGAAAGGTGTCAGTCTCTATTGGCTTCCCAGGAGTTGCCATTTTGGGAATTTCTAAAAAAATAGCCAGAAACCTGGCTTTTCCATAAGATGCCCCAGGTTTTAGGTATCACCAGCAGCCCACTTAGATTTTCTTTTTGTTTTTTTTTTTTGTTTTTTTGTTTTTTTTGGTCTTTTTTGTTTTTATCGGTACCAGGGATTGAACTCACGGCTGCCTGCTCACAAGGCAGGCGCTTATGCCGCTGAGCTAAATCCCCAGCCCCTAGATTTCCTATTTAAAGTCTGAAAACTCACACTGGTCGGCCAGCAGATTGCTGACATCAGACAGTGAGAGACACTCTTTGTCCCAATTCTGAGATTCACATTTAAGCATCTCGAAAGTCCAGATGTGTCTTCCGGTCAGTGGTGTCATGCTGCCATGGAAGCCCACCACCACTTTTAGCAGTTCATAAAAGTGATGTATCTTAAGGTTTCTGGCATTTGAGACGTGGATACAGAGGGGGGAGGAGAGAGAATAAACCCTGGGCAGAGTCACAGGGAATGTGTCATTGACAAGGCCATACCCTTGGGACTGGACACCGCTCCCCAGCCTGAGATGAGGCACTTGGTGCCCGGGGAGACGCAGGTCCTGCTGATGTTGAGGGGCTGCACGACAGGCCCCAGACTCACGCGCCTGGGCAGCCGGATCAGCATGATGTCATGGTTGTGGTCGTTGGCGCTGAGGTCGCTGTTGAACCCGGGGTGGGGGAAGAAGTCTGTGACCCGAAACAGCTGCTCTGGGCCTTCCCACTGCCAGAGGTGGTGCTCCCCGAGACGGACCCACAGGTACCTGCAGGGACAGACTGCAGGGGTCAGGCCTGGGAAGGGGGGCTGGAGACTTCTGAGCCCAGGCTTTTTTTTCCTGACCATCAGGGTGGTGTGTGGTCTTCCAAATGCCACACGCCCTCTCTGGGTCCCTGCTCCCCTCTCTGACTTCTTGTCTGCCTTGCCTGTGTAGCTTTCCCTGCTAAGCATTCATCCTTAATTTACCATGATGCAAAGTGAGCTTCCTGCTATGCTGCCCAGTCCGGAGTCTCAGTAGTGACCTGGGTTCCCTGGGGACCTTTTGGGCCTGTGGGGGCCCCACCTATCACACAATAACAACCCCACCCCTGCCCCACAAGGCTGGTGGCTTCTGTGGGAGTGACTCTGAGGATGCTTTGGGGCTGGTGTGTGTGGAAGGGGTTGGGATATGGAAAATCCCCTCATTGGGGTTCATCTGTAACCCTGGGCTTTTTTATTTCTCTCATCCTTCACTTACCCAGGCACGGCTTCTGCAGATCTAACTAAAGCCCATTTGCTTCAGTCTCAGCCCATGTATTTTTCTCTGAACAGTTGGGGGCCTTCTGGGGTCTACACGTCCATTTCCCACCCTGTGAGCTCTGCATCAGGCACCAGGCTAATGACTGAAAATGAGATGTTACTTTTCTTCTCTGTCTTTGGCACCCTCAAGATCTTGCCTCAGGGCTGGGGAAGTGACCCCTTCTACTCACATTTCAGCCTCTGACTTCCTTCATCTCCATATCTCTCCTCCTCTCCTCTTTTGTCTTTGGAACTAAATCTAAAAACTGTTCATCCAGCCTGCAGTGTTAAATGAGATCAGGGAGCTGTGCATGATGGGAAATTCCCATCCAGCATCCTGAACCAGCATTTGTGCTGTATCCTTGAATGGACGCATATTAGAACAGCATGAGTGGCCCTCAATTAGGAGATAATACAGAAAGGATACATGTTTCATGTGGATTCTGATTCTGTTAGAATACCCAGAATCTAAGCTTTGAGAATTCTAAAATTCCAACACTCCAGAATATATGACTCTTAAATTCTAAGAAGTTCAAATTTGAGAATTTTATGGATCCAAGGCTCTAACACCTATATTTCTCTGGCTCAAAATATCTAAGAGTTTAAAATTATCTGCATTAAGTCTAATACTTAAAGAGTTTAGGGTTCCAATATTCTGGGACAAAAAGACTAAAATTTTACCATTATGGAAATCCAATAAACCTATCATTTTATAAAATTTAGAGTCTAGACTTCAAGTAATTTAAAACTTTATGACTCTCCAAATTAAAACTTCCTAGTTTTTAAGATTGGAATTACATAATTCTGGAGCATAGAGCATCAGCAGATTCTGCATGCTTCTGAAGACCATCCAGAATTCTGTCAAAGTTCTACAATTCTATGGATGACAATATTGTGAATCAAAGATTCTGAGACTACAGGTGTCTACATTCAGCGAACCAAGAACACTCTGAAACTGAGATTCTAGGATTGTGCTTGCCAGGACAGACAGTGAGCACCTCAAATGCGGTTAGTCCACATTCAGATTGACCTGTGGATGAAATTCATGCTGGATTTTGAAGTCTTACAAAGTAAAAGATAACTATGCCATTCATAGCTATTTAAAAATAGTTACGTGTTAAAACAGTATTTTGAGTCTATTATTACATTAGTTTTAATAATTACATTGCCCTGACTGGGCTGGAACTTTCAGTCCTCCTAGAAAACTTTAGCTCACAGTGGTGAGTAGTCTTACACTTCCCTTCGGCAGCACCGATCCCGACACTAAGATTATTCTTGTACTCACTGAATGTATGATTCCAGGATTTAATGGCCCCAGATCTTAGGACTCTATAATTCCCGTCTTCTCATGGTCAGAGACTCGGAGTTTAATAGCTCAACTTCCAACCAGAAGAAGGCTTGCAAACTCTCAGAATTCTTAGACCCAGATATTTGAAGATCTGGAATTCTGAAATTCGGGAAGGTCACTCTTGGTGACCCAGAGCTGGTGTGTGCCATCTGCTTTTCCTGCCTGCAGCTCCTTCTCCCTCTAACCAGGAAGCCCCCCCCCATTCCCCTCACCTGGATCCCTGCCCGCTGCCTGGGGCAGCCCCTCCGGTACTCACGGCTTGCGGCAGTGGGCAGCTGTGAGCAGCCAGCGGTCACTGATCAGCGTCGCCCCACAGAAGAGCCGGGTGAGGAAGAAAAGGCCGGCCTGCCAGGGCTGTGAGTTGCGGGGACATTCCTTGGCTCCAATGGCCCGAGTGTCCGCCCAGCTATGCCCTGGAGTGGGGTGAGGGCAGAGGCGCGGGTGGTGAGCAGGCGGGGAGAGCCCAGGGCCGGATACTGAGAAGCGCAGAGGGCAGGATGTGGAGAAGGCCAGGGCAAGGGTGGTGTGCCGCCTGGTGGGGGACAGCTGACCCAGAGGGGCCGCGGCAGGGTGGGGACTCACCAGCCAGGAGGGAGAGCAGAACCCAGGTGAATCCAAATCCCAGCTTCATGGCCTCTGAGTGCTGGCCTCTCAGCCAGGCTTGGTATGAGCCTTCTTTATGGTAAGCCATGCATGGCTTCCTCCTCCCTGAGGCCGCCCCAGTGATTAAGCAGGGTTGAGAAATGTCCCCGGGGAGGGGAAGCCCCAGGGCTGATGGAGGCCTGGGAGGGGAGGTGGGTGCAAGGGACCCCCTGACTGGGAGGAGCCTCTGTGGGGATGAGCTGGCCCTGCCTGGCGGGAGCAGAACCAAAGGAGAGATGGGGTATGCAGAGGCTATGGGTGCCCCCAGTTTCCCTGACCTCAGGCTACAGGGTCTGGGTCCTGGATCTTTTATGGCCTGGAGGAGGAGGAGCACCCCAAACGGGGCGTCCTAGGATGGGGACAGGGTTACTCCGGGCGAAGGGGAGGGTGCCTGGCCAACTTAACAGACCAGGGTAAAGGGGTGCAGGGAGTCCCCTAGAGAGCAAGTAGAGATGGGAGAGATCCGCTCAGAGAGGAGGAGGCCTACGGGAGGCAGGTGGAGACCCAGAAGGACCCAGGTGAGGAGGAGGAAGCGCAGGCAGGGAGCTGTATGGGGGATAAACCCTTCCCGCCCTGGGGCTTGGGCCCCTTCCTCTCCCGCAGTGTTGGGAAACCTGGTCCCATTGGATTAACCCACTCCTGTCACAACCTGTCCCCTTCCGCTTAGCCCCACCCCTAAAGGCGGGGGTGCCCCACCTGAAGGAAAGAGCACCCTGCCCCTCTCCCTTGCCAAGTCCCAGGGACCTTTGTGCTGATTCTCCCTGCCACCTCTCCCCTCCCCCATGTCCTTCCTATCACCCCATCTTCCCTTCCTCTTCCCATTGCTCCTTCTCACCAGAGGAGCAGCCCCTAGAGAGCCAAGCCCAGGTCTGACTCACTCCATGTCCCCAGGATCACTCAGTTCTGGGCTGGGCTCCCGAGATTCCTCTGAACATGTTCGTTGAATGAGTGAACGTCTTTTTTAATGGCCTTGTGTGTGCATGTGTATGTGTATGCGTGTGTGTGTGTGTGTGTGCGCGCACGCACGCGCGCAAACTCCTCTCCATCCTTCAAGACCCAACATAAATGCTCCGTTTCTGAGATGTCTTCTCTGATTTCTCCTAGAAAAATCGACCTTTGCCTCCCTTGGGCAATCAAAACCTTCTTCCAGATTTCCACTGCTTGCCAACTTGATTCTCAAGAAAGCGCCCCCACAAGGGTGCTGTGGCTGAAAGCACCATCGCTGGACCTGGCCTGTCTGCCTGTCATCTCAGTGTGGGCACAGATGATGTGTGTGACCTCGGCCAAATCATTGGATTCCCCCACTTCTCCATCTGCTGCGTGGCAGGGATAACCAGGGACGAGGGGACTGATTGAATTCACACACATGATGCACTTATGACAGTGCCAGCTGCGTGCTCAGTATTCTGTCAAGGTGCCCCCTCCCCCCCATCGGTCCCCGGGCTGCCTTTCCCACAGCAGGCAGCAGGCGCAGCCGGCGACTGGATGTCCACTGTGTGCTAGGTGACACCTGCTGCTTCGGAAGGCATTTTAGGAGCTGCCTTCACCGATGGTTTTCCCTGTGCCTGGTGTCACATGTGTAGGTGATAGGAAGCATCTCCTTAGCTTCATGAGACTCTGACCGAGCAGCGGTTCCCATTTCACAGAGGGGGCAACGGAGGCAAGTCAGGGGTGCAAGGTCACAGGACAACTGAGAAATGCATTTCCTTCTCTGGCTGGTGAACTCATGTGCATCTTCTATTTTTAAATTTTCAAAAATTTGATTGAATTAGCAATACCAGGGCTCAATACTAGGGCCTTTGACAGAGCTACATCCCCAGCCTGTTTATTTTTGGAGATTGGATCTTGCTAAATTCCCCGAACTGGGTTCAGACATGCCGCCCTCCTGCCACAGCTTCCCAGAGTCCTGAGGTTTCGGGCATTCAGTGCTGTGCCTGGCTCCTATTTATCTTTTAAAACCCCACATGAGTGTCCCTTTATGTGAAAAGCCTTCCCAGTTCCCTTCAGGCAGAGTTTCTGGGCTCTCTGTGCTGCACCTAAATCTCCTTTTCTGCTGCAGGGCTGAGTGGCTTGTGTGACCGGTTCATTAAAAAATGTGCCAAGTGGCTTCTGCACCTGCCAGTCAGGTAAGTGATTAGAAATCCAGTGAGCGAGTACCTGGGCCCGTCCTCACGGACCCTATGTGGCTGTATTTGAGGGACAGGCCTGCCCATTTTCTCCTGTACCTGACAAGCAGCTTCCCGAGGGTAGGAGCTGGTGGGACCCATCTGGGGTGCCAGGCAGAGGACATGACTCACAACACATCGGTGAACGGGACTTACACATGAGTCCCCAAGGGAGTTCCCACCTACATTGCTTCTTTCTGGTCCTAGGCTGATGACCTCACCTGAGAGACCAGGCTGACATTTCCTGGGTGTGCTTACAAGGCGTGATGGCGATGAACCAACTGAATTGAAGGGAGCCGGATACCAATGCCTGGGTCCAGACCTCACCCGCCCATCTGTGGGCTCCGGGAGCCAGGGACCTTGCTGCACCCACTTCCATGCAGCCAGGTGCAGAGTGGGGGCGCGAGGAGGGCGGGAATTGAAAGGGGCTTGAGCTCCCGAAAGCTTTGGGTGATGCCTATGTCCAGCTTGGGTCCTGCTCCAGAGTCCAGGCTAAGTGGACACGCCCAGTGCCCACTAGCTTTGCCTGGATTGTGTCTAACACTCCCAGGCCAGCTGGAAATGTTTGCACAGATGTGATTTCAGCGAGAGAAGAACACTCTCTCCTAAGCTTTCAGGACAACGATCTCAAAGCCAACCAAAGGGTTCCCGGAAACTTCACAGGGAGGCATCTGGGCAGGGACGCCATGACCGAGGCTCCCCCTCTCTGATTTTGGAGGCAGGATGGGTTTCCCCGAGTTCCTGTGGTCCCGTGCAGGTAGAGAATGCACAAGGTGACTCACACCCGCCTAGCTGTGTCACCACTGGAGGAACTGGTGTTGGGTGGACCCAGAAATGGGGAGCAGTGGGAGGAAAGGAGGAAGTCAGTAAAAGGTGCTTCCTGAGGCCTGGGAGGGGAATGGGGAATACAAATCTCCCTGGAGATGGGGTTGGAGGCCATCTCATCTCGGATACAATCATCACGCCTGAACCAAGAAGTGATCATAAGGGGAGGCAGTGTTCAGCTGGGCTCACCAGTCACTGAGTTCAGGCTTACATGACAATGACCAGAAAGAGTCACACACACATTACATCGTTATCTCCTTGAAATATGTCCAAGATAGGCACTTCATTTGTCCCCATTTTACAGGTGGGAAAATCAAGGCCCAGAGCAGGTCACACAGCAGGAAGTGGTTCAGGAAGCCTGGTGGGGTGGATAGTGATAGCATCTCTTAGAGACTGAGTGACTACACTAGCTTCCTTGCTGGAGCAAAATTTTTCCGCTGCTTTCTGCACGTAGGCTGTGGTGTGAGCACTGAAGAGGACAGGGAGGGGTCGAGGGAAGAGGGTGAGTGGTGACAGGTATTCAGGGACTGGGATGGAGAGGGCAGGGAGGCAGGTGTCAGGGGTCCTGGTCAGTTGGAGTGGATGATTTTCTGGATCCAGCCGATGTATTTGCAGATCCGGGTGTAGACAGCCGGGTGCTGGGCAGAGCCGCAGGGGTAAGCACCCCAGGAAAGGATGCCTTGCAAGGTCTCGTCACACACAAGGGGGCCACCAGAGTCACTCTGGGGGGTGGAGGAAGAGACCAAAGTGTGAGCTTTGTCACCTTGGGGTCTGAGAGGCAGGAGGACAGGAGTAGGGTGGGGAAAACAGTGGGGAAAGAGGCATGGTGTCGGGGTGCACTGGGATGGCATGGAGGGGACTTTGAGGTGTGCATGCTGCGGGGGAGCATGCGGGTGTGGGGAGGTACTAGGGAGTGTGGCTCCTGGTAGATACAGGATGCAGAGGGATCCGGAGACAGGGATATGTGGGTTAGGAACCGCTTAAGGGTGGGAAGGGAGTTGAGGACTGGGAAGAGGAGGGGCTAGGGTTGGGGTGTGGCTGGGGGGTGGAGCTAGGGGCAGAGGCAGGGTGTCTCCTTCCCACGTCGCCCTCTCTCGCCCTCTTCTCCTTCCATGAGTCAGAAATACTTCGGCCCATCTCTACCTGGCAGGGGTCCTGGCCCTGGTCCATCCCGGCACAGATCATGTTGTTGGTGAGGACTCCGGGGTAGAAGACCTCACACTCTCTGGGGCTCAGGAGAGTGACCCTGGAACAGCTCAGGGCCCTGTTGTACTTCACTGAGGGGAGAAAATGCCAGGTCACTCTGGGGCCAGCACCATCCTCTGGGACTGTTCGATCCCAAATGCAAGCTTGTCCCTCCCAGGCCCCAGGCCTCCTCCCTTAGACCCGGGCATCCAGGCCCCAGTCTTGCCTCTTCGAGAGGCTGTGGTCCCCCAGCCGGCCACGTGGCAGCTCTCTCCCGGGCTGGTGCAGCTGGAGGGCAGCCGCAGGGTCTGGGCGCGAGACCCCAACACCACAGGGCTGCCCAGCTTCAGCAGCATGAGGTCATGATCATCTGTCCGCCTGGGCAGGATGGGGCCTGAGCCTTGGTGGTACTTGGGGTGAATAAAGGCCTTAGTGGTCCGCCGGAGCTGCTCCCCCTGGAGAAGCAGCAGGTGGTCATCCCCAACTCGAGCCCACAGTGGCCTGGGGAAAGAAGAGCCACAAGGAGGTGGAACATTCATGCAGACTGGGCAGAACCGAGTGAGTCCCAGGCAGGGAGACAGGAGGAGTCTGAGGGAAAGGGGTTGGAGAAGGGAGTCCTGAATATGGAAGGAAGGGTCCTGCGTGAGCTGTGGGGGATGCATGGACTTCTGGAGGGAGCTCAACCTTTCCTGTTTCTATAATGACATCTTGCCCCTCCTCCCTGCTGGGGACACCTGAGGCACCCATTTTCTTTTCTAAATTCTCCACCACAGCTGACTGATTTCTGTGCGTTGCATACACCTATATACTGCTCAATGGGACCAGCAGGGAATCGCTTAGACAGGAAGGGCCCAGAACTTCGAGAAGGATCACACTGCCCCCTAGCGGCCAGAGCAGATGCCCTGCCTCTCCTATCCGCTCCTACCCTAAGGCGGGGGTTAGCGTTAGGGTTAAGGGAAGGCCTCTACCCTGGCCATCGCCATCCTGAGCTCAGAGAGTCCCAGTGCCCAGGCCCTTCCCGCCTTCACCGGGCTGCCAACCCCACCCCCTCCGTGCATCCCGGAGGAGGGCTCCGTACTTGTTGTTCGAGCAGTGCGCAGCTGTGAGCACCCAGCTGGGGTCCACCAGCACGCCCGCGCAGTGGAATCTGAGGCCATTGAAGAGGGAGACCTGCCAGGGCTGCGAGCCGTGCGGACACAGGACTTCACCAGAGCTGGAGTCCTTGATGTCCACGGCCGTCAGGTTTTCAGGCAGCTGCGCGTCCGCGACTGGAAAAAACGGGGGTCAGCGATGAAAGTAGACAGGGCAAAGGGCTGGGGTTGGGGTCCTGGCCATCGGGCTGGACGGGATGCGGGCGAGGCCGGGAGGAGGGAAGTAGGGGAACTGTTTGAATGGAGTGAAAGTAGCAGTGGGCGAGGAAGCAGGGCGTGACCGCCAAGAGGCAGGGACGGACAGCACCGAGAGAGAGCGAACAGGTGGGCGAAGAGCCGCAGGGAGGTTGGGGAGAAACAGTGGGGCGCTAAAGGGGCGGAGACACAACGAGGCGGACAGGTGAGGGGCGGGGCGAGAACGCAGAGGGGGCGTGGCCAGACACCGCTGGGCAGTGAGGGGCGTGGCCAGGATGCTAAGGGGCGGAAGTACCCTGGACGTGGGCGGGGCGAGAACGCAGGGGGGGGGGCAATATGTGAGAGTCTCTAAGGATGCGTGGCTAAAACCCGCTTGTACGGTTATGGGGCGTGGCGAGAGACCAAGCAGTGGGAGAGAAAGGTTAGGAATATTCATACAGGATTGGAAAAGGGGCGAGGGCAAAAAACGGTAAGACTGGGATAAAGTAGGGCAGAGTGTGGAGTAAAGGAGAGAAGGAATCTGGCGAGGAGAGAGGAAAGTTGCCATCCTGGAGGTGTAAAGGGGATGGGGCTGGAACCGGGCGGGACGCCCAGGGACAAGGCTGGGAGAAAGGCAAGGAAGAACGCCGGGACCCCCAACTCCAGAACGCTGGGTGGGGGCTGGAGTTGCAAGGGGAAAGATGGACGTGACGGGGTTGGTGATCTGGCCTTCTCCACCCGCGGTCTTGGCGCCTCTCGCTGCCCCTTGTGCTTCGGCTCACCCCAGAGTTGCACCATCAGTAGTGGAAACAGGAGCTTCATCAAGGCCCAGGCGCCAGAGGTGGCAGAGAGGTGGAGGTGCAGGGGTCTCATGGCAAGGACCTGAGCGGGGGGGGGGGGCAAAAGCAGGGTGTGTGTGTGTAAAACAGATGACCCTAGTCCCACCCGCCGGGCCTGGGCCAGCCCAGTTTTCGGGGATCTTGATTGAGCTGCAGGAGACCATTGCAGGGACAATGGGCTAGAACAGCCCTGATGGGTGCAGTTACCCTAATGATGCCCAACTGGCTTCTTTTTGGCCTCCCTGCGCCCCAGGCGTGTGTTCTGCGGGCACAGGTGACCCTGGTTGCTAGTCGCGCTGTGTTGCCAGCCAGGGTCATTCTCTTTTCCAGATGGGGTGGGGGAACCTAGGCTCTGAGCTCCTGGAAGCTTTTTCCCAAACCTCACAGCTGGGGACTTTCCCATCCCTCAAATATGACAATTGGAGCTCAAACAGGGTTCCTTCCCATGGGTGGCCTGAGGGTTCCCACCCATCCTGTCCACCCACCCTAACCGGGGTGGGGTGCATCCCCCTTCACCTGAAAGTCACCAGTAGCCAGGAGGGAGGAGACTTGGAGAGATGCCTCTGCCCTGCTGTGTGGGCTGCCAGAGTCCTCTGCCCGGGGACCCCTGGCCCGACCTTCTCTTTTAACCCTGAAGATCCCGGAAGCTTCCCCTCCCTCCCACCTGGGGTTCACTCCCTCCCTTTCTCTCTCGCTAATTAAATCATGGGTGGGGCTGGCATCCAACCTGGGCCCCAGATTCCTGCCTTGGGAGAGGCCCTGGAATACAGGCTTCACCCAGTGCCCCAAACATCCTTTGTGGAACTGGATAACTAGGTTTTCTCTCTCCTATTTCAAGAAGTCTTTCCAGGTGTGTATGTGGGAGGGAGTAGGCCCCTAAGGAGCCTGGGTGGTAGGAGATAAGAGGAAAAATAAACAGGGAAATGCATGCCTAGCATGGCTGAGTGGAAGGGAAAAAAGGAGGGAGATATTGAAGGAGACCAACTGGGAAGGGGAGACTGACAATTTGGGGGCAGAAAGAAAACAAGGCCAAGACAGCACTACAGGAAAGAGGCAAGTTGTGGGTGCTCTGTGACTTGACCCCCACCTCTCACCTCCCTTGCAGGGTTGGAGCACTGGTGGACTCTGCCTTGTGTCTGGGGACTGACTCTCATGAGCGTTTTGGGGTTGTGGCTCTGTGTCATACCCTATGTGGCCATCTCACTGCCATCTGTGTGTCTCCAGGTGACACACAGGCCCATGAATCACAGGAGGCCCAGTCTGCAAGGGGCATCCACCTCACGCTGGCCAACTCCCTCATTTCAAGTGAGGAAGCTCACAGAGGACAGTGACTCATAAGAGGTCACACAGCCGGTCCACCTAAGGACCCAAAGGCCCTAGTTCCAGCGCTAGGCCCTGAGCTTCTTTCCCGCAAGGTGAGCAACCCCCTGGAAAAGATCCTGAGATCTGGTTTGTGTGTGTGTGTGTGTATATGTGTATGGGATATCGTGTCTGTAGAGAATTCAATTCAGAGGTGGTCTGGCTTGGTCCTGTGCAATCAAACTTTGCAACAGTGGTGGTGTCTGTGCGGACCATCTAACACGTGGCTTTAGAGCATTTGAAAAGAGTGACGGAGGGATTGCATTTCCCCTTTCACTTCATTTTAATTTAAATAGCTACCTGTGGCTAGAATCGATCATATTGGCCAGCACAGGTCTCAGTGAACTCCCTCTCATGAAGGCTGGAGAATAACGTGGATAGCTCCCTTTTACAATGTCTTCCCATATGGGGACCGATTGATCTTCCGTATTGTCATAACTTCATGGACAAGTTTACAGGTAATGAAACTGAGCCTTGATCACGGCAGTATCAAAAACACCTTGTTTGAATCCGTGCTCTTCCACTCTGGCTGTGTGAGCATGGTCACGTGACTTCACTTTCTATACCTCGGTTTCCTTCATCTGTAAAATGGTCTCATCATACTAACCCCATAGGGTTTAGTGAGGATTAAGTTGATCGATGCACTTAAAAGCTCTGGGAACCAAGACTTGGCACATACTAAGGACTCAGTGGATTCATTCATTCTTCAAATATTTATTGAAACTTCAGCCTTTGCAAAGAAGGTTTTGGGATCGGGGATAAAACAGGAGACGAAACAGTTTTATGGTCATTTCCAGAGTGACAAGATAGTCCGAGTCAGGACTTGAACTCAGGATTCTGATTCCAAACCCAAAGCTGATTATGAAGCTGTAGTACCTCGATTAACGAAGGCGGTCCAAAGGACATGATGGAAGGGTCTTAGAGTTTGGTACAAGAAGGAGCAGACTTCAACACACTGAGCTCTCGACCGTGTGTGTAGTCCTGCTAATTGTTGCGTATGGTCTTCTGAATCCAGTCCACATACTTGCAGACCTTTGTGTAGACACCGGGCTTTCTGGAAACTGCACATGGGTCCTGGCCCCAGGAGATAATGCCCTGAAGAGACCCGTTACAGACCAGAGGGCCCCCAGAGTCGCCCTGGGCAGGAGGAGAGAGAGAGAACCAGTCAGAGCAGAGGGGGCCACAGTGTGAAGGAAGCCACAGGGAGTGGGACTGTCAGTGGGACCCCTGGGGAATAAGGGTAGGGTTAGGGTCAAACATAGGGGATGCTTGGGTTGGAAATGGGGGTAGATAGGGGGCCGGAAGTTTTATAAAGTCAGCAGTGGCAGCTGGGGATGGAGGTGGGGTTAGCGGCAGGGAGGGGGTGGGCCGAGTTGGGTCAGCGGGTGGACTGTGGATGTCAGTGAAGGTGCCCTGGAGGTGGGAGAGCCGGGCCCCCTGACCTGGCAGGAGTCCTTGCCCTCTTGCACGCTGGCGCACACCATGGTGTCTGTGATGTTGCTGGGGTAGGCACGCTCACACTCCTCGTGCTTGATGATGGAGATGTTGGCACAGCGCAAGATTTTGGGCAGTCGCACTGTGGAAACAGGAGGGCTGTGTGGGAAGGTGCCCCCGGCCTCCCTGCCCCCGCACGCGCGATGTGCTGCTGCTCAGCACCTGGGAGGGCCTGGTCCTGTGTATGTGCAGTCAGCACACCTGTCTGCCTGTGACAATGGCAACAATGATGCCACTGAGTAAATTTCTCCCTCCTTATCACTAATGCAGCCCTGACAGGTGGGTGTGGGCATTCCCATTTTATAGAGAACACAGGTTCACAAAGGCGGCACTCTTGTCTATGATCCTACAACTTGTGGGTGAAAGATCTGGGGTGACCTGTCACGTCTGTCTGTTCCCAGCCCAGACTTCAGTCTTCACCCTCCCCAGCCCTGAATTCCTGCTCTTTCTTTCACCAGGTCCCCCTTGAGACCCCGGGGAACTCCTCTTGTGTTGCTCTCATCTCTGGAGGTTCGTCCATCCTCATAACCTTCCACCCCTCCCACCCCCTCTGTGTTGCCCTACACTGGGGGCTGGAAATGGTGCCCCAGCCAGAAATGAGGCAGTTGGTGCCGGGGGAGACGCATTGGGACGGCAGGGCGAGGGGTCGCACGGCCCGGGTGATGGTGGCTGCTTTGGGCAGCTTTATTAGCATGATGTCATTGCGGTGATCTTTGTTGGGGAGGCTGTCGTTGAAGCCTGGGTGGCGGAAGGACTTGGTGGCCTTTTGCCTCTGCTCATAGCCATCCTCACGATGCAGGTCGTACTCTCCCAGGAGGGCCACGTAGTCACTGCAGAGGGAGAGATAGACCATCAGAGGTGGAAAGGTTGGGGGAGACGTGGGGTGGGGTGGGGAAGGAGATGATGAAAGACACCTTCAGGAATGGAGTGATGTAATTTCACTGCCAGCCCATCTCTCACTGGAGCCCCTTTTCATACTGTGTCCCCACCCTCCCTCAATCCCCAGCCCCCTCCTAGCGCCAGCATCACACACCCACCCCTCCACCTGCAATTCCAGCCCTGTCCTGACACCCATGCTACCACCCCCACCTCCAAACCCTCCCTGCGTGCCCCCCCTCCCCAACACCACCCCAGCCCCCGCACCCACGGCTTGTAGCAGTGGGCTGCTGTCAGGAGCCAGCTGGGCGCGATGAGGGTTGCCCCGCAGAGCAGCCGTGTCTTCTGGAACAGGGCCACCTGCCAGGGCTGGGAGTGAGGAGAGCACGGGTGACCCTTGATGATCCTGGTCTCTGCCCCTACATGCCCTAGGGGGGTGGAGCGAAAGAGGGGCTCAGGCATGGGAAGAGGTAGGCGGAGTGGGGGAAAATCCCTAGAAATATGGGGACAGAGGATAGTGGTGTGAGTCGCAGTCTGGGGTTGCACCAGGATTGTCATACGCATGGGTCCTGTTTTAAAGGACTGAAGTGACACGGATGGGCCAGAGGCCACTGTCCTGGGTTCCCGTCCCCACCTCCCAGCTCCTACGGTCACGCCTCTGGGACTGCCTATACTTCCCCCTGTGGTTCTGACGTCTGAAGGGTTGACATCTGCCACAACATCCAGCCCCTCTGTCCCTAGCACTCCCGTACCTGTCACCAGAGCAAGCGTGATCAATCGTAGAATCCTCATGGCCTGGAAGGGGACAGGGCAGGTCTCTGGGAACAAGAAGAGACAGGGACCCAGTTACTTTAAGAGGAGACCTGGGGCTGCCTTGTGACCTCTCCCTTATCCTTCTGCTCCCCACTCTTCCCTACCCCTGCCTGCTTTTCCCAGGAGAAACAAGCTCTGGGGAACCTCCTGGTCCTCAGCACACCGTACTCCCAGCCCTTGGCTTCCAGCGTGGTCTTGGAGGGGGGCTGGGTCCCAGCTTGAGGCTTCTGGTAAGCCAAGGAGCTGCGCACACTGTGGGGAAAGGTTTCAGCTGGGGCCAAGGCACGGGCTGCAGGCAGGAGCCCAGGGCATTTGGAGAATGTTTTTCTTCCTTCCCACTCCTGCTGCTTGGGTTTGGGAGGACCAGGAGAGCCAGGCCCCACTTGGTAACCATCCCATCTCTGTTGTCCCAACAGCAGGGTGTTATGAAGTCTTTGAGATCTGTCTCCCACTGTGGAAGAAGGGGACTCTGGGGGATGAGGTCCTGTGCCCTCCTTTCCTGCTGAACCCCTGTGTCTTGGGAAGGCAGCCTGTCAGGGCAGGGCGGGGCTGGCCAGGGGAGGGCCGGTGTCCTCAGCTGCCCTGGGCAGCGGGCGTGGGGGTGAAGGTGAAGGAAGGGCTGTACTTAGCGACTGAAGCTGGAGTAAGAGGTCATAAAGGTTGGGGGCTGCAAGACTGGAAATGAGAGAGGCAGAGACAGAGACCTCCCCGCCCAAGCTGAGCAGGTCAGAGGGAGGGAGGCAGAGGAAGAGGAGCTGAGGCAGAGGAAGACTGGCTGGCTCCACAAGGGGCCTTCCCTTCCCACCCCAAGTCACTCACAGGCTCTGGGGCTGGGGCTCTGGGGCCCGGTGGTGGCAGCTGTGGCAGGCTGGGTCGGAGCACCAGGCACCAGGCAGACAGGCAGGGGGTGGCCCTGGGCTGGCCAGGATGACTGGCCTCCAAGCCCTGCCTCATGTCCCTGGGGGCAGGGTGTGGGAGGCCATCTTGGGGCACTGCCCACCTACCTGTCACCTCTCCAAGCCCTCTGAGCCTCCATGTTCCCTTCGTGAGCGTGTGCCCTTCCTTCCCTGGGTCTGTCTCTGTCATTCTCTGTGGGCCTGTGCTTCTGCGCGCGTGTGCACATGTGTGTGTGTGCATGTGTGGCTTTCCTCTTCCTGTCTGTAGGGTTCTGTCCCTCTGTGCCCTCCTCGATCTCACCCATTGCTTTTAGTCTTTCTTCTCTAATGCTCTCTGTCTTTCTCTGTCTCATCTCTCTCCTCTCTTCTCTCTCTCTCTCTCTCTCTCTCTCTGTTTCTTCTCTCGCTTCCCTCCTCACAGCTCAACGCCTCCTGGGTGCCTGGGCCCCTCTGGATACCTCCCTTTTCCTTTCCAGAGACTGGGGGGAAATGGGTGGCCCAGAGGTGGGGCTACTGCCAGGTGAAGGGGCAGGACAGGAGGGTGGGGGGAGGCAAGTCCGAGCCTGTGGGAGCCAAGGCCCTGGAAGGGAGGGGAGCCCTCTACAGGGGCTGGTCCCAGGGCACCTCTGGAGCTCTCTTGTCTGCTGACCTTCCCTCTTCACCCCGCCTCCCGCTGCCCAGGCCTGCGATGGTGGCTCTCAGAGTCCAAAGCCAGCCATGACACTTACTCAGTGCTGGATAACCTGAGCCCGATGACTTCCAGCCCTCGAGCCACCTCAGTTTCCTCATCTGCAAAACCCAGCTGCGGATCCCCTGTGCTCCCAGCTGGTTTGTTTTCAGCCAGATCTCTTTCCGATCTCGTCCTCTCCTCTCTCCCCTAACCAGATGTGCAACAAGGCAGGGTAGGACCAGGTCCCGGTAGCAGCCAACCCTGGCCTCCAACCCTGGTTCTGCCTCTTCCTCTGTGACGTGGGCTGAGGGACTCCACCCCGTGAGGCTCAGTTTCTTCATCTGCTCCATGGGGGTGACAGCCCTGCCTTGGGGTGGGGTGGGAGGTGACCTGAGGATTCTAGGGAGGAGCCCAGCACAGCGGTGCTCAGCAGCACTGCCAGGGGATCACCCCCACTCCTTCAGAGGGAGGTGTTTTCTCCTCAGTTTGTGGAGGGAGATGGTGGAGACAGATCCTTAGAGAAGGCAGGACCCTTTTACGACCTAGACTGACGTTGGTCGTGGTGGTGGATACCTGTAATCCTAGCAATCTGGGAGGCTGATGCAAGGGGATTACAAGTTTGAACCTAGCCTGGAAAATTTTTCTTCACTGAAGAAAAAAAAGCTGAGAATGTAGCTCAGTGCAAAAGCCATGGGTTCAATCCTCAGTACAGCAATAAGAAAAAACAAAAAAGACTCAGGCTATATTCTGTTGTTTTCTAAGACCATCTCACATCCCAGGTCATCGCAGATGTCTGAGAACAGCTTGACATCCCACAGAAAGGATAACATGAGCTCAACATGACAGAGTTGGTCTGCAACCGGATGGTGCAGAAAGCGTTTTGCTTTATGGACATGGCATTAAATGGTTGTGCATTTCGATTTTGCGGTTTTCATCTAGTATTTTGGAGCCCATGGTCTTTTCTTCTCCTCCCAGTGCTTTACAGGTCACCGTAAAGCTCCTGTGCTCTGGGTGCCATTTCTTTCAGGGCCAATGGAGAAAGTGGGCCCTTGTTTTTCTTGTCATAGTAATTTTCCCTTCTTCATTCCTAGGGGATTCCTAAGGGACAGTTCCTGCCCTCTCTGATGTCTGTTTTGATACCTCTAGGCCAGGGAGCCAGGGACCTTCCCTCTGGTCTCCCACAGTGTAAGGACGTCAAGCAGACAGACATGTCCCCTCCTTCAGTAATGGTGCCTTTATTCCACACAGACTTCCAATCCCGGCACGGGTCCCAGAAGGGAAGGAGAGTTCTAAGAGGTTCCCTGAACCAGCTACAGTGAACGTGGTGAGGGAGTTGGGTGTCTGTGCTGAGGGCCACCCGTTTTGAAGGGTGAAGATGGAGGAAGTGGCTCAGTTGTTCCTTATGATCATCCGGATCCAGTCCACGTATTTGCACACAAAGGTGTAGACCCCCGGGATGCCTTTTTGCCCACAAGGCTCCACAGACCCCCAGGACACCAGACCCTGAAGGACTCCCCCACACACCAGCGGGCCCCCAGAGTCTCCCTGAAAAGACAGAAGGAAAAGGAGAGTTGCATGAATAAAGGAGAAGTCTTGTTCCAGTCCCCTCCTAGGCTTCCAGGATGATGGCTGCAAGTCTGGGCTTGGAAGCCGTGAACACAGCGCAGGGTCCCTTCTCGAGGCCAATGGGAATGGTTGGCCAATAGAAAACAATATACATCCCTACGGGCCAATCCCTTTGAAGGAGGGTAGGACTCTAAGGAAAGGGAAGCAGTTTCTGTCAGGAAATGGCAGGGACTCTGACCAATGGCAGGAAGAGAGCCCCATCAATTCTGACCAGTCCCAGGGTTGGAGGGCGGGACTCCATAAGGACAGAAGGTTCGATCAAGGAAAGTGACTGGGACTCTGGCCAATGGGGGGAGAGCACGCATCACCAATGACCAATCCCAGAAGAGAAGGGTGGGATTCCATGTGAGCATAGATTCTCTTAGGTACTAGTGGTTATGTCCCCGGCCAGTAGAATAAAGCAGCCACCTTTCTGGGGGGCCCACGAGGGAAGGAACGTAGAACCAAAGTCTACTGGCCCTTCCCATTAGTGTCCCCAAGTCTCTCTCAGCCTGGGATGGTATGCAGAAGATGCAGTGCCCCAGAAACAAGGGAGACCCTGTCTGAGCTCCAAGTCTGGACAGTTCTTAGCCCTCCTTCATCCTTCGTCCTTTGTCCTTTGGTTTCTTCCCTGCCCTTTCTCTGTGCTCCCTACCCTCCTTTCCTCCTCTGCCCCCTCTTCCGTCTTCCTCTGTCTCTCTCCATCCTTATTCTGAGCCCGCCCTCCTTTCTCACCCCATTTCTCTCCCTGTCCCCTGCCTTACCTGGTTCATCTTCCATCAGCTCCCCTCCTGCTTCCTCCCGGTCTTTCCCTTTCCTGCTGCGCCCCTCATTTCCTGTCTAGGTGGCAGGGCCCCACCTGCACTAACTCACCTGGCAGGCATCCTTCCCAGCCACACCGCCTGCACACACCATGTTGTCCGTGATTCTCCCGGGGAACACGGCTTGGCAGGCGTTGGTGGAGACAATGGAGAGGTTGAGGCACTGAAGCCGGTCTGGGAAGGGATCTGGGGATGAAAGGCAGATGCTCCAGGGTCCCAGAGCTCCCCATTTTGAGGCCACAGCTCTCTTCGCAGGGAAACCCCATCTATTCTATACCTTGCCCCACCATCCTACACTGCAATCCTAAAAGCCCTGGCTTTCAGGTTTACCCCTCAGTTTCCTAGTGACTCCTGCCCCTCCCCCATCATTGGCCAGGTTCCCTTGGCCTTTGACCTTTAATCTTCTCACCTCTCTGTCCTGGTTCCATCTTCTGCTCCGGTGTCCTAGTGCTCACCCTAACCTGGATCCTAAGCCTTCATCTCCTGTGTCCCAGCTCCAAAGTGTCTTATGATCATTGTTTATTTGATCCCAGACTCCATGAACCTCTGGCCCCACAGCCCAGACTCTGACTTCTAATCTCAGATGTGCGATCCAATTCCAGATTTTAATTTCGGATTCTAACCACATGGTGATTCTAACACCTGGCTTCCATGCCTAGAGCTCCAGTGACCTTTAACCCCTGAACCTGTAACCCTGAGCCTAGAGCTCCAGGGACCTCTAATCGCTGAGCCCGTGACCCCGAGCCTATCTCTGTGTGATCTTTGCCCTGACTCCACTCTGACCTCTGTTCTGACCTCATACACAGGCCCTTTAGCGTTTTGCCCACTACGGTCTCCCACCTCGAGCCCACCGCCTCCGTCCTCCAGCTGTCCTGGCTCTGGACCGTTCCTCACAGCCCCTGCCACTCGCCGCACCCAGGTCCCTTACCCCATGGTCGGTTGGTGGTACCCCAGCCCGAGATCTGGCAGTTGGTGCCAGCGGTCGCGCAAGTGCTGGGCAGGGGCAGCGGCTGGACGCTGAGGGTCAGGCGTGCGGGCGTGCGCAGCCGCAGGAGCCGGAGGTCGTGCTCGTGGCTCCGTTGTGATCCCCGGTAGTCGGGATGGGTCACGGAGAGGCCGCTGCGCCGGATCTGCTCCGTCCAGTCCAGCCTGCTGAGGCTGTGCTCCCCCAGGCGCACCCAGTACCTGCTAGGGGCAGTGGTAGCAGGCGGCAGGGGCAGTTGCAGTCCCTGGGCCCTGGCCTCTCTGCTGCCTGCACCTTGGTATCCATGCTCTGTTAACGACACTCTCCACAGGAGTCTCTCCTCTGGCTTTGGGTCTCTGTCCCTTGCTCTTTGCTCTCGAGGGTCCCCTGCGTGCAGGGGCATCTTTCTATGTACAGTGGGGCTCAGCAGGGCAGGAACATCTACCTTGCTCACCGCCAGCACGGAGCAAGCGTGGCCGTCACTGCTGGCCGAGCCGGTGAGGAGGGAACGGCCTCTCTGCCCTGCTGCGTCCCTGTCTCCAAGCCTCCCTGCCCCTTTAGGCCAGATTTTCCTTTTCATAAAAAACCTCATAGCCGCAGACCTCGGAACTGGCCGAGAGAACTGATAGCTGTAGTTCCTGACTGGGTCCAGCCCAGGTCGAGGCCTTGCTGGGGCTGGTGACAGATGCCACACAGGGAAGGGAGGGCACATGAGGAAATGCGAGGCACAGGTGGGCAGCTTCCAGGGCACTCCCAGGGAGGTCCTCCTCCCACCCAAGCCTACTCTTGAGGAAGTTGGAGTCCTGGTCTAACCTCAGACTCTCTTGTTGCAGGGCCGGCTTCTTACACCTCAGCATCAGCACCCCAAATCCTATCAGGTGAGTGATGCCTCCCAACCACCTCCTCCACCTCCAGCTCCACCTCCACCTCCACCTGCACCTCACCTCCACCCCCACTCGGGTCCTTACCTGCTGCTGCAGTGCGCTGCAGTGAGCACCCACCTGGGGTGGATGAGGACCCCCCCACAGCGCAGGCTGGTGCCCTCAAACAGCCCCACCTGCCAGGGCTGTGAGTTGGGGGCACATTCAACACCATCAAAGATCTTCTCTTTGTCTGCCCAGCTGAGACCTGGCAGGGAAACAGGCCAGATATGGGGTCGGACAGAAAGAAAGATTGTTGGCTGGAGACAGGAGGAGAGAAACAGAGATGAAGGGAGGGAGGGAGAGAGGGACACCAGAGTGACCCGGAGAGAAAGAAACTGGGAGAAGAGATCCCTGGAGAGAAAGTAAAGGGGCAGAAGGTGCGATGGACCAGGGTACAGGCAGACAGCCCCGGCCGCTGGGGACGGGCAGGCAGAGGGATCCCCTTTCCCATCCCTAGGACTGGGCTGAAGTCAAGCTGGACTGGGAGGTGGAAGCCTCCTTGGGGTGGTGATGGGGAACCCAGCCCTGGTCCTGGCTTCTCGCTGTCCACAGAACTCACCAAGAACACACAGGAAGGAAAAGACGCCAAGCCTCATGGCAGCCACCTCCAAGGTCTAGGGAGAGGCGAAGAATCTCAGGGATCGGCCCCGTCCCCACCTCTGCCTTCCCTTCCTCTCTCTGAAGCCTCATCCTCCCCCACCTTTCCCCGCTTGCCAGCATCTGCCCCTGCTCACCTTGCATCTGTCTGTCATGTCCTCTTTGTGTATCGTGTGGGCTCAGCCCGTCTGCCTCTCGGCAATCTCTCTGTCCACCTACCTGCAGGCCACGGTTCCAGCCAGCTCTCCCACTGTCCACCTGGCACCTCTGCCAGCTGACATGCTGCCCTACCTGTCCCCTTTCCTCCTGTCTGCCTGCTGCTCCAGGCCCCGGGCTGGCAAGGCTTTTAGCTCTTGCTGCACCAGCCCGTCCAATTTCCGGGTTGAGGGAAGGGGACCAGAAGGACAGGGGTGGGGCAGGCTCTGATCCCACAGGAGCTCTTTTCTGACTCTAACTGAGCTCCATGGCTCAATGGAGAGGGGAGGGAGAAGACCAGGGTGGGGAGACACAGCCCCACTCCCAATCCCCTCCTCTGTGACCAGCGTGCAGCCTGAGTGATGACTCAGGGTGACTGTGGAGCTAGGTCCCTAATCCCCACTCCAGCAAGGATGCACAGAGAGGGTGGGACCACCCCAGTGACCAGGGACAGGGAGGAGCAGGAGGAAGGAGAGGCTGCAGGAGTGGGGCGAGGTGTAGGTGTAGGTTCTCCCACACAGAGAACGGGGAGCCAAGAAGAGGAAGGGAGAGATTTTGGCTTAGTGCTTGCTTAGGGAGGGGCAGGGAGGGTTCTCCAGTGGGGTTCCCTGAAAGCCTGGCTCTGACTGAGCTTTTAAAGGCACAGTGAACTCTGCTCACCCTGGCAGGCCCCCCTCACGCATACAGTCACATACACACCAGTATAAATTGGATTCGTGCAATTCCGTGAAAGCTTTGCTTTGCACAAGAGCTTCCATTGCTTAAATAAAACCCGCAGAAGGAAAAAAGAGAGATGAGGGAAATAGAAATGGCAGGGATGGAGAGAGAGGAGAGAGGGAGGAGAAGAAGGAGAGAAACAGGAGAATTACTAAGGGGTGAAAGAAGCCTCTTCCAGTTTTTCTGAGTTTTCCTCTCATGTTGAAAAAAGTGGGGAGAAAGGAATAGAAGAGACCTCAGGAGGCGGATGGGAGAAAGGCACCCAGAGATGCAGGAACAGGAGGCCACCACCCCATCTGGATGTCATCTTTCACCTTTTCCTTGTGTCTGTGTCCCCCTACCCCATCCCCCAGTTTTTTTGCAGTGATAAAACTTCAGCGTTTGATTTGTTCTAGAAATCACCTAACTCACCCTTCCCTTTTTGTGGATTTAAAAAAAATCAGCTTTATTGCACTCTAATTTACATGCAATAAAATTCACCCTTCATCCTTGGCAAGCCACCCTGCTGGACAGTGCCAGGCCCATGCTGCCAAATCGTCTGACTTTCTCAGGGAAGCTGGAAATTCAGATTTATAGTGGGCTGTTTTCTGATCCTAAAATATTAGAAAAAGCTAAAGCTATGTGTTTATCAGACTACATTTCTCTCTCTCTCTCTCTCTGTCTCCTCTCTCTCTCCTTCTCTTTTTCTCTTTTTTCCTATCTGCCTTCCCCATAAAATTTGCATTTTAACCAGTTTAAACTCAATCCAATGACTTCCGCCACAATCGCAGTTTCACAAAGCTGTACAATCATGACATCTACTTCCAGAATATTTTCATCGCTCCCCAAAGAAACCCTCTGCCTAACAGCTCGGGGAGGAAGAGAAGAGGGAACGAGAGACTTTAATATGTTATCAGAGGTAGGGGCTGGGGATTAAGCTCAGCGGCATAAGTGCCTGCCTTGCAAGCAGGCAGTCGTGAGTTCGATCCCTGGTACCGATAAAAAGGAAAAAGACAAAAAATATATATATGTTATCAGAGGTCAACTCTTTTTTTTTTTGTACCAGGGGTTGAACTCTTGACCTTGCACTTGCAAGGCAGGCACTTAGGCCTCTGAGCTAAATCCCCAGCCAAGGTCAGCTCTTTCTGATAATCCACTTGGACCTGGCTGATGACCAACAGGTAGCATGTGGCACTGCACTGGGTGAGGATGTGTGTACTAAGCAGCGTGATACTCTGTGAGTTGTGAAGCCCACGTTTAGCACAGAAGGTGTCCATCCCATCAGGTGCCTGCCTGAGGGCCACCACAGCCTCCTAAGGAGACGAGGGTGCCCTCCCTGGTTACTGCCAGCAGCATGGAGGTCTCAGAAGGGAGAGGGGCCGTCTCCACTTGTCACAGCTTCTGTGTTTGCAGATGTGTGTCAGGCTGATCAATGTGAGGGACACCTGTGAAGCCAGGGGACCCCACTGTCACTTCCTGCAGATTGGGTGGCTCTGGATAAGGGATAATGGGGCTTCCCTGGCCAGGTTCAAGTGGGAAGATCGTGTGTTACAGTCCAGGATGTTTGGTAATTGTCAGGGGTCACTGAGCAGTGGCCACTGACATGCCTGATGTCCAGCCTGTGCACTGAGCCCTGTTCACCAGGCATGACCTGGCTAAAGTGTGAAAAGCAGAGGCTGTCCCCAAAGTCCCACACTGGGGATGGTGGAGATGTTGTCCACAAAGTCCTGGCTGCCACCTTGTATCATTGTTCACTCAGTTAAACCCCAGGACATCCAGGGGCATCTGGCATCCACAGGAACTGAGGATCGGGCTATCACTCTGTCCTGCAGGTGAGACCTGCCGGAGGGCTCAATTCAGCTCCATGCTGGATTAAGAAGGTTGCAGCGCTGTGCTGCCTGTGTGGGGTGTTGACTCCGGGACTCCAGGCAGAGCCGGCAGCTGGGGACAGAGGTTGCAATGCTGAGCCTGTGTTTTCTGGGAGGCCCTGGGTGGGTGCTGGGGCTGCCTCTTCCTGCCTACAGCAGGGCCCAGGGGGTGGGCGCTGGCATCAGAAGCCACCAACAACTGCAGCCATTGTGGGGAGCCATGGCGAGAGGTGGCCAGAGCCCCTCCCAAGGCAGGGTCTCTGGGGCGTGGTTGGGGTTCTTGCGGCGTTGCTATTTGGACAGATGCGAGGGCCGATTTCCTAGTAACAGCCTACATGGGCTTGCATCGCATTTGTAGATGATGACTACATTGCTTCCAGAAGCCGGAGGCCTACCGTGTGTGTTTGCTGGGTTTGCTTTAAATCTTGCCAAAGAGTCCCGGTGGGGTGGGGAATGCTCTGATTTTACCGAATAATTTTCAAGAAATCAACGTGTGCTCTGTGTGCACTAAGGCCGATGGATTGAACCCAGGGTCTTTACACTGGGCTCCATCCCCAGCCCTTCTGTTCATTTGTCCTCCCTCAGTTGCCCGGGCTGGGCTCACACTTGAGATCCTCCCAGAGGACAACAGCCCCCTGCTGGCCAGGTCCTTTGCGCAGGCCCTTTGGTGGGTATGTGTGTTACATCCTGAGGAGAGCAGCAGCGGGATCTCCTGGACAGGAGTGCCTGTCACCGCTGTAACTGCCCAGCTCTGCTCCAACCACACGGTCTCATATCTGCTTCCAGAGAAATGAGTGTCACGACTGTGTTAGACTCAGAATGCGACACCCCAGAGCACGGAGTTGGGGTGCACTGGAAACAGTCGTGCATTGATCGAGTCACCATTGGGATACTCCTGCCGGACCCGTTGTGAGTTGATTTTGTCATCGTATGCACAGCATAGAGCATGCTTAGACAGACAGACCTTCCTGGGTCTTTTGCGTCTTTGTCTTTCTTTCTTTCTTTCTTTCTTTCTTTCTTTCTTTCTTTCTTTCTTTCCTTCCTTCCTTCCTTCCTTCCTTCCTTCCTTCCTTCCTTCCTTCCTTCCTTCCTTCCTTCTTTCCTTTCATTCATTCTTTCTCTCTTTTTCTTGCCTTCCCTTTGTTTCTTTCCTTTCTTTTGTAGTACTCAGGATTGAACCCAGCAAGCACCAAGCTACTTCCCTAGGCAAAGTATCAGTAAATCGCCCAGCCTGCCCTGGGACTTGCAATCCCCCTGCCTTAGCCTCTCGTGTAACTGGAAACACAGCCATGTGCTTCCCATGCCCTGCAGGGGATCTTCATGTCCGAAGCCCCGTGGGTCATACAGAGTTGTGCTCCACACATTTATTATACTTTCCCACGCTGTTGGAGGCATGGCTTTCCTTACAGGAGGTCCTGGAGGAGGTGTGGACTGCAGGCACTACCGTGGGGTGGAGAGGCAATTCCACCTTCGCGTCCTTATACCTGCAGATATCGTGTGAGGGCCGGGCTGGAGGGGCCCAGAGCACTGGTGTCAGGCACACAGAGCCCTTTCAGAGCAGGCTGACTGCAGCTGTGGCTGTTGCTGTTAACGGGCAGGGATGGGACACGTTGGCAGCTGCCGTGCCAGGGCTGCCACATGGCACCACAGAGAGCCACTTGTGCTCCTGAGGTTTAGGAGCAGACCGGACAGGGCTGGCACATGGAGGAGCTGCCCCATCTCCTGAGTGGGAGCCGAGTGTGGGTTCGGTCCTCCCGGACCCTGAACCCCATCAGCTCTTCCAAGGGAGGTGTGGAGGCTGACAACCCCATCGTGTTTGGCTGAAGTAAACGCATGGATGCAGTGTGATTTTCATGTGCTTTCCGCGGGGCACAGTGCCCATCCTGACAGGGGATGTGTATGGGGAGCTTAGGTGGGGTCCTGGCAGTGACATCTGCCGGCTGCTGTGTGTTCAAGGACTCTCTTGGGAGTGCAGGGAACAACTGGCCTGCATTTCGTAGGCTCCCTGGGTCAAAGGGGAACTCGAGCCTCAGTATTGCTCAGGTCATTATTATTTAAGATTTGACGTGTGGTTCATTCAGACCAGTCAGTGGGTGATCTTGAAAGTGTGTGTGTGTGTGTGTGTGTGTGACTTCACCCTGAGCACATCCCTAGTCCTTTTAATTTAATTTAATTTAATTTTTTTTGAGTCAGCGACTAAATTGGCCAGGCAGGTTTTGAATTTCTGATCTTCCTATCTTGGCTCCCCTGAGTGCTGAGATTATAGATGTGCGCCACTATACTGGGCTGGATCTTGAATTTTTAGTTATATTAAAAAGAAAAAAATTACATGTGGTATCACAGATTGAACCCAGGGCCTTTGCATTGAGAAACATTCTTGGCCCCCTTTTTTAAATTTTTCGTTTGGATATAGAGTTTTACAAAATCAGTATTTTGCTCAAGCTTGTCTCAATCTTGCTGTCCTGTTTCAGCTCCCAGTGTTCTTCTGGGATCACCGGCAGGCTCCGTCATGTCTGGTTTGTTCTGTAAATTCTTCTAGAAAAGTTTGAATTTTCAGTAGGGCTACACTGTGTGTCTGTTTTAGTGTCCTCTCTGTCTCTCTGTCTGTCTCTCTCTGTCTCTGTCTGTCTCTGTCTCTTTCTGTCTCTGTCTCTCTGTCTCTCTCCATATCCAGTTTTTGTTTTTAATTTTTAAAATTTGTAAATAGCAGATAAAGATTGCTTATGGTGGACTCTGTGATGTTCTGAAACAGCCATACATTGTGGATGGCTAAATCGAGCTGAGTACTACACGTATCACCTCACAGACTTGTCATTTTTTTGTGGTGAGTCTCCTGTTGGCTATTTTGGGGGTGTACAATACACTATTGTACACAGTGACTGCCATACTAAATCACAGGCTTCTTGAACTCCTCCCCCGTCTGAAATTATGTTGTTATTGGATGTACTTGGAACAGAGAGCTTTTTCCTACACTATAGTTGTTTTAGACTTCTTTTTCCTCCAGAGAGCCATGGATCAGAATTTCCATGATCAGATCCCCCACACCCCCAAGACCCAGTGCTGGCTTTTTGAGTTTGAATATGTTGGACTTAGGTCAGAGTTAAATTAAGGACCATTCGGGCACTGCAGATGCCCTGGCCCCCACTCTGAACGATGGGATCTGTATTGTGACAGAGGCCAGCTCACTTAGGAGTGTGTCCCCGGCTCCCACCCTGCACTGTCCTTCCACAGCCTGACCATGATCTGCTGAGCCTCGAGTCATAGAGCAGCGCTCGCCCCCAGGGGTCCCACAGGAAGGGGAGTAGTGCCCCTGACCCATAGTGCTGCCCAAACCTGTGACTCCCGTGAGGTACACGGAGGTCCCTGCTGAGTCCCACACCCAGGAGCCCCTGTCCGCAAACGCCAAGCAAGGACTCCCTGTCTTAAACCTCTGCCTGAATCACTGAGGTCTTTGCAGCCACAACAGGAGCATGCCCCCCCCTCCCCGCAGCAGCAGGGCCCAAGAACCGCACCCAGCAGGGGAGAGGAGGACAAAGGGATCTTGGTTGTTCCTTGGGGTCAGCTGTGTGGTCACCCTAGAGATGGCACAGCCCTTTGGGGAGTGGCGTCCATTTCGCATCTAAGCCTGTTCTAGGCAGGCAGAAAGGCCACACGGCCCTCTGGACCTAGCAATGTTGTCCTCTGGAAATCTTCACCTGGCTCCTGGGCTCCTCAAGGCCCTGTGACCCCGGCCTTCCTCACCTGACCTTGCGACCTCTCTGCCTGGAGACCCGGGCCCTTGTGCTGAGTTCCATGCCCTGTCCTTGTCAAAGCTTTATTTTTTGAGACAGGTTCTTGTAAGTGTTAGATTGCCTGGGCTGTTAGAACTTGCAACCCTTCTGCCTCGGCACCCCAGGATGCCAGGGTACAGGTATGCACCACCACACGTGGTGAAACATGGCCTTTCCGCCCCTGCTAACAGGGAAAGTCCAACCGAGTCCCTCACGCAGGTCTCCCGGTGGCATGGTGGCTGAGATGAAGTCCAGAGGGTGTTTGGAAAGGGGTTCCCCCTCAACCTGAGTGGGGGAAATCACTACCGGCCTCCCTCCATCTAGATCCGTACTCCTATAAAATGGGGAGGGCGACATTTCACTGGAATAGCATTGAGGGAGAGTGAGGTGCACTCTCCTGTGCTGGGCGACTTGGAGACCTGCCCGGACCTCATGACTGGACTGTCCCTTGGACCAAGCCCCACTGGGAGGCCCAGTCCTATCCTGCTGTCCGGATTCCTTCCCTACACAGGCTCCCATTGTTCTGAAAAAGTCCCCTGGGCGAAAACAGGAAGAGGAGGGCAGGTGGCTATGAAATCCCAGTCAGGGAGGAGGGAGGAAGCCCAGGCCTCGCCTGCTGGCTGGCTTTCCTCAATTAAGGTGTTGGAAGTCAGCAGCTCCAGCTCAGCTATGTCATTATTTTCTGTTCCACAGGAAGGCTTTGGGCGGCTGCCTCCTACTCTCAAATCTCCAGCTGTCACTCACGGCCCTTGGCTGTGGTGCTGGGAACAATTATGTCACCAGCAGGTGCACGTAGTGCCCTCGCGGTGACTTTGACAGCTACCACTTATTATGCATGCGCTCCGCACAAGGCGTTCTCCGGATGTCCACACGGTAATCCAGGTAATCCTCCCCAAAGCTCTCTAGAGCGGGTTATTTATTTTGATTTAAAAATGTTTACCAAGCCAAGTGTGGTGGTGCATGCTCCTAATCCCAGCTACTCATCGGGAGGTGGAGGCAGGAGGATTGCTAATTTTTTGAGGCCAGCCTGGGCAACCTAGCAAGACCCTGTCTCAAAATAAAAATTAAAAAGGCCTGGAGAGAATTTAGAGATAAAGAGCTTTCTTCGCATGTGCTAGGCCCTGGGTTTACCTGCCAGCACCACCAACTACTACTGCTGTTATTATTACTAGTATTACTACAAAATGTAGTGCTTGAGCTCAGGCAAAGACAGTCAAGTTAGCTGGTGGTGCAGTGTCATTACTGATGAGGGTAGGACCTTGCCTTCCTCCTTTGTTCCTTTGATTCCTGTTTCCTTCTGACATTATCTTGATCACTGTGTAGCTTTTGCTGTTATTTTTATTAATAATGTGTCCGCTGTGCTTTTCAGTTGTTTTCATTGGCTATTGTCATTGTGTGTCCTCGCTGTTGTGTTTGAGATCCTTTGCTGTTATCTTTGTTATTACGTGTCTTTTGTTGTGACATTGATTGTTGCAATTTGTTTTGGGCTCTGAAGTCCTCATAGATGATTAGCTATTTAAGGGGTCTAATACTGTGGCATCTAGTGCATTCACAACCTTGGAGATCTATTTTCTTTTATTTTTTATTGTATGTCCTTAGGGGTTGTAGTGTTTTTTTTTAAATTAAGCTTATTCGTACATTTTGGATGTATATAGTGATCATGCTCATCGCGGGAAGTTTGCACCTGTACATGATGGATCTTAATTCTTTCCACATTCCCTACACTCCCTGCCACCCCACTTCCCCTCCTTATTCACAAGGCTTTGTTTCTGTATCTCGCTTCTTTCCATTCTTTGTTTCTTTTTTCTTCTTCCTACCCCCCTCATCCCTCCTTAGTACCCCTTCCCACTTGAGCATTTTATTCCTAATAACACCTAGTACACATTTTGGTCCTGATTTACACTTTTGGTTTCCCACACCAGAGAAACAGTGTGATACTTACACATGTGTGTTAGATTTATTTCACCACGAGCGCGTTCTCAAGGTGCACCCAATGAGTACTACTCAGTCATAAAGAATGACAAACAGACATTTCTAGAAGCTGCATTGTGTTTTCATGTGCATATATTTTATTTTTCTGTCAATGGTATACGGTGCATAGCTCTTCCTGTGTCTTTTTTTTTCCATTGACACTCTACTTTTTATTTTTCATTTTGGTAGGTTACTGTTTTACCCATTTTAGCATCCATGTTAGTGGATCTCGGAAATTGGTTGCAATCACATAACCACCTTTGTATCAAGACAGGCACAAGTCTCCTCCTCCCGCTCTCTGTGTTTTCACTGCCTTGTGCCTCTTTGCACACGCCGCCTGCCCTCCCTGGTCCTGCGCAACCACTGACCATATCCTGCCACAGTGGCTTTGCACTGAACTTCCTGTGGATGCTTGGCAGCTTTCATCAGCACCACGTGCGCCAGTTTCACCCCGGTTTCTGCCCTGTCTGTCCACAGTTATTCTTTCCTGCCGCAGAGCACATTCCATTGCCTGGCTCTCCCACACTTGTTCTTTCCTTCACCAGTTGTTGGACATCTGGGTGGTTTCCAGTTTCTGGCGCTTATAAACAATGCTGCTGTGAATACTTTTCCGACCATTGTGTGGACATATGTTTTCATTTCTCTTAGGTAAACACCCAGGAGTGAAATTGCAGGATCCTATGAGAGATGTATGTTTAACTATATAAGAAGTCACCAGATGTTTTCTTGCAGAGGTTGGCCCATGTCCCACTGCCACAGTTCTGTATGCTTCCCCACGGTAGTGTCCGGCATTGCAACTTTACAATTTGAGTCATGTTGTCTGTGCACATGTAGCTTTTTTTTTTTTTTGGTCTTTTTGAGACAGGGTCTTGCTACCTGGTTCAAGCTGGCCTCTGGCTCACTCTGTAGCCTACCCTGGTCTTAAACTTGCAGTGAGCCTTGTTAAGGTTGATACATTGTATCAACTTGAGAAGTTTAGAAGTTTAACTAAGAGATTCAGCAGGGAGCCAACCTCCTTACTGTGTAAGCATCCTGTGCAACAGGAGGTCATAAGTGATTTTGTGAGTGCTAAATCTGCCCTAGAGGATAGGGGTGGGGGAGAGGGGTGGTCTGCATGCAGTATAAGGGAGAAGGAGGAGAAGAGGCTTGTTCTCCCCTCTTTTTGCTCTGGCTGCTTTTACTGGCTGCTGCCTTGAAATGTTGCCCCTGTGCCATGCCACCCTGCCTTAGTCAGCTGATTATGGACTGAAACCTCCACAAATAGTGAGATAAATAAACCTTTCCTTCCTTCCTTTGGGTGTCAGGTAATTTGTCCCATGAATGAGAGAAAAGTAACCAAGACAATCCTGCTGTTTCAGTCTCCTGAGTGCTGGGATTACAGGAGTCTGCCACCACGCCTGGCTAGTTTGTTCTTTTAAATGCCACATCTTCCCATTATGGATTCCCAACAGACCTCCCCAATCCTTTCCCATGAAGGAGCCTGCAGATTTCCCCCACAGCGATAAAGACTGCAGCCCTCACTTCTGGTTTCCTTTTCGTGACCTGTATAACCATGGTCCCTTGGTGGACACCCAGGAGCGGGGCTTCTGGGTTCACGGACATGAATGCATAGAAGCTCGGCTTATTAGTGGTATGAGAAACCCGTCATAAACTGAAACACTGAGAATGTGCTCAGCACACCTACCCCAGCACCCCTCTGCTCCCAGGGCTGACTGGGAGCTTTCCAGCATCGTGAGAGACAGTTTTACTGCTGAGTGCTAGCCCGGGAGAATCCACAGTGCAGTTCCCACTGAACTCTATCACTTTTGCACCATCATAGGACAGAAGATTTCTAACCTGAACCACTGCAAACTGAGGATTGTCCATACTTAAATCAACCAAGGAATGGTCTGCTACTTTCCCAAATGACAGCAGTGATCTGATCACACCAGCTGGGTATGGGGATTCCAGAGTTCTCTGTCCCTGCTAATATGGGGTTATTTAACTTTGAAGTTTTAAAATATTCATCTAACAAATACAACATGATACACTATTTGTGGGTGCAATTCTAAGATAAATAATGACTGGGCATTTTTCATATGAGTATTTTGGGCATTTCTCTGTAAACCACCTGTTCATATCCTTTCTTTCCTTTTGTCATTTATTTGCAGGATCTTTTACCTGTCCCCATCCATTTAGTCTGCCCATGGAGTCTTCTCTCATGGGCAAATGCTTATCTTTGATATAGTCACACTGAACAGTTCTCTACCTTTAGATTAGTCCTTCTGACTATTTATTTGTTTGGTACCAGGGATGGAACTCATGATCTTGCACTTACCAGGCAGGTGCTTGAACCACTGAGCTAAATCTCCGGCCCTTCTGATGCTTTAAAACTCATCTGTCAGTTGCAAAAATGACCTCTGTTATTATCTCCCACTCATGTTGTGTAGTAACCAGCTGCAGCTCTAGATGTTCGTAGGCAGAAGGATGGTGAGAGGATGAGAAATAAAGAAAAGACAAAAACTGGGGTCAGGGGAGCCCTCTCTCCTGATGGGAGGGAAGGAACTGCTCAGCCTCGGCAGCACGTTTATTTATGCACTCAGAAGGAGGATGTCAGTTTCAACACCGCTGCCTAGCAACTTGTCTGTCCGTCTGGCCTGGGCCCCTTGCCTCCTTGGAGCTGGAACAGCTTGTTTATGTGGCTTGTTTTGAGCTCTCTGTGTCTGGCCTTTTGCTTTTAGGTGTTAAAACCACATGGTGTTAAGTACCTGTTTTACACCCACTGGATGATGGAGAAGCCGAGGCCCCGACACAGCAAGTGACTCTGAGGTGACACAGCCCAGTGAGCGACAGGTGGGATGAGACCCAGTCTGCCCCCTGGCATCTGCACCCTCTCCCTACTCTTGCCATGTTCCTCCACGGAGGGTTCTGGAAGCAGAGATACCTGTGCTTAGAGCTTTAAGTCACCAGTGTTTCACTCAGTCTTCCTGAAAGCCCTATGCAGTAGTTCCTGTTAGGAGAGGTGATGGAATTGAGGATCCCAATAGATAAAGCAGTAAAACCAGATCTTTCTAGTCCCACCCTCCTTTGACCATTAAGTTAGTCATCCTTCCCTATCCAAGGGGATCGGCCACAGGACCCTGACAGGTGCCAAATCTGTACAAGCGATGGTCCTTTCTATAGAGCGGTGTAGCTATGATCACCTGAAGTGTACTCTACACACCTCTAGATAACTTATAAATACCCCATGCAAGGTTAACCTATGTAAGTAGGTGTTATATTGTGTGTTGTTTTCGGTGCTCGAGATCAAACCTAGGGCTCTGTGTGCTGTGCAGTCTGCTGCTGAGCTACACCCATCTCTGTAACAAGTTTTCTTTACAGGTGTTTCCTGACAGCAAAACTAAGAGCACACTCTGTATGTGTTCGGGACAGGAGATCTTCTTTCCAGTTATTTTGAACTTGGGATTGGTTGAATCTGAGGATGCGGAACAGGAAAGCACTGAAGACTGGGCTGCCACGTTTCCCTCTGGAATCCAGAGATGATGGAGTACTCATCCCTGACTTTCACTTGGATAAGATTCTTATCCATTCATTCTGTCTTTTCAAATTTACCAACTCCATAAAGACAAAGGTTGCCCCTGCAAGGGCAATCTTGAGGGTTTTATGGGCCTCCTCATCTCAAGTGTCGTCCTGCAACGTGTGTCCTTTACCTGGTCTCCTGGATGACAAGCTTTCCACATTTTTGCACTTTTGCGGGGAGCCTCAGCATGGTGCGGAGGTTCTGGTTGGGATGGGGGGAGATAGGAGGGTTGTGGAAGGAGCAGGACAAAGAATCCAGCGGCAGTGTGAATGTGCTCCAGTCCCCCAGGGTAAGTGAATTATGATGCATTTCAAATACATCCAACAATAAAGAACAGAGAGACTGCTGTGGTCAGCAGAGAGACACACGCTACACAAGCTTTGTTCAGACAGCTGTGGTGCCTCTTGCTGTGAGGCCAATGTGAATGAATAATGGCGTCTGTTAAGTGAGGTATTTTTCAACAAAAATACTCATGCGATATGTATTTGATCTGTTGCCTGTGGCTTGCAGAAACTCAACAACATATCTTTGCTGTTACTGCAAAACTTTTCTAATTCACCTGCTCTGCCCCACGCCCTGGCCTTGTCACCCGATGACTGCAGCAGGCTCCTGGGTTATCTCCCAGCCTCTACCACCTCCAGCTCCTCATCTGTACCCCTCACCCAGCAGGAGCCAGTGTGATGACACCATCCCGGGTAGGGTTCCTCCCCTGTTCCTCACTCCTCAGGGCCGCTCAATGCACTGAATCCCCTTAGCACAGCTTAGGAACACTCCATTTGCTGCTCATCTCATTCAAAAGGGGGAGACCGGACTCGGTCTCTCCTCCTTTCTGCTCAGCAACCACCAACACAAAGGACTTCTCTGACCTCAAAGGTTGTGGAGACTTCTGCTCACCAGCAAGGAAGCAGCTAATTCTGCGGCAGACATTGGCTGGGTGTCTTTGTACCCAATCTGGTGTCTGGTGTCTGCTACCTGGAAACAGCGTCCGATTCCACCTGGTGAGGGCTCAGTCCCCAAGAGTGTCCCTACTTCCCATGAGGCAGCTGCTGTTGTACCTGTTCTTCTGACCAGCTGGCCATACATTATAGGACCCTACTGAGGTCCTGTTCATTCGTTAGAGTAGCTCACAGGCCCCAGGGGAGCAAGTTTAAAGGGTACTTTAAAGGACACACACAGATCAGCAGCCAGATGAGGAGACATATTGGGTGAGATTTGGAAGGATCCTGAGCTCAGGGGCATCCATCCCGGTAGAACTGGGGTGCACCCCTTTCCAGACAGGAATATATTCCTAGTCACCTGTTTGGGCACCTCCACATGCCCAGCTACCTGCAAGTTCTCTGTACTCATTCTTGTGGGGTCTTATTGAAATTCATTATCTTAGCACAATTGATCAAATCATTCATTACAGGGTGGGGGCCGACTTCCCTTGCAGGCTCTCTGCTCCATGCAACCCCAGTCCTCCCTGGGGTGCAGGTCGCTGGCTCCTCTGGCAGCCAGCCTTCCCCATCTGGCTTTCTAGGGACATTCCAAAAGCTAAAATGAAGCAAAACAAAAGGAAAAACCAAAGAAGCCCACCTTGTTGGTATCCATCCAGAGCCAAGCATGGTAGCATACACTTATAATCCCAGCATTCTAGAAAGGTCAGGCAGGAGGGTCCGAGTTTGAATTCAGCCAGGGTAATTCAGAGATTTAGGGAGATGCTGTCTCGAAAAACAAAAACAAAAGCAAAACCAGCAAAAACCTGAGGATGCACTCAGTGCATAAGCTCTGTACTCTCTCCCTGGTGCTGCTGAAGCATATGAAGAAAGCATCTCCACATCCGGGGGTGTTGGCAAGGGCTTGTCAAGGGAAAAGGCCGCGCTTCCCCTTTCCGCTGTGAAGCTCTTCTGAGGTGGCTTCAGAAGCCAAGGACCAGACATTTTAATGAAGATATTTTTACTGCTCTAGTCATCCTGGAAAGAGCAGGTGCTTAGGAACCAGCGACAGAGCTACAGCGTATCCCAATACTGTCTCCAGGCAGAGTCCTGGCCAGCAATATTTTCCCCAGGTTCTTACCCAGCTGTCCAATGAACTGGTCAGGACAGCTGGTGAAGGAGAAAGTCCAATGTTTATTCTGGGGCGGAAAGAAAAAGAAAAGCAAAAGGAGTGCCTGGGGAGGAAAGAGCGCTTTGGAGGAACCGAGAAGATTCGCCCAGGGAGCTGGGGCCAGTGGTGCAGTGGCTCGCCACCGTCCTCTTGTGTCCTCTTCGACAGTGGACCCAGGGGGTCCCGCTGGATCTCTTTCTTTAGACTGGCATTGGGCACTGGCCTCGGCTTCTCATGTCAGGAGATGCACATGAGGTGCCCGGCCCCGTGCACGCTCGGGTGTCGGGAGATTGGTGCCAGGGCAGGGCTCAGCCCGGTCCCGTGAGCTGCTGCTCTGTGCCCAGTGTCACCCTGACTTTTTCCTCAGCAGGTCCTTCCCCGCCACTCCCCCCCCGCCCCGCCCAGGGTCCTGGTCCTTGCTGCAGCTTCTCTCAGCCCACTTAGGGAGCCCGAGACTTCCCGTGTCTCCGTGGCAGAGCTGAGCCCCTGACTGGCTGCTCTCCATGTAGGAGTCTTTCTTTGGTCACAGGCCGCTTCCTCCAAGACGTTCCCCGCAACTGTACAGATGGCTTTTCTGGAGCTGCTTTCACTTCCCGCTCGCTTTGTCTTCCCTGATCCTGTGCAGTTATCCCCACGTCCCCCTCCTTTTACCAGCATTCTGCATTCTAAAGGGAAGCCAACCTGCAGGGTTAACTGGTAAACCCTCTTTAGCTTGTGGACGGGACATCGCATCGGTGACTTCTGTAACACCTCTCCTCAGCTTTTCCTTCTGTGCATGCAAATTGCTGTGAGATCTAATTTGCAGAAAAAGAATCCATCTGTTTTAAGCCAAAACAGGATCTAAGCTTGGGAGAAAAAAAGGAGGTGCACACTGGCAGACCCCGCTCAGCACATAACCTTCCCGCCCTTAGCTCCTGGTGCCTCCTTCCTCTCCCCATAGAAGCCCTGTGCAGCCAGGGGCACCCCAGGACGGCGCTTTGGAGATGCCACTTTCTGCATCTGCCTCAGTGCCAGCCCTCTAGTAACCCCGATGCCTGCCACCAGCTCTTGGCTCCCAGTTATTGGCCTCTGAGCAGTGAGCAGCACAGACCTCATTCCTGTGATATCTCTGCTCTGCTCAAAACCGCCTCCTCCTGAATCCCTGACATAAAACCTTGTTTATACCCCCAGGGAAATGAGTGTCCTTGCTGTTACCTCACAGAGCAGCCATCATGTTCTCACTCACTCTGTGGCTTTATTTGCTGGAAGTTCCCCCAAGGATCAAGTTTACTTTCAGTTTAAAAACTACTATTCTTTCCCCCAAACCTGTTTTTCCCACTCTAGTAAATAGCAGGTCCAGTCTGTCCTTCTTGGTGATAAGACCACAGCTGGCTCCACTGCCTTTCCTGCCTTAGCGCCCATCCTCCCCTCTGTGTGCACACAGACGCAGCCACACCGACCTCTTCACTGAGCTTCACATACACTGTACAGGCTCTAGGGCCTTTGCATTTGTTATACTGGCTGCTTTGGGTGCTGATCTGCTGCTAACATGTAGCTGGCTCTTTTTCTTTAAATTGTCTCTTTAACCCTCTTGTGTGAGTGTCCTGTTTAAAAAGCATTGCCACGCTCCTGTCCCCTACCCACTGCTCCCTACCCTTCATTCCTGCTGCCTCTCCACGCTTTCTTTCCTTTTTTCTTTCGTTCTTTCTTTTGGTACTGTGTATCAAACTCATGACCTTGCACTTGCCGGGTGGGTGTTTATGCCACTGAGCTAAATCCCCACCCTCTTTTTTCTTTCTTCCTTTCTCCCCTCTTTTCCTTTCCTTTCCTTTTTCCTTTCCCCCTTCCCTTCCCTTTCCTTTCCTGACTTTGTTACAAGGATAAGCACAGGCTGCCCACCGCTCAAGGGCCAAAACCCTGGAGACAAGAGTTGGTAGAAGGAAATCAGTTTTGTGCAGTCAGCCCAGAAGAGGCCAGAGAAGCTATTCCTCAAAGCTCCCACAGGGGTGAAGGGTACCATAGAGGCGGGCCTCTGTGGGGAGGAAGCCCAGCAGGGCCACAGGGTTATGCACCCAGTGGGGTCTTTGTCGCCATGACACACGCGTCCTTTTCCTTCTCCGAAACATGGCAGTGGACCTCACCCTCCTGGGGCTGGCTCCCGTGGTTCCCAGATGGACACAGTCGTAGAACTGGAGACGCAGGAGGGGCGTTACGAAGGCCGCCAGATGCGCTGGCTCCTGTCAGTCCGCAGGCAGATTGAGCAGTTGACATCTGCACCGGTTAGGTGGGGCTGCTCTCTAGAATCTACAATGTTGGGCAAAAAAGGGAGGGGACCTCGGCCTTGCAAGAGGATTAGGGAGGGAAGGGCAGCAAGCATAACTCTGCTGATGATGACACCAGGTGAGTGGCCCTGTCAAGGAGTGGCCTGTCACAGCTTGTGTCGCTGCCTGACAACCTATCTCTTTATTCTTTGTTTTCACAATTTCTCTCCAAAACGCATGTCAGCTCTACCAACATGGACATTTCTGTCGGTTTAAGTCACCACATTCTGCCTTTGTCTCTTGGAGGGCTGAATGATGCTAGCAACCAGTTTCAGCTGAGTAAATAAACACCTGGGAAGGTGCCATACGTGGTCAGCTTGAAAAAATATTGCCGGAGAAAAATAAAGGCGTGAAATCTTCATGAACACTCAGCGGATCTGTGTTTGTGAGCCACGATGGTATGAGGGTGAATGTGAGCCCTTTTTACAGATGAGGAAGCTCAAGGCAAGGGCTTGTGTTCAGCAGAGACTCCAGCAGCTAAGAACTCAGCCATTATGTTTGGGTTGATGGGCAAAGATGTAATAGCAAGAAACACTGGACAGGGATCTTTCTGGGGGAGAAACAAGACTGAGATAGACACAGGACAGAATACTGGGTGGATGTTATTTCTGGGGTGCAGCTCAGTGATCAGTGATTGCAATCCAAGACAGAGGCCCCTTGGGACACTGATCTGTGTTATTGTAGAGACCAGAGTGACAGTGATGTTAGTGGGAATGGGGCTCAGAGAAAGGGGATGTGGGAGGTGGGTGGGGTTGAGAGGTCTATGTGCCCCAGAGTAGTGGGAGGATGAACTATTCTGAAGATCCACAGTTAGCTGTGACAATCGTTCAGAGGTGCACAGGCTGCTGTTGGGGAGAACATTCTGGACCAGAGATTTTCATGATGGAACATCACGGGAGTCCAGAACCTCCATGAAGGCCCAACATAGCAGGACCTAGAATATTGGCAGTGAATAAATATTTGGAGAGTTTCTGGATGTCATCGAAGATCTGTTCAGACTGGAATATTTCTCGGGGTGTGTAGCTTAGTGGTAGAGCATTCGCTGAGTAAGCACGAGCCCTGGGTTCAATCCCCAGTGCCACCTTGAGGACGGTTGGTGGAAGGATTTGAGATGCTTGCCAGAGATAGAACGTGTGGGTGCTCATCTTGGTTTATGGTGGCCACAGTGAGTGGTTTGGGGGAATCTAGGGTATAGTCTGGGTTGGGACACTCAGAAAATTGGGGGCTTTCACTCGCAACATCTAGAGACTACAAGCTGGTGGCTGAATGCTTTTGAAACATAGAAGGCAGCTAGAACGGAGCATGCTGAGGTTATATATTGTGATTCCAGCAGGACACTTTGGGAAGGACAGAGAAGAGCCCAGCGAAGTGAGGAGGGTGCGGTGGGAAGTGGAAAGGAGGTAAATCAACCCAGCTTTTATTGTGTAGACTTTGTCCGTTTCTGCTCCCGGGTTTTGTGATCTTTGATTGTTTCGTGGATCCACGAGACATATCGGGAAACTCGAGTGTAGACGCCAGGCCGGTTGGGTTGTCCGCATGGGAAGTCTCCCCAGGAGATGATGCCATGGAGTGTGTTGTTGCAGACCAGTGGGCCCCCGGAGTCACCCTGAGAGAGAGAGAGAGAGAGAGGTGGGGTCTTTGTCGGGGCTAAATAAAGGCAGAGATGGAGGGAGAGAGTGAAAGATGGGGAGAGACATGCCGACAGACAGAGTCAGATAGATGGCGACTCAGCAAGGCAGAGGTTGTGTGAGAGAACAGAGACAGCGAGAGATGAGAAAGATAAAACCACAGAGAGAAACAGGAAAAGAACAGAACAGCAGAGATGGACCCAGGGGTGAGGGCCTGACCTTCACGACTCTCTATTTTCCTCCATTCCTCGATCTCTTTGAAAGTAGTGACAATTCATACCCATCTTAGTTTCTGGGAACTAAATCCCAGCTTGTACCCCCAGCTCCCCACCAGCTGGCCCTGTTCCGACTTGATGGCTCCTTTGTGCCATCTAGTTACTGAGTTAACGCACTGGATGCGGACTGTGTTGGATGCACATGTTCTTCACCTCTCCCTGGTCCAAGCAGACATCACTAATTGAGCACAGCACATGGCATTCTCTCAAAATTGTGGTTTTCCCCACTGAACGAAATACAGAAGCCTTCACTATGGGTTGTAGCTTGTTCAGTGTGCTTGTAGCATACATTTCCTTTAGTAAATAACTTGCTGAGTTTTCCATTTGGGGAATGACCCCTCCCCCTCTCAATCCGTGCAGTGGTCCCCAACTGTGGCTCCCATAGTCCCAGCATCCATCATGAGTCTCAGAGAATCCCACAGCTGAGGCCAGAGTGATGGTTCAGTACGCGTGACTCAGATCAGCCTAATGAGAATCACACTCAAGACATTGTGTAAATTCTTAGAAAAGAGACGTTCTCTCTTTCCAGTAGCATTGCTTACAGGACAGGGGTGAGCTCTGGGCTGTTGGTGAGGAGCCCGGTTGAGAATGAAGCCCAAACAGAGGAGAAAAGCAGAGGTAAAAAGACACAGAGTTCCTAAAATATGACCTGTACACCTGGATCCCTCTGCACCTGAAACCATCACCTCTGCATTTTCAATACGAGTACCAGGGTTTTTGTTGCTGTGTTTTACTTTTGACAGTGGAGTTGGGTTTCCATCACTGGCAGGTGAAGGAATCCAACCTTCAGGCCTCTCAACACAGAGATGTGGGTAGCCGCTCCATCAAAGCTGGAGCTCAAGATGAATTCCATTTTCCATCTCTGGCACTGGCTTTCTGGTCTTCATACTCTTATACAAGAGGACAACACCCCCCACCCCAGATTGGGCTAGGAGGAAACCCTTCCCTCCGACAGCTGCCCCACTGCCACTCTGGCTTCCTGTCCTGGCAGAGAAAGCCCGCAACATCTGGTCTCACCTCGCAGGAGTCTTTCCCCCCCTCTTTGGTGCCAGCGCACAGCATGTTGGTAGTGATCTTGCCCGGATAGACATGGCGGCACTCCTCATCTGAGCGTAGCGGGATGTTCGCACACTGCAGGGTTTTGGGGTAGCTCACTGTGGAGCAGAGAGAGGTCTGAGGACGTCTGTCCTGGGTTGGGTGTGGGGTGGAGGTTAAGAGATCCGGCAGTGACAAGGGAGAGAGGGGAAGAGATGGATGCGTAACTGGGGAAAGCGATGGAAGAGCCAGAAATACGGAGACAGCGGTGCAGGGAGAGGGAGGCGGGAGGTGGAGGGGAGGATGGGGAGAGCTGGGCGTGTGCTGGGAGGTGGGCCAGGAGAGAGGGGAGAAAGCTGGGGAGGCAGAGCCGGAAGAAACAGAAATGGGAAGACACTGGTGGTAAGAGATGGGGAGCTGGAGGCGGGGAGCAAGGGTCAGAGGGTTGGGCACGGAGTGCCAGAGGCACGGAAAGAGATGAGGAGGGAGAGGGGTGCTAAGGAGTTACAAAGGGCGCTTGTTGCTATGGTACTTGTGTACGCACAATTTACACAGAGGATACACTTGTTTATGTCTATGCGTTACTAAGTACACATAGGTTAACATGTTAAATTATTTTGTAATATATATTTATAGTTTAAATGTATTATAAATTATATATTTATATAGTGTCTTTATAGATCATAAACACTATATTATATAATATTCTTATATAATTTATTTAAACCTATGACTTATAATTTAGAAGACAATTTATATGACTTGTAATTATATATTTAATATGCAATACTATTAACAGACATTGGATTACACGTTTCTGTTTGTTTCTGCATCAATGTGCGTGTATTTATGACGGCAAACATGTCCCTCTACATACGCCTACGTCTGTGTCTCCCAGGGGCTCCTCCTCCCCGCTTTCCTCCCAGTTCTCGACCCCTCTCTAAGAGGCCCCGGCACCAGTACGAGCTCATCACATACCCTGCGGGCTGGTGGTGGTGCCCCAGCCCGACACCCGACAGCAGGTACCGGGCGGCAGGCAGTCACTGCGGGAAAGGGGCAGGGTGCGGATGTGGCCTGTCAGCTGGACCGGGGTCTCCAGCTCCAGCAGCATGATGTCGTTGTCGTGGTTCAGGTGGGTGGGGCTGACCTGGTATTTGGGGTGGGGGACAGAGCGGGCCACCGCCCTCACCTGCTCGTGGGTCTCCACGCGCCCCAGGACATGCTTGCCTAGGTGAACTGTGTACCCGCTGCGGGGCAGGAAGGAGGTGGTTAGGGGAGAGTGAAGCCTGTGTCTTGCCCAGTCCTGTCTCTTCTTATCCCTGTCTAACCTCTTTCCGCCTTGACGGGCCTCCTCTCCAAACACATGTCTCATCCCACCCTCAACTCCAGCCCCATAAGATCTTCAACCCTATTGCCATATCCCCTGTGTGTCCACTCCAAGCCCCATGCTTGAACCCACGCCCAAGCCAGCCCTCACTCCAGCCTCTTCCCTGGTCCAGTTCACGCCCCCCAGTGCCAGGGCCCATTCATCCCAACCCCACGCCCCAGAGCCTACGTACACTTTCAAGCAGTGTGCAGCAGTGAGGACCCATTTCGGGTGGACCAGGACTCCGCCACAGAGGAGCCGCCCCTTCACCAGCAGGGCCACTTGCCAGGGCTGGGAATGGGGGAGGCAGGTGTAGCCACCAGGTAGAAACCCACTGGTCCCATTGGTGCCATTCAGTATCTTGGGATACTCCCGAGAGATGCCTGGTAAAGAAGAGGAACTGTTAGAGAATCAGGGTGAGGAGAAGGCTAGAGTTGTGGTCCCTGCACTGGAGAAAGGGTCACACTATGGGTCTGGGTGGCAGGAAGCCGATGACTCATTTGGTAGCCTCTGGGAGTTGCCACTTTCTATCCAGTGGAACGAATCAGAAAAAAGGATTTTTTCTTTCCTACAGGAGTGCCAAACCCTGCAATGTGAACTGTGAGAAGACATGAGATGAAGACATTTGTGATAGGAAACAGAAGCTTGACTTCCGCCTCCATATTCTATGTCATTCCATTATGGAAACAGACTTCAGGAGGTGGCCCTGTATATCCACTTGGTAGCCTCCATCCATCCATCCATCCATCCATCCATCCATCCATCATCCATCTATCCATTCATCCATCCATTCACTCATTTATCCATCCATTCACTTATCCACCCATCCATTCATCCATTTATCCTTCCATCCATTCATTTATCCACCCACCCATCCATTTATCCACTCACCCATCCATCCATTCATCTACCCATCCATTTATCCATCCATCCATCCACTTATCCATCCATCCATCCTTCCATTTTTTGCCCATCCATCCATCCATCCATCCATCCATTCTTTTATCTACCCATCCATTTATCCATCCACCTATCCATTTATCCATCCATCCATCCATCCATCCATCCATCCATCCATCCATCCATCCAACCATGTTTACTTGTGCCTCTATGGCTCTAAATAACACCCAAAAGTCAACCACTCCCAAATTCACATCTCCCGAATTCTTTTTTCCAGCTGAAAATCCAAACCCTATCAACTTGGATGCCTTCCATATATCTTCAAATATTTTGCCCCTACCTTGATTTTTCTCAACCCAAACTACTCCTTTCAATCATCCACCTAGGTTTTGAGTTAGGAATAATCTTCACTTCCCCTTCTTTCCTATTCACTCCCGATCAAGGACTCCTGTTCATTTTAGCTGCTGTGTCCAGTTAGCTCCAGCTCCATGCCACCGTCTTGGCTCGTGTCCTGTCTCCCCACTATGAATGATTGCAACAGCAATATAAATGCTTTCACTTTTATATCCCTTAAATCCAGGTTTCTCAAAGCAGCCTAAGGAATTGTGGAATGAGACAGTTAAACAACACATTTGCCAGATTTGACTTCTTTTGAAACAAAACCCAAAAGCCTTTCTGAAGTCTGCAGGACCCTACATCACCTGGCAGCCTCTGTCTACCTCCCCTACCTCTGGCTCACTGTGTTCCAGCCTCACTCGCCTGCTCTTCAAACATACCAAAACTGGGCATGGTGGTGCACACGTGTAATCCTAACACTTTGGAGGCTGAGACAGGCAGACTGCTGCGAGCTCGAGGCCAGCCTGGGCTACCAAGTGAATTCAAGGGCAGCCTGAACTGCATAGTGAAATCCTGTCTCAAAAACAAAAATAAAAGCAACAACAACAGAAAACACATACGAGGCCCTTGGACTTGTATTTGCTCTTTGCTGTTCTGTAGGGTAGCCACTAGCTATACAGGACTCTAATATTTAAATTAGCTAGAAGAATGTTAGGTTAAATTAAAAACAGTACTTCGGTAATACCAGCCATGTTTCAAATGCTCAAATGTCCTAGGCATTTGAGCCCAGTGGCTGCTGTACCTGGTGGTGAGACAGAGACATGTGAGGTCCTACTGCACAGCACCCCGAATCTAAAGTCACATATCTAGGTCCTCTTTGATGACAGCTCAGCTCAGATTTCCCCTCTTCTTCATCACCTGGTCGGTGTTGCCCCTGTCCCTGGGCCCCAGGTGCACCTTGTGACACCCCTAACGACTTTCATCAGCACAGTGATCACTATTACTCGTTCTCCTTAAAACAGTCTCCCCACCCTGGCTGTATACTCCAGACAACAGGCACCCTGATTACTTAACTCAGAGCCACAGTGCTAGGACCAGTACCTGGCACACAAGGAGCTCAATAAGCCATGTGTATGCCAGGCACCATACTTGGCATCGCCAGCACAGTAGTGTAACAGAAAATCTAGTCCTGAATTGGCTGAATCCTTACCATGCAGCCTTGTACAAGTTACCAGCCTCAGTTTCCCCAGTTGTCAAATAAGAAGAGTACACTGGTCCCTCAGCATTCGTGGGGAACTGGTTCTGGCTCAGACACCAAAATCCAGAGATGCTAGAGCTCCTCATACACAATGGTGAGGTACTTACATATCACCCGCACAACCCTCCAGTGGGATAAATTGTCTCCAGATGACTTACAGTACTTAATAAAATGCCAAACATCACGCACATAGTTGTGCTGTGTTTAGGGAATCAGGACAAGAAAAATCTGCAGGTTCAGAGCAGATGCAGTGTCCTTCTGAATGTTTTTGGCCCGCAGTTAGCTGAACCCAAGGTTGGAGGACTTTGGGTCCAGAGGGCTGAGGGTCCAGTTTATCACTCAGGGGCGGTTGCAGGACTCAGTAAGAACCTGGATTTCAGCCGGGCGTGGTGGGTCACGCCTGTAATCCCAGCACTCGGGAGGCTGAGGTGGGAGGATTGTTGCAAGTTCAAGACCAGCCTGGGCTACAAAGTGAGCTCAAGGCCAGCCTGAACTGCATAATGAGACACGAGAACCGTCTCAAAAAGACCCTGCATCTCAAACCTGCATGCACTGCAGCAGCTGGCAGGGGCTCCACTTTCTGTAAGAGCGAAGTCCTTAGGGGTGATTAGCTGCAATCAAGGGAGGTTCCTTCTCCCCGGGGGCTTCCTTACTCACAGCTGAACATTGCAACTGGCCCCACAGATTTTAAAACCTTGCGCAGGAATCATGGAGCAGGGGTGGGTGATCACTTTAGAGGTGGGGTATAAGTGACACTGAATTGCAAGCTCAGAGTTTCAGCCACACAGTCCTCAAACGTCTTGTGGTGATGCCAGTCATCTGTGCCGGTTACCCTCTCTGATTCTCACTGAGCTCACTTTTAAAAGGAAGCAGAAGCCCTCGGCAGGCAGCTTGGTATTTACAGTGGAATCACCTAGAGTGGCTACTTTACAGAGGTCAAAGGGGTCACTTTCCACAATTTCAAGGGACTCAGCCCAATCAACATATTGTTTTGTTTGTATTGTGCAGCCACTATCTATCTATCTATCTATCATCATCATCTATCATGTATTTATCTATCATCTAGCTCAGCATCTTTCTATTTAATTTTTGCAATGCTAGGGTTTGAACCCAGGGCCTTCATACTGAGCTACCTCATCAGGGCTTTTGTTTCTGTTTTTACTTTGAGACAGGATCTTGTTAAATTGCTCATCTGCCTGGTTTGGCTTTGAATATGTTATCCTGCCTCAGCCTCGCTGAGTGTTAGGCTCACAGGTCTGCACCACCACGCCTGGCAAATAACTTCACTTTTTAATGGGCTTTTGTTTCAGTTTTTTTAAAAAAAGACCTGAGTTTAAGAAGCTCATTAAGCCAACATTTATGAGCACAGTTTTCAGAGCCGTAAATCCAGGATCCGGACAGGGTGCATACATAACCTGGATTATAGCCCTGACCCAGCCCGGCCCAAGTGTGTGGGGCAGGACCTTCTGCCTGCCAGTCTTGGGCTTCTCAGCGTGAAACTGGGGTACAGAGGACCTACCTCATCGCTGCGGAGGATCCCACAAGATGAAGCATGTGGGGCTCCTAATCCTGGGGTGTGGCACCCAGAGGGAGCATGAGTGTGAGTCCTGGGAGTGTCGCCAAGAGAGAGAAGCCAACCCCACCCACAGGCGAGGAAGGTCTGGGTGCCAGGCACCCGCGGAACCCCTCCTCCGGCCCTCGGCTCAAGAGCGAAATCCTCGGGATCTCTGCAGGGTGAGCGTGGCCATTGCGTCTCAGCGCCTGGCGTGGCTCCTCAGCCCTCGTCTTACTTCACAGTGGTAATTAACTGTGAGCTAATTATCTGAGTAATTGTTTGAATAATGTATGCATCCCTCCTAGCTAGGCGCTGGGTGCTGAGGGCAGGGACTGCGTCTCAGCGCGTGTAGAACGCAGCACAGCGCGGCGCCGGGGGCTCAGCAGCTGTTCTGGGAATGAATGAACGCGTGCTGCGTGAGTGGGGTTTGCATAGAACTTGCCGCAGAGGCGGGGAGGAGGACTTCACGGTGAAGAAAACACAACTCCTTGGGGGCAAATCCTGGGTAGGGGTCATCCCCAGGATTCAGGGAGGACACCCAAAAGGTCTTGGGATGTAACCCCAGGGTCCAAGCTCCGTGTCCCCATTTCCCCATTTACAGCGGCTCTTGGTGGTAACCACGCAGAGATCTGTCCCAGTTTATAAAAGGAAACTTTGTAGGCACAAGGGAGCTAAGTCACTGGCTCAAAAGTCACCTCAGCCCTCGTGTCCCTCTCTGAGCCCCTGACCCCGGGGGAAGGAGACCGGAGAGGGGATGTTGCGGGGGTGTCGCTGGACCTGAAGCAGGGGCGCCTTGGAGCTGGGCCACCCCTGGGGTCAGAAGGCAAGGACTGGGGTCACTGGGCTGACCCCAGGCGGGAAACCAGGTCACACAGGGACAGGAGGAAGCTCCTGGGTCGTCACGCTGCTGGCCGAGTAGAGTGGGTGGAGGCGGAGCTCAGGGACCCACACCCCCTCGCCTGGCCTGACCCTTCCCACCGCGGTGTGAGTGGCCACCGCGCCTCCGCCCCCGTGCATACCTACCTCCTGACAAGGCCACGGTCAGGCAGGCGACGGCAGCGGCCAGGGGCCACATGGCAGCTCCGGTGCGGGGGTCAGGGTGGGCAGGACCTGGGAGAAGGTCAAGGGGTGTGTTGGGCGGTGACCCCAGAAGCCCCAGGTCTTAAATTCGCTGCACCTGTGGGTTCCAGTCTTCAGCCTCCCCTCCACTTGTGCTGGTTTTGCGTGGAAACCCTAACCCTAGAACCGACCCCTCCCCCCACTCCATTCTTGGGGAGGGATCCCAGCGTGCACCTCCAGGCTCCTGCTGGCTGCCCCTAGCCCAAGTAGGCTAAGCGCTCCTCCTCTTTCCTCCAGAAAAGGGGTTCACCGTGCATGCTGCACTTGTGAGCTGCCCTGTATTCTCCAGTTCGGACCCCAATGCCCCCTTCCGGGGGCCCCAGAGCTCCCCTAAATTTCTGATCACTCTGCACCTTGCATCCTCCTCCATCTCTGTAGGTCTCTGTTCCTGTGCTTCTCACACCTTGGGGATTCCGGGTCCTCCCTATGCCCCCTCCTTGCCCCTCCCGTCCCTCAATCCCCCCCCCCCCTTTCTCCAAAACTCCCGCCTTCCCGGCGACCCTACCTGAGTGAGGGGTCCTGGCGGCGGTCACAACCTCAGCAGCCAGCTGCTTACTACCTCAGCCTCGACCCATGGCTTTTAACCCCTTAATGCCCTCCCCCAGCGCGCCCAGCATTTCCCGGTGGCTGGCTCCCCTCTCCACCCCCAATGGCTCAGCAGGCGGTCCACAGACACCCCCCCCTGTCTGGGCTCTGCCTTCCCTTGCTCGCTGGGGGCGGAGCTACTAGGAGGTGCTGGGACCCGGATCTGGCTCCGCCCAAGCTCTTGTTGAACCCGTATTGAACTTTCTGAGCACCAGGACCCAACCAAGGGGAAGGGGAAAACAAATCCATTTCCGTCTGAAACCCTTTGGCCAGTGCTAAATTAAGTTTATTTCCATCTCGTGTCCTCCCCTCCTCTCCAAAGTATGCACAATGCGTACTCTACATACAAGAGCTCCTGGAGGGCGCATCCAGGGTCCACTTCCTAAACTACCGCCAGCCCTTTCTCTTCTGAAATTCACAGAGATGCCCACATGCATCTTCCTGCTCCTCAGCCATCAGGCCAAGAAGGGAACAGGCTCCAAGGTGCAGAGGAGGACCGCCGGTCTTACGCTTGCAGGGGACAGGGGTTGGGCTCCCGGGGACAACACAGCCCCTTAGGAACGGAGTCTGGAGTCAGCCCGGAAGAGAGTCCGTGGGCTGGGGTGGCGGTGGGGAAGAGGAAGGAGGAAGGGGTGGTGTTTGGGGAATGACTAGGCCTTCTGGAACTGTGATTGGGTGGGGCTCCCCCTTAATCCCAGCAGGTGGAGGGGGTAGGATTAAGGATTAAGAGCCACCAAGGTGGGGTCAGCATCTGGCAGGAGGCCACACTTGGGGACTGGATGAAATTTGGAAAGAGAGCCCATCACGAAAATGAGGGGCAGGGATAAACGAGGGGCAGAGGTGGAGGAGGCCGAGAGTTCACAGTGCAACTGGTGAGGTCCACACTGGAGGGTTAGGAGCTGCAGGCCAGGATCAAATCTGGTGCTAAAAAATGCTTTTTGGAAAAAGTCTACCTGTGAGTCTCCAACATACGTAGAACGAACAGGTCAAAGATTTTATTTTGACTCATTCATAAGTGTCTAACCGGTAAGAGGGTACAAACAGCAACATTCCGGAAGGCGATCAGGAATACTGCAATGAATTTACAGAGACAGGTCCAGGGTGGTTTTTCACACACAGGGACAAGGAGAGTAACTGTCCTTCCACTGACAAAATTCACCGTGTGGTTTTGAATTATTTGCCTTGCTATCAACTGTCTACCATTTAAAAGTTGCCCATTAGTTCAAAGACAGTAAGTCAAAAGAGGCAGAAACTCCAGAAAAATCCAAGAGGGTCCCTCCTTCTCCCCCCATTTTCCACGCTGGGCGGATTTCTGTCTTTCCCTGGGACTAGAAGTTGGGTTTTCACAGGAATTGAGTGCACTGTGGTTAGGGTCACAGCAGGTTGGCACAGGGAATGCAGTGAGTTGAGCGAGGAGAGGCGTGGGGTTCCAGATGGCAGTGGAGCTGACTTGGGGAGAGTGTTTGGTGGTGGATGGGAGACATAGGAACAAGGTCATTGATGGGTCCTGTTACTGGGTTTGGATATAAGATGAGGCATCGAGGGGGTGACCATGGGGGTGAGGATGACAAGGACTGGATGTGAGGCTGAGGGTGGGGAGAGGTTTGAGGGACCCACTGCATTCCTCTCGACACGACAGAAGCTACTGTCCTTGCCCACCGGCCCCCACTGCCTCACAGGGCAGAGCCCAGGGCAGGCACTGACAGCTCATCATTTTGAGTGGAGCTGGAACAGGTGGGGTAGCCTGAGGGAGGAAGCAGGGTGAAGTGAGGTGATGGGCTTGTGTGGGCACTCGGGGTACCTGTGCCCTCTGGTGACCTGGACTTGTGCTTGGAGAAAGGCTTTCTCACTTGGGAAGGGCTGGGACCCGGCTGGGGTGGCTGGTTCTAGCATGTGCTGCGGGGTGAGGGCAGGGTCAGTGTTGCTGTTGGGGGTTACCTCTGGTGAGTCTGGTTGGCTCCACTGGCCTGAGGTCAGGGTGCCTTCCGCCCCCTCACTTGATTAACCTGGTGGCAGGAAGCCCAGGGCTGAAAGTCACACAGGAACTGCACCGAAGCCAAGTATCCTCTCTCCTAGATTGAGCTTTACAGAGAGCAGGGCTGGAGAAAGAAGAAGAAAGGGCTAAAGAAGGCGGCAGGTGCTGTGCACGGTTCAGAGCTCAGACTCTGGAGCTCGGAGTGCAGTTCTCAGGGTGCAGTGGTCGCCCTGAGCCTTGGTGTCCCCATCTGTAAAGTGGCTTTATCCATGGCACCCACCTCACAGAAAAGGAGTCAAGGAACTGACTCCTAAAGGTGCTTAGAGAGATCCTGGCATGCACCGAGGGCCACAGAGGCATTTGTTGGAGAAGCCAAATTGGAGATGGAGGCAGCCACGGTGCCAGGCCCCACCCTCTCTTGGCTTCAAACTGGGATTCTTTGTTAAGCAGAAACTGGAAGTTCTGGTTGGAAGTGCGGGCTGGGACGGGAAAGCTGGCCCCACACCCAGGCCTGAGGATGGCCCCCCAACTGTAAACATGAAGGGAGGGGGAGACACAGAAAACCCGAAAGGGGCAAGACACAGAGACCAGAAGGCAGGGCGGGTGGGAGAGGACAGGAGGATGTAGATGAAGACCAATGGGGGAACACACAGAGTCAGAGAGGCTGTGCTGGCCAGGCGGAAACTGGGCCCCCAGAGGGATGGGTGCTCGAGGATTCTTCTTCAGAGCTGGGTTAGTTGGGTGCCCTTATGCAGCAATGACACCCCACTCTTCACCCTCCAGAGTGGCAGAGATGAAGGTCAGTTTGTCATCTACCTGCACCTGTGCCCACACCTCCCTCCTCGCTCATCTCTCCAGATGAGATGTCCTGTTATGCCGCTGCCTACCCCTCCAGCCTCCCGAGGTGTCCACCACAGCTGCTGCTCACCAGTGTCACCCACTGCTCCGTCCTCCTGTGAGTGTCCCGTGAGAACCCCACCATGCTGCCATGTCTCCCAGCTTTCAATAAAAGAACAATAATTGAAAACAATCACAAGCTTTCCTTGTGCTCCTGGCCCACCCTTGCCTGCTCTGTCTGTTCCTTTTTCTAAGCCTCCCAGCCTGCATCTCCTCTCCTCCCACCCTCCCTGCACCTCTTCTATGACTCCACCAATTGCACCCCTGCTAAGGGGACCAGGGACTCCACGTGGCCGAGTCCAAGGCTGGCCCCTCACCGGTCCTCTTACTTGTTTAGCAGCAGCATTTAACGAGTATCTGTTCCTTCTCAGGGTTTCTTCCTGTCTCCTGGGACAATATGGTCTCCTGGCTTCCCTCATAACTCACCGGCTGCTCCTCATCCATGCCTGGAACTGGTTTCTCCCCATCTCCCCAGTTTCTCCATAGTGGAGTACCCCAAGGCTTGGTCCTTGGGCCTCTTCTCTCTACACTCACTCCCTCCTTTGGTGATCTCATTGGTCGTGTGGCTTTAAACACCACCTGTATGCTGACGACTCCCGTATTTAATGTCTCCCACCAGACCTTGCTCTCGAACTTTCGATTTAGCATCCAACTGCCTACTCAGCGTCGTGATGTTCATACCAAACTCCTGCTCTCCGCCCCTTTCACATTCCAGATGTGCTCTGCTTACGGTATTTATTTTGTAGTAGGTGGTCAAACCATCCTTTATTGCCTGGCCAAAACCCTGGGGTCACGCTGAAATTCCTTTGCGTATAACTCACCTCCATTTTGTTACAGACCCTGTTCAGTGCTCTTTCCAAAATCAACCCAGGGAGTGACCACTTTTCACTGTCGCTCGTGCTTGTCCCTGTGTTCCCTTCTGTCTCAGGTGGGTTATTCCAAGATTTCAATCTGGGTTGCCATCTGCCTGAACTAACACAGCAGCCAGAGTGACTTTTCAAGATGTAAGCCACAGCTCTCCTTACACCTACAGCGGTTCCCACATCACTCAGAATGAAGGTCCTGTTTTCCTGTGGGTGTGTTAGGTCCTGTATCACCAGGCCCCTGTTTGGAAGGCCGTCACCCACCCTCTCCTCTCCTCCTCCCGTCTCATGCCGGGCACGCTTCCCTCTTGGAGCACTCGTACCTTCCTTTGTCACTATCTAGGGCCTCCTTCTCAGCACCTGCATGACTCCTCTTGTTCCTGTTGCCTTTTCAATCAAGACTTTCTTGTCCAGGTAGTCAGGGGTCCCCAGAACAGTTTCAAGGGTTCACTGAACGGACTCAAGAAACTCCAAAAACCTGCTGTTCTCATAGTTTTGCTTTATTACAGTGAAAGGATGCAGATTAAAATTAGCAAGGGAAAAAGGTGTATGAACCAACTCTCGGAGACACCAGGTATGCTCTCCCAACTGTCTCATCTGGAGACTCACGGGAGCAGCAGGCCTTCCCTCCCCCAGCAATGGTGTCTTTAGAGTACCAACCAGAGGAGCCCGCTTAGGCCTTACTCAGGACCGTTCTCCGGAGCTGGTCGTGCAGGCTGGGCTGCCTCCCTAAATGGCTCTAGGTCCTCCAGAAGCCAAATTGATGCACATCTCCAGGTCCCCACAGTTAAGTCACATTTTGGCATGGCCAAAGGCCTCCGAGGAAACAAAAATACCGTCAGCAGGCAGAGTACACAAACACTTAGGGTTTATCTTCCAGGATGTGAGTAAGGGCCAAGGCTTTTTTGCAGTGTGTGGGATTTGGATAACCCAGGCCTGCTGGGCTGTCGATAAACTTGCAGCGCTCCTCCGACTTTCTCTACCCTCTGCTTTATTTTTTCTCTGTGGCCTTTTCTCTCATTCTCATACTCTATGTGGTACTTGTTTCTTGTCTCCCTTCTCTCTATAAGGTGTGTCCCTGGGACAGGGGCAGAGGTGATTTACCGTTTGGTTTCTAGAACAGTATCTAGTGCACACAGGGAGGCAACACATGCTAAATGAACGAGTGAACTACGGACACTGTTGAGGGTGTGTGGACAGAGGAACCCTTCTAGACAAAAACTGAACAGTATTTGGTGACACGGATTAAAAGCAGGCCTTTGGCTCAGTGGTCTCTGTCCATGTGGATATTTCAGAGTCTTTTGAGGTGCATACGTGGTACCTGGAGAAGAAATCACCG